ATCAGGGGCTCAAACTGTGCCAAGCTGTTGGATCAATTGGTCCAGGTAAGGTGGCTACTATTTTGGCTACTATTTGGGGCGTCTTGGCATGGATGAGCGCTCCCGTTGGTCAGTGCCTGGGCGGTTAGGCGCTTTGCATGCGGGAGACCTTATCTAAACCGATTAACAGACCAGGGCAAAAATCAATTTGAATGGCTGTCGTTAGTTCATAACGGGGATTAAAGGTACCTACCTGAAAGTTGGAAAATCACGCATTCTCAGTGGTTACCCATATTTGTTGCCACACCGTTCACCTCAAATGTGTTTAGCTCCATGGTCTTTCTGGATAGAATCATCTGGTTCGAACCAATAATGACGGATTGGTACCTTAGGGACCGAACACTCCGGGTGGAAAGACCTGAAACGAGGATTCTCCAATTTTGGAGGCGGGGACACATATGTACGTGGAAAGGGAAAAAATGGAGAAAGTTCCCCACATCTGTCATCTATTGTTTGATTTTATGATGACGGAACAGATGGAATGTGCGCCAAAGCCTTTGACGAATCTCTGTAAAAAGAAAAACTGATGACAGCGGACAAGTTTCTAGAACTCGTTTCAAATACCAGGAGGGCCGCCTGTCCATTCCGTGGGAATACCTGTTGAGGAGTGTTTGTTTTTAATGACCTAACAATTGATACTGAGCAGCTTGTCGGACCAATCTCCAAACCGGCCATATGGTGATAGATATTCTGTAGGGAAGGATAAATGAAGACCGGGAGCTTATTTGTTTGCTCTAGACAGGCAGTCAATTCCTTATTGATCATCATCTCATCATGGGGCTAGATGTGTATTTGCAACCCAGATGGGAGTTGCCTTATGTTGACAAACCGCCGATGTTGCCGATGGAGTTCATCCATCATTAGGTTTAAAGACCGTGATAACCGGCAGAAGTCCGCAATATTGTCCAGGAGAATTGGATTCAACACTCGACTCAGGCCGAGCTCCGAACCTGACATTTTGAACCGTATGTACCTTACCACACAGGCCATGCATAAGCGAAAATAGCACGTGTTTCCTTCAATCACGCAAACAAAACAACGAAAACGGGGAAACCAACCATGGATCGCGTCCCGCGACATCCACCCAACTGATCGCCGCTCATTTCTTTTTCCGGAAGGTTCCAGGAATAGAGATCCCACTTTTGATCTCTGTGTTCAGTGAGTGGGTAGGGACATGTACCTACTCTAGGGGAGATGCTACTGCCCAGGTCTTAGCGAGACTAGTGCCCGCGCCTAGAGGTCGTTTGTGATTGGTCAACAACCTTCAGGCGATTGAATGTGGTTAGACTATGAAGCTCTACCTAGTAGGCCATGAGATTCTTTCTCTCTTACAAATGTTGCCATCCTATTTACATCCCTCGCAAAGACGTCACCTTGTATTCAAAGTCAGGACGCAGGATCCAGGTAAGACAGTCTTTCTTTTCTTTTCTTTCTTTTCTTTTCTTTCTTTTCTTTTCTTTCTTTTCTTTCTTTTCTTTTCTTTCTTTTCTTTCTTTTCTTTTCTTTCTTTTCTTTCTTTTTAACGGTGCCTACCCGCTCTTGGGATCTCAAGTCCTGTGCTAATGTGTACCAAGATTGATCAGTTCGGCGGAAGTCAGTTGCTTTATTTTCGGCACCAACATTACCTGCAGCTACTACAAATGCGATACTGGTATTTACATACTTACCCCTTGATAGCTAGCCGGTATCCTTAAGTACTGAAGTATTGATAAGAATAAGCAAGTATGCTTCTCTTGAAACCTTCCATGAAATCAGCCACTGGAAATCTACATCAATCGTCAAGCCACTGTCAAGTTTCATCTCGTCTCATTCTATTTTGGCGTGCTTTATGTGCGCTATATTGGGAGCGTGTCGGTCGTTGGAACAGCGACAAGAATAGCTATGTCACTCTTGATGCAATTCAACATATAGCGATAGTCTTCGAGTGAGATATCATGATACCTCGAGAAGGCCGTGAATGTGCTTCCAAAGAGAAAGGGGATTTGTGTACCTAGGCGTGGTAGCATTACCATATTACCATAACTCGTAGCGGCCCGGCCGGGTAAAAACTCTTAACACCAAGCATATCAATTCGGTCGCTCTTCTACTCTCCTCGACTTCAAGTACACCCTCGACTACAACTGAAAAATACGCCGACTTAGCCGCTCTTCTGCGTACTAGTCCAGCACTACGTACACGTCTAGCAGTATAATTGGGTTTTCACATGTAACTACCCAAGGCTCATATCTATCCATATATATATAGAGTAGCGCGCGGCAGACCACCCAATACTAAATAGCCCCCAACCCTTTTCGCCTGGGGGTTTAGGGCCGATGTGGATAGTTGACAACTTACTCTTTAACTTATTAAGATGGATAAGGGGTTAGTTAGCAAAGGTGAATAAAAGACTGTGGATTCTTGATGGGGCCATCTATTTCCTCTGTTGCGGTTATAGCTAATGGAAATCACTTGTAAAGGAATGGACCCACTTACTTTCAGTACTTTCTTTCTGAGACTTCGTAAAACCTAAAATTCACTCTAAATCACTAAGTTCAAAGTATTTCATCGCATATGTTTATGAAGCTATCGCCTGAGCATGATCCAGTTTTGACTAACCACAGTCTTTTTCATGAAACTACCCTGGTAAGCTCTGCCTAATTATTCACGTGACCGCTTACCATTTCTAGAAAAGTTTGCCAATGAAAACTACATGTATAGAAGCTATATTCTAGGGTATCTTCGCATTATCATCATACCGCCGCCCTCAGCGCATAACTACGGACCTGATACAGTTGTGTTGGAAGTCCCTTCTGAACCTCAGTCCTTACGACCCGCAATCCGGCTTGCCTGAATAAGTTTTTAAACTTTTGATCCGTCCTATCGAATTTACATTAATCAGCTATCTAAATATTGTAGTGGGATGACATACCTGGTAACACTGCTATCTGTCTCATCATACATGTCATCTTTTGTCTCGGTGATATTCTCCTTCACAACGATGACACCGCCCTCCAAAACAGCGTTTTTGCAGCGCATAAGGTAGGCCACTAGTTGCACGTCCGAAAGGTGCCCTACGCACCACTGGCTTCACAAAAATTAGTCGCCGTGCCCAAAACCCACCTATACCCAGTCGGACACGCCAAGCTCCGAAGAAACTTACTTCCAGATAATATAGTACTTTTCTCCCCTCTCCTCTGTCGTCTTGACAGGGTCCCACTGCTCTAACCCCATGTTAACTATTTTGCCTACCCTCCCATCTTCTCGCTCATCTTTTAAGTTATTGCCCTCAATCGCCTCCTTAGTGAACTTCTCCACCGGTTCTATGATATCTACAATAACTTTGCCCTTGTTCAACGTTGTTAACAGTAATTTCGTGATCCTTCCGATCCCCGCGCCGCAGTCCGCGACCTTCCATATTTCGGGGCTAGACGCAGTTTTAAGTCGCAGCTTTGCAAGGAAGTTTTTAGACCCTTGGATGTCGATTCGGGAGACGTATTCATATCCTCCAAGCATGCCTGTTAACACCCGCACTATTTAGCTGCACTGCGTAGGATGTGGCATGATCGAAGGGGTATGTTATAACCATTTGGAGTGGCTTCAACGTTGTTCCAATACTCGATTGACTTTGCTTCTACATAAACATTAGCATGACTATTCCCATGAGAGACCTTTCAGAGCTCCTGTATCCTTACGATCAATTGAAGCGTCTGGTGGAGGTGCTGTTGTCATGGTTTTTGGTTGATGTGGTTCATGTGGCAGTGGTCCATGTGGGCCGAAGACTTCAATCGCTATTATTAGGAAACATGAAAAGATCAGATAAGATAAGATCAGAAACAGTAACCCTAGATCTTCAATAAGCTGCACCATGTAATTTTTTCGTTTCCTTTTTTCGAGGCTGGGGTCCGCGCGAAGATTTAGGCCTGCGTTTAAATGTTTCCTTATATACAAATCTGATCTTGGAATGTCAGCTTGATGGCGCTTTGTCTAGCGTTCTTTGTGTTCAATTCCTTTATCTGCCCTTCAGTTACGATGCCTGAAAAGGCTTAATGGAACCAAATGCAGACCTGAGCAAGCGAACGTTAAATATACATTACAGGGCCTTAAGCTTAGAGGGAGAGAATTGTGGTCCCACTTTGGAGATATATTCTGACACACAACCCCTCACTCGAAAAACCTTGTAGTCACAAAAAACAACAACGCCGGCATAAACAAAGAAATGCGTCCCGCCTTGCTGCATAAGCAAGGTTATTTCAAGGATTAGGCTTAGAGAGGAGGCCATTGCTGTTTATGGCCAAATTAAGAACCGGATTGGTTGTTAGGATCGATAGATCTGTTTTGGGAAATATTACACGATATTAATGGCTTGGTATTTAATGCAAAATACGGCTATGGCATGGGGGCCGAGCTTGAGTGGATTAAGCTTCCTTCGGTGATGCACATGATCTTTAACGATAGGCATCATGGATTGGTAGAGTACTACGTACATACGTTTATGTGCCACGGCCAGGCAGCAGACATGGATGTGTCATGAAGGGTCACTCGATTGCATTTTGACTCGTTTTTAGGATGGCGCTAAGTATGTAGTTTCACCTAGATACCCCAAAGTCCGCCTGGAGAGCTAAAAACAGCTATATTACAATTGAATAAAGTCAATATATAATCAGTAAAAAGACACAAAACAAGCTTTATTCGCCAAATTTGACCCCGCACGCAAAAACCCAGATTTAAGAAAAAATATATATACAGCGAAGATTGATACCCCCCCTCATGTCTCATTTAGCTACTTTTCATCTCTCCACACCTCGTGACCGTTTTGTTCCTCACATTGCGTTGTTCAAAGAAGTTGTAGCAGAAGAAGTCGCATCGTATCCTGGTTGATACTGGTATAAAATTGTAAATTATTCGTCGTGTTGACGTTTTAAGACCCCCCCAGCTCTTAACCCTAACCCTAGCACGATCTCATCATCACTACGCAAGCAAGCTCACGAGTGCTTCATTCCACCCAAAGGCTCGGCTCTAACCAGTGCCCAATCAATTCCCGAGTCCAGCTCATCGTCCACAAGCCCACAGACAGCCACATTGTCTCCGCGGATAAGATACAGCCCGTGCTCCACCTGCTGGGTTGGTTCGTCTGGACCTGCGGACGCGGGGCTGAAGATACGTTCGATTGTATGGGAGAGGATTAGGTTTGTAGTTTGGTCGTGGCCTAGAAGCTTGCCGGTTAAAGTACGGCCATCAGAGGTGAGGATTGTGACTGTCTCTGTGGTTTTTATCGGGGGTTAGCGGTGGGGTAGATTGAGGTAGAGGAGGGGGTAGGAAGGGGCTTACTGTTAACGAAAGACTGAAGGTTCGACATGATGGGTAGTTTGGCGTGACGTCGTGGGGATTGAGAGGAGATCTAGAGCGGAGGAAGCCTCTATCGTGACAGTTGGTGGGGCAGGGGTTGTGGTGAGGTTAAAGCACTGTCTTCGTGATACGGGGTTCGGTGGGGTTCGGTAGGCGTGAGCACGCTAGGTGACAGCCAATAATTCCGCAGAGGCAATCATTGATACCCTTGTTAGATTTATACATGCTTTGGGATTGTTTAGTTGGAAATCAACGCTTTGTATGTAAATGTATAGCTATTATTTTAATAAAGGTGTCTCTGCTCTGGTTACTAGTTTCCTTTAACCGTTGATAAGACTTGATAGTTAATGACCTAAGCTTTTGATATTTATACAGAATTATTCACAAAATAGACAAAAGAAATTAGAATACGTCTAAGTCTTCCTCCTCTTCGCCATCATCTTCTTCTTAGAGTTAAAGAGAGAGCCCAATTCTTTCCCACCGTTTCTCCCACCCTCATCATCACCTCGTCTTTTCCTGCTGTTCTCCAGCACTCTACTACTCTTGCCACCTTTCTCCGCGCCCTTGGTCAATCTATCTAAATCGCCGGCAAAGTCTCTCCAGTCTTCACCGCCAAACTGTCCACCATTGTCTCCGCCATTCCTCTTCCGTTCCCGCAGCTCCTTCTTACTTAGCTGCGGTAACCTCACGAAGTTGTTCTCCTCGTACTCTCTCCTCTCATGCTCTTCCCTTCTCTCCCTGGCACTCTTCGTCACCCTTCCACCAGCCACAATGGTAGATCCAATAGACGGTGTAGCCATCGGCGCAGTCGACATCTCGTCCGCGATAAACTCATCCAGCATGTGGCTCTTATTCCTGCCTGCATTCTCTCTCTCGCGTTTTCCATCAATTTTCTCGCTCGCTGCCGTTGCAAAACCGGGCATGACTGTCGCCGAGATGCGCGGCGGCTTGTAGATTCCTTCTTTACCCTCTGTCTCGCCAACACCCGGAAGAGCCGCAGTACTTGGCTTTGCCAGCGCCATCGGATTCGGGCGGAACGAGAGCTCCTTGTTGGCGATCGTGGACGCGGGCGCCGCTACTACCGTAGTCTTCTTCGAGTAGACTCCGTAATCGTCGTGTTCAACCCCATCGTCGGATTCTTCTCCTGTTGCGCCAGCGCCGCTGGTGGCGGCGGCAGTGGGCATTAATGCCACATTCCCAGCCTTTGAAAGCTCCTCATCGACGGCCGCGGCGACAACTTTATCGATCTGGTATTTGAGCTTCGCCTCTAGCGGCTTGACACCCTTCTCGAGAAGGAGTCTGATCTTAACAAGCTCCTTGACAACCTCGCTTCCAACCTGGCCGTTTTTTTTGGTAGGATCTAAAGAGCCGGAGCGGAGCTTGATGAGCACGAGGAAAACGAGGTTGTGTAGGTATGAGAGCAGGAGCTCATTTTTAACATCTAGAAGAGAGATTCCATTTTCGGGCGTAGTAACTGGAGGGAATTCGGATGATGTTAGGGAGGTAGAGGCCGAAGTTAGGGAGGTTATCAGTGTTGTGAGCGTTTCTAGAAGGGCGGCCATTTTTCCTGGGGTATCTGGATTTTCAAGATCATTTTTTTTTTTGGTGGAGGAAATGATTTCTTTGAGCCTCAGTCTTGGCGGACATGGGGTATTACCCGGACGATGGAAATGATTGTCAGAGCCCGGAGGTCTTTTTTTATCACAGAGAGAACGTCAGACTTCATCTTGAGTTACATGCTGTGCGTCAATTCAGCTATCGTGCTTTCTCGGAATACATAGTCTCATGCTATGAGACGTTTACTGACGAATTTGTCACATTCATTGGCCCGTTCTGGATTCTTGGCGCAAACATTTCCTTTGCTGAATCCACACAAGGGAAAGAAAGAGCTTCCGATAAAAAAAAAAAAAAAAAAAGGACAACAGAAACCAATGTCCCTAAAGAAATTTTAAATGTACACTTTTATGACCACAGACTCATGAACTCCATTAAGTAAGTATACCATCCCTATGCTAAGCGTGTTTTTTTAGCCTTGTCGTCATTCTCGTCTACTAGTGTCGCCTCCTCATCGTCAGTCGGACCTCTCTTCAAACCTTTCATCTTTCTTGACTGCATCTTGTTCAAGTCTTGCTTTCCGGTGTGGATACGTCCGAGCTTGTCTCCGATTATGTCTGTCTCGATATTCCTCTTCGATCTCGCCTATTTGCCAGAAATTATATTGTTAGCGATCCAAATACATCCACAAAAACGAGAAGCAATGACTTAATGCGTACCTCAAGCTGTCTAGGCTTCTTAAGTGCCTCCTTCATCATAGCTTCATCCGGTTCCTGGATTCTCCTAATCCTAAAGTCTATTCTGGGCCCAATCTCTTCCACTTCCACCCTCGGCAACTTCTGTCCACTCTTCTTCGTCTTGATCATATGCACCCTAATATGTACTGGCGGGCTAGGAACCAGATCCGTTGGCTCACTAACCGCAATACTGACGATGTACTGCAGCCCTTCAACATCAATTGCTTTTACTGTTTCACCTCTGAAAAAGTCGAGGAACATAGATTTGACGAGTTTGTAGTTTGGCGCAGAGTCGAACAAACTCCCACTGAATGAGATCATGGGCTTCATTCCAATGGCGAACTTGGCGTTCTTGAAAGACTCGAGAGGGCGGAAGCTAGATTCCTCGATACCGAACTCGATCATGTCCAGGATCTTGTGGTCGAATGTGCGTGCGAATGTAAGGTTGTGGGGTCGCTTCTTTGAGTGTGTAGCAAGGACGAGAAAAGAGGCGTCGTTCTTGGTAGAAAAGAACTCAAGGGGAGCAGCATCCTCGAATGGGTGGACTGCATTTTTCTTAGTGAACTTGATGGCATGGGGCTTCTTGAGTGCGTGCTGAAATTGCCAGAACTGTTAGAGTTGCAATTAGGGGATAGTTGAAGCGAAAGAAGTCTTACAAGATCTCCAAGAGCCTGTCTGCTCAGCTCGCTAGTGGTTGTACCAGAGAGGAACAAGGTCTTCTTTTGGTTCTCAACAAGCTTTGCTTCGCGGTCGTCGAGCGCACGTTTTGAGCGTGCATTACGAGGTTTTCTGCTTGGTGTTAGTGATTTCACTAAACTGCCCAAATGCCAAAAATAACTAGCAGGGCCGTACCTACACTGTGCGAATCATGACTGGTATCTTTTATGGTCCTATCTGCGGGAATCAGACTGGTGGGATTTCTAGCTGAGTGTCGCAAACTTTTTTTACGAGGGCTTGGTTCCGGGTAACTGGTCATGCACCTGCCAAGCATCAGAGGATAATCCCTAACCCTTGAAGTAACCAACTGATGCGGTGTTAAGGAAGTTTATCTTCAGCTCTATCTCATCGCGTCTTTCGAGATGTTTCTCTAGATGGGCTGCAGTAAACGCTGCGAGGTATCAACGATCATGTGGCAAATCATCAAATATCACTCGAGCCACTTCACAGGGTGTCATTCGCCGCCCTACGAAAGTCTTGGACACTCACATAGGTCGACTAAAACTTCAATTGATATGATTTTTATCCAACATATATACGATTATCTATTGGGTACGCCACGAAGTAAGCCAGCTCGAGCTGTTGACTCACTGAAAAAAAGACTTCATATCCAATGACCGGGGAATTTGAAGCTTCAAATGCCCCATAAAGAACGACTGGTGCGGGTAGCATGCTCGGCTGCAATGCGCTAATGTACAGGCAGTAAGAGCCCCTGCGCTCAACTGCATACATAATGTACATTTTGTGGTACAGGCTCTGCTTCTCAATGCTGGCCATGGTGTACAAAATTTTTATTTTGGGGATGCTGATCATACAATGTATGAAGTCCACGGGCCGAAGCTGGCTTATGGACTCACAAAATGCCGGTCAAGAGTCACCGCCGCTTTGTTCGGGCCATTAGATTCCCGTTCTGCAAGAGTTGATGTCTCAACGGCGAGTCAACACTGCGTTACTCGGAGCAAGGCTGCAGATGTCCCGACAACCGAAGGACCTGCCAGGTGTGATCTGAACAAAATAGCGAGTATATCTGATACAATTGAGGTCTTACTCTATGAGCTGCAGATCCGGAGAACATCTGCAGCGCTAGGGATATATAGGACTGAGTAGAAGGCATCAGATGGGCGAAAATCTCTCAAATTGGCAGGTCCTGTATGCATGGTGTAGAGGAGAAAACGTATATCATTTTCAATACTCTCAACATGTGGAGTGGTCCTATGATTAACCCCGTATGCAAAGCATGCTGCACATTGTAGGGCAGCACCCAAGCGCCAAATTGATGGTATGAGCTTAAAAGACATGGCGTTTTAGGAATCAGATTATTGGAACGAAGTTGGCTGCTGTGGCCCGACTGTATCGGGTTTCCTCTTCTGTATGTATATTGAAGGCAAAAAACTGCATTTATATGGGTGAGCACCAGGAGTCATACCATGATATTACATGTAGTTCTTATCCGCCACGTGTGTTCTGAAGGAGGCCTGGCCTTTTAGAATCTACACACATAGATATCTAACTCTGTCATATTGAAGAGTAGACTCAGTCTGTGGACACGTTGGATTATCAGGTTGATCATCATCGATCGATCTCCACACTAGTGAGAGGCGCTATCATGCACCGCTTGACGAATGTAAAGATAGACTCGCTCATGCGGGTTAATGCAATTGATTTAGAACTGATAATTAGCTTACGTACGGGGAGGATAGCGAGTTTAATTTGTATGTGGTTATGGTAAAGGTGCCACATCGTATGGGAATGTCCAGTGGGAACGTTGGCTGCATTCTGTCAAAGCCAATGTTGCACTACCGTAGGTCCCAAACACGCTGCCATGCCCATGTACCTACAGTAATAATTTTATCGGTTCTTTGATAGATTGCAGCAAGTTGGTGATTGCAAGAAATGACCCAAAATCCCTGGTACATGTACCCTATGGCGCATTTATAGGTTATTAAGGCGCGCAATATGCATATCTACGGTTCATCATATGCGTAACCCAATCAATAAGCTCTCTCGGAGTCTCTTGGTTCATGTTTGTGGCTAGTGTGAACTTCATTCAGTTGACGTACGATAGAGTAGAATGAGGACAAAAACCCCACAGGATTCTAGCCTTGCATACAAGTATCTGCTATGACGGGGGTGGTTTCTGTGCTTCAGGATTAGTTGTTATCATATGCACTGTTGAATCGGTTGTGATATCTAATTTTATAGGAAGTATGATTTCGTCGTATAACTTATGCGTACATGTGGTATCACTCGCTCCAAGAAACAAATAACTATCTGGTTACAGAAAATGATCGCCCCAAAACAAAACCGAACAGATACACCGTGACTTGGAATTAAAGAAGGAGAAGAAGAAGGAAACAGATGAAAGTGTTAATTTTTAGTTGCTGAAATATCTTCCAACGTTTGAATAAGATCGAAAGCCTCCAGAAATTGAGGAAACAAGAAATCCATCGTTAGATCGAAGTCTGAATAATCGGGTGACCACATGAGATAAGATTGCTGCATCGTACGTTTGAGACTGGCCGGGCTATATACCTGTTGCATAACGCCCCCCAAGTCCTTTCGGATCTAAGCAGCGAGGACAATAGGATTTGTAGGTCTTTTAACATCCACGAGAGCTGGAATCCAGACAGATGATTTGTCGTAGTTCTCGCCTTGCTCGTCTCCATGTTGTTTCAAGCAAGGCCTAAGAATGATGTCTATCGGCAGTTTTTCCTCAGGATCGACATGCTCTCCAGATGATTCTTTCATGTGTTCGTTTCCACACACAAATGTACGTGCACACTTAGCGTCGAACCATTGCTTCTCCAAAACCCTTACTTCTGCCGGATATTTCGACAGCTCAAATGCTAATTCGCCCGCTGTCCTGACAAACTCTTTACACTTCTGAAGCCTTTCTGCTTCGTTCCGTTGTGGAAAATATTTTTGTGATATTGGTCCGACAGCGTGCTCGATTGACGTGACAATACGGTCATAGTGTTGATCACGGTAAAAGGCTGCAGATTGGGCAACATCTTTATGTGACCCTGGTCGGGAGGAAGGAGGGGTAGGTGAAGTGGTAGACGTAGGACACCACACTCCAGACCTTTCGTATGCTGATAAAGTCGTGGCTCGCCATCTGTGCGCCTTTCCTCTATCTTCTAGAATAAAAAATCAGCCAATTTGTCATACGTGAAATGATGTCAAACCCTACTAACCCTTGAGCAGAACTTGGAATATCTCATTACAACTTTTCTGGAATCCCTCTTCGCACCCTTGGAATGGTTTCCCGTGCGCACCGGGCCAAAAGAACTCCATAGCCAAGCGGTCCGCAACCACTGCTTGGACGAGATGGCTGACATTCAAGTGGTCCTTCGTCCTCCAGCTATCGTCCCACGTGACCCAACCAAGCTCTACCTTAAACTGCGGGAACTTGTCGATCTTGAAGCCTTTGACGTCGATCTCAAAGTACTCACGCGCCCATTCAATTGAGCTGTCAAATACTGCATCGAGTGACTGGACAATTCTCTCAAGCGATTTTGAGTCGTCATCTTTGCCTTTCGCAGATTCTTGCTCTTGTAGTTGTTTTAAATCTTCCTCCTTTTTGGCTTTCTCTTCGAGGTCCTGGATTTTCCGTTCTAACTCTTGCTTTTCGGCTTCGAGTTTCTGAAACTGCACCTCAACGTTTTCAAGGTGCTGCAACCTCTCTTGTGTAACCGCGGGCTTGGTGTCACCACCGTGACCACGGAAACGTGGCCATAAAGAAGTCATGAGTTTGGTCGCCTTGTAACGGAAGCACGTCTTTAATAGCTGAGGTGTTGAGTATTTGTGATATAGGTAGGGATTGAGAGGAAGGCAGTACTGTAAATTCGAATTTATCTCATGAGAGGAAGGAGCAGGAAGCTCAGAGAAACACCTCCCAACGTTATCTAGGCAAGAAGATATTGCTTTGGTTGTCCAGTGAATATCTGGCACCACTCATTTGCTTCGTACACACGCTCCATGGGACACAATACCTACGTGTTATTGGAAATACCCCGCTTTATCGGTGAACAAACAACCAATTACTATTTATGAGCCATTACTTGAGCTTAATCATCAAACCTGAACCTCAATCGGATAGGTAGGTTCGTAGCCGAACAAATCAAAGGAGTGACGTTTCCGGATTGCATGTAGAGTAGGTACATACATGTAGGTACCCTAGGTACTCTACTCTATAGTAGGTGTTGGGGTCTGCATTATGTGTAATTATATATGCGTTGGTATGATACCAGATAGCTATTGGTGTCAATAGAGTAGTTAAAAACAAACCAGTGCAACGGGGCGAAGTGGTGCCAGGGATAATTTCAATAGATTCATTTGAAATTTTGAGTGGAGATCAAATTTATGCTTCGATAGTTGCACTGATTTGTTGAACACTCAAGTATATACAGTTGTAGTTATTTTGTAGAATTTTTCGGGCTTCAAGTATTCTGTGATATTTAGGCTGTATGATCTATTTCGGCCGTGAGATTTAACATATCTACTGGTACTAGAAAGACTACTTCCAAAAAGTAAGAATCATAAAGCAAGCGCAAGTGATAGGTATATCTTCCCGAAAACACCGCTCTAAACCCAGGGGAAAAAAAGAAACCAGACTATTAGAAAGAAAGAAAAAATCTATGCAACAAAGGTTTCAGATCAACTGAAATCTTAACCCTCATACTCCGTCATAAAAGCTTCGTGAAATTTCTCCAATTTCTCCACCCACTCGGTCCCAGGTGCCAAGAAAGTTGTTCTGAAATGCCATGTCCCTTCTTTCTGTCCGAAGCCCGATCCCGGAACAGTGCAGATACCGGTAGCATCAAGTACTTTCATACAGTAGAACTCATCCGGCTTCTGGCCTTGCTTTTTGGCAGCCTCGATGGCCTTTGGTGGTATTGTGATGGTGGGAAAGAGGTACATAGAACCAAGAGGATCTTGGCATGAGACACCGCGCATCTTGCCAAATGCCTTATGGAGAGCTTGGGAGCGCTCTCTAAGGTCCCCAAAAATGACTATGATGCAGTGTTAATACGTTTTATAAGGGGGTGAATCAATTGGCTTACCATTATGTTCCTTGTTATACAAATCATAAGACTCACTGCCTTTCTTTGGTGGGTTGATCATAAGTTCAACTAAACACTGGCCAATGACTGGGGGGCACAGTGTGATAGAAACAAGTTTGTAGATTTGTGCCTGTACCTCCTTATCGAACCCTACCAGTTCGAAGTATCCTGCACGGTGTCCGCACTCGCCGATCATACCCTTTGAAACTGAGTGGAAGCTTACTAGTTCCACATGATCATACTTTCCAGGACTCTCCTTTTGGAGATTCCTTAATACCTTCTTAAAAGAGTGAAACTCGCCCTGATAAACATTTGTCTGGTAGACCTCGTCGGCCATAATGACAAGATGTTCTTCAGCAGCAAGAGAGATAACATCGGCAATGTTTTGCTCTGTCAGAGTGGCTCCAGTTGGGTTACCGGGGTTGATGACAACGATGGCGCGCAATTCAGTACCAGCAGCTCTTGCCTTGGTGATTTCTCCACGAATGGCCGGCACATCGGTAGCCCAGGACAAAGGTTCATCCAGGTAGTATGGAACTGGGGTAGCGTCGATGAGTGCAAGCGTAGCAGTGTAGAGAGGATATTGCGGAATGGGGATCAGAACGCCGGTTTCTTTAGAGGCACAAATGGTATGTAGAAGTGTAGAAACGCCAGATGATGCGCCGGCGGTGAGGAAAATGTCATCTGGGTCGGCCGGGTGGCCATCACGTTCTAAGGAATCAAGTTAACAGTCTTATCATCACCAGATACAAGTAATTTACTAACCTTCGATAAACCTTGCAACGCTCTTTCTGAGACCGAAACAACCTTGGCTCTGAGAGTATGCACCCACACTCCCTACTTGCTCCAAAAGCCATTTTGCCCTCTCTCTAACGTCTTTCGGGAACAACCCTTCATGCTCCAATAGAGCGGGGTACTCGAGGATACTCAGAACCTGCCTGATGAATGTAAGGGGCTTCTGGCCTAGCTGCTGTGGGTTTCCGATGTTTGCAGAAATAACGTCATTGAATGGAAGATTGTGGTTTGGGGTAGTATTTTGAGACGCGGAATCACTGCCTGAGGCAGAGACGGTACCAGCGGCCGCAAGTATTTTCCGGTATTCTTCTGATTTGATGGGGATTGCTCCACGCACGGCATATTCGGCCTTTTTGACGTGGGGGTTGATATTTGAGAGGTTGAGAGCCTTACGAGGGGCAGAGGTAGACATTGGAGTGGTTTGATTCTGATGAACTGTCCAAGTTGCTTATTAGAATATGAACAATGATGTTGATTTGTATAGTTGGGGAGTAGGGAAGGGTGTGGAAGACGGTGCAGGAGGATATCTGAGGATTTGGGGGAGCTTCGTTACGCTAGATACGGATGACGTTGATAGAGCCTATCCATCGTAGCGACGCACTCGTGGCAATCCCCAAGATCCAAGGTCCAACTACGTGATGAACTGACGATATAGAATGGAGCTTACCAGCACTGGTATATTGTAACTTTAGTCCTACAAGACCCGGTATCGGTGAGGAATAGTGGAAGCTCAATCGACTTCGAGTAATAGCGATCCTGCGGGTAACAGGAGACCAACCCATTGCGATCTACGACCTTCTTAAATACTTGCGAGTATGAGGTTACTAGCAATCTAATCTGTGTGCGGAAGGGATGGAGTGGATGCAGTGCAGAGGGTTCTGCATGGGGAAGAGGGGTGCAAAGAGATGGAAGCAGGACGGATGGGATGTTGGTCAGCCCACGCGTATTAGGAGATGGGGAAATGGGTGCAGTTACGATATGTCAGTCAGATAGTCAGTGGAAGAGTTGCCGGGACCAAAAGCGTGGGGTCCTGGTGGGCAGGGCGGGGTGAAAATCTCGGCTCTTCGCTTATCATGCAAGCCACAAGTGCCCCACATCGTATCAAAACCAGAAAGAAGGGTCTTCCATCACCAATCACCTTCAAGACTGCTTTGTACCTACATACAGGTACGATACATACTTTACCTCTATCATCCTCCCCCTTGGTGTGCTCACGCTCTGTAAGTACCTACATTTAGGTACATGTACCTATCGTTCGAACTAGAGTCGCGGGGAAATGCGCAACTTGAGGAAAAGAGGAAGATTCAAAAATCGTGTCACCGGTTGGTCCCGATCCGCAGAACCCGTAGAGATCCCCGGCTGATACCGAAAGCTCGATTTGACTAGTAAATATCCGTGGGGGAAAGGAAGAATTGATTCCTTCTAGAAATTACACATCATAACTCACCCCCTACACGTGATAACTCAATTTGTCTTCGGTGATAGGGTTCATAAGGCTGCGGATCGAATTGCGATGTTTTTCGACAGTAACTGGTTGGTTGACACACTTCAAGTAATTGATCCCACCGGTATTGCACTCTTCTCAGGGATAGGCAGTTATTTCTTAATCATCGACAAGGACCCCCAAAGAAACCCATTTCTAGTCTCTTAGGATCCTCATGAGAGAGAGCACATACATGTATGTTTCTATATTATGGACATTTATGAAATATTGCCAAGACTTTGTGGTAAAAAAAAACGGAGAGAATATATAACGTTATATTAACATGTACTTGTTAGTCAAGGAACCGCCGGCAATAGTGAATTATCGAAGAAAGGGAGAACCAAGCCTGGATTCGGGCTTAATCACGATATCACATCAGCAGGATACCAACCTCCCACTTGATTAACAGCCACTCGGGGGGTTTCTTCGTATATGTACTCTGGGTAGGTCACAGGATAGAGTACTTTAGGTACATGTGTGTATATTATGATTATCTTGGGTGAATAAAAAAATTTAAATGAAAGGATTGCGTAAAAGTGCTTAGATTGCGTGTGTATGTGTGTGGCACCAGATTGATTTTCCGATCCCATGGTTCAAGGATTAGTAGTAGAACGCCGATGACTGTGCACTGGATTTCACATATAACTCATTCCGCGAGTTGATACAGTTTCATACATGACGTAGGTGCATAGACATTCTTCACATGGATCCAGGTCGAACAAGATCAGGAGCTATAACAAGTACCATGTGGAAGATTCAGTGTCTGTACTAAAATCTTGACCGTCTAGTAGGTTGATGAGCCGAGCCGAGCTCTGCTCCTTCGAAGGGAGCCATATGATTTTCATAATCCCGAGCTAGGTTACGCTGAATCATTCCCTTTGAAATATAATGAGTTGTGGTGATGGTGGTTTCGGGGAAGAAAGGTTTTCTCAAAACCATACAAATACCACCACCTACAAAACTTGGCAGAAGAATATTTGTTACTTTTTTGATCATTGGCCACCAGCTCGAGCTATATCACAAAAACCAAAAACTCGAGTTCTAAAAAGGCACATTAGTTCGCAAAGGTACATGTACCCTAAGCTGTTATAGTAATAGTAATAGTAAACGCTGGTAAAAAGTAAGTTGTGTTCTAGAACCCAATAAGCTGAACAACATATAGAAACTTGGTAAAACGCTAAACCCTGGGTTTTGTTTGCCATGGACGGCATATTGATTAATGAGTAATCGTAGGACTATCCAAGTGATTACATCCGTTTTAAATGAGTTTTCACGCACACATGCTGCAGGCAGAATATCGATAGAACCAATGCATAGTTAAGATATGCGGCCAAGTATGCCATTAATTATTCAATAAATTCTACTTCGAGATTTATGCTTCACGCACACAGCATTTATATACAACTACACATAGGGCGGACTAGTTAAAACTTTTTTTTTTTTTACCAAACTGTCATCCACTCTGTGAACTTCTTTTGAACGAATTTCGAAAATTCCCTTGCAACGATGCGACCAACTTGTTCTGATGGATGCAATTCGTCGTACCAGAGGAAGGAATCACGGTCATTGGGACGATATGTGGTGCCTATCCAAAAAAAAAAAAAAAAAAAAAAAAAATGCATCAGTTTCTGTCTTTCATTCTTATAAAAGCGGGGGGAGTTAAGCATACATGGTCCATCAAGAACGCAATGAAGGTTGAAACCGGTTACGTTCAACGGGAGAGATCCATTCAAGTAGTTTGCAGGGTTAATGCGGATGTCAGTCAACTATTCACAGTTAGTAATCTTTCGTCACTTCTGAATTGCGGGCTTAGCTCGGCAACTTACCAGTCCATAAGTATCCATCATGGCTACTTTAGCACCTTTCAGGGCTCCGTCGTGAATTTCCGCTGGAACTCTGTATTTGAATATTTCGTTTCCACCTTGCACCAAATCTCTCATCCTAGTGCTAATGACAGTCGCATTCCCACTTCTCCCTCTCCAGAATCTATGGGGCCCCTCACTACCACCTTCGCTCAAAGGCGCATAAAGTGGTGCATGCTCAATTGGTGCCAAACTTAGCAAAACAAAGTTCCTTGCTCCATAGTTATAGAGCTTGGACATTGTTTCAAAGACACAGCTCGTGTAGTTGGTTAGTCCTACATTCGGTAGGCCGGTGATGATGTTATCGCCGCCGAGGTCATTGGTTCCGATCCAGATGGCATAGAGTGTTTCATCATTTGAAAGCTTCCGAGATTCTTTTGGGAAGTCTGCGAAGAATGCTGGCACCTCGTAGCCAAGGATATCTGGGAACAGACCGTTGATAGAACTCAGATAACGCGGGGTGAGCGAGTTTGAACAGACGGCGCCAGAAACGGCATAGTTGTAGAGAGTTACACCTGTGTATTGTGCAACGAAGCGAGCCCAGCTTCGGCCGCCAGAAGCAGTGGATGAACTCTGTTTGGTCAGTCAGTATATATGACAACTATGAATGTAGCTAGCGGGTTGGCGGGTGTCAGATCAGAGATTTGGCAGCGGTATGTGTCAAGACCCAGCCACCCCTAGTATGAAAACCAAATAACTAAAGAGGAAAATACTGACCTCCTGCTGAACATATCCTACAGGTGGTGCTGATCCATTGTGACTGAAGAAGTAACCTAATCGGCCTTCGTCCGTGTAGCTGATGGTCTGTTGTTAGACTATGGATCCACAAATGGACATCCGGAAGGTAATTACCTGTCACCAAAGACAACCAAGTTCTTAAACTTGCCCCCTGATAATGCTGCTGAGTCTCGGGAGAACACAGCTCCTTCCTCTGGGTTCAATGGGCTGGCATAGGCAGATAATGCCAGAAGAAGTGTTGAAAGGACGGGTATTTGGACAAACATCGCAAGTAAATTTCCTCTTGAAGAATTTGATGAATGGAGAAACCGACTGAGCAAAATTCAGATTCCTATACTCTTGGGATCCCCTTTATATAAATTTTGTCTGTCTGGGTGCTTCTCTTCCGAAGAGGTACTGTGACATGGGAGCTCTGTGATTTGCAATCTTGGCTGATTTCAAAGCAGGGTTCGTATTCAGCCTAGGGCAAAAGAAAACGTTTAACCACAGCATTCGGTCAACCGGATTTATAACGATGTACCTTTCCTGTTGCTTTATTTGCTCCTATTTTTTTCGTCACCATCAAGCAAAGCCTAATGGTTTTCCGGGGTAGGTATTATGCTCAACCAGGGCCTGACATCGCCAAAAGCGTTGGATCTACAAGATCAGGCACACAAGCGTTATATCCGTGCACGTGGGAAACTGCGGATTTCCCGATATTAACTATTCCGAAAAGGATCATGGCGGCCATTTTCCCATTAGCTTGATTACTCTTTTTGAATCGTAGTCGGGCTTAACGTCAAATCTAGTATTTAAAGCCGTTTTTTTTTTAAAAAATGCCTGGATATATGTACCTACATGTACATATATGTTGGATCAGTAATAAAGAACCGTCTGAGTACTGACCAATAATTTAAATCCATGACTTTGTACAACGCTCTGTAATAACTAATTTCATTATTAAGCACTAAACATGCATACATGGCACTTTACTCATAATATATAACACAGAAGATTATTACAGTTATGTCACCTCAAGATATTGTCGCCTACCAGGCTTTATATCCTGTAGAGCAATAGGTCTCTCTCTCTCCTCAGGTACGTCCCCCGTGCAATCTGATTTATCCAACCGTTTTCGTTCTTTTGACGAGATACATAAATATATAGGATACGTTGCCATTATAGAAAAAACTGAGAGTGGAACACTCATGACGTACCGACGATTGCTTTTTTTGAGAACCGCGTAGTATAGAGGCGGGAAAACCATGGCTCCAACAGCGGAAGAAATTTGATACTTTGCGCCATCTTTGGTGAGCTTCCCACGGCCACGGATGGCTGTAGCAAGAACAATCGGGAAAATGGGTGACTGACATAGATATATCTTAGCAAAGGGGTCGCATCGAAAGAACATTATATAAGACTTACTTCCAAAAACCAAATCAGCTGAATCATCACAGTTCCGATCCTCATGCTTTGTGTGATAAGAGCAAATGCCGTGGTAACGGTGCAGCCTGTCACAGCAGCAAGCAATATATAACGTGGTCGTAAGGCGAGCATTGCAAAGCCTGCAACAAATCTTCCGGCGACGAATAAGCCATGGCTGGTTGTTGAAGAGCTATACACTGCTGAGGTGCCTTCACCAAGATATGTACCCGAAAACCTAGAAAAGATTTCTTGAGCGCCAGTGTATAGGAACTGAGCTACAAGACTCCATATAAATCCCACAGCATATTCACCCTTCCATAGTGAAGTGAAACCATGCCGCTCAGGACCTGTGGGGAAATCTGTATCCCTAGAAATTCCAGGAGTCGTGTCAGTCAGTGAAAACCAAGATTAAAGACAATAAATTAACAAATTCAACATACTTCACCTCTGGAATTTTTGAATAATAGAACGCAATTGCTAACAGGAAAACGAAAAATGCAATTCCCAGGTATACCCACTGCACACCTCCAAGTGAGGTTTCGCCTTCTAGTAATTCAGGTAGGACCTGACTTGCCACAATAGGCCCTACTAAAGCTCCAACAGCTTGAAAGGCTTGTGAAATACAGAGGCGAGATTCGCAATATTTCTGGGGGCCGCACAAGACTATAAATGGATTTGCTGCAAGTTCGATTCTTTACCGTTCTTTAGCTAAGTTCATTCATTCATTTGTACTCTAAGGTGGGCACCTACGTTGCGAGGCCAAGCCCCAAGACCACCATGGAAACACAGAATCCGGCATAACTTTTCAATACCGCAGATGGCCAGAAGATCAAGCACCCAGCACCATTGATACAAAGTCCGACAATGAAGGTGACCCTAAACCCATATAGTTTCAAAAGGGACCCTGACAATAAAAGCGGAGCGGCAAAGTATCCACTTCAGATATTATCAATAATTAGGCTAAAAAAGTATCAACTTGGGTTGTATAAGAACTAACCTGAAGTATGCTGAATGGAGTCCGAGTGACTCTGATACTGATATATTCAACAAATCCTCGAATCGTTGATTTATTGTATTGACAAATCCATACGCAAATCCCCATAAGAAGAATAGCACAGTGACTAAGGAAAGGGGTCTCAAGGACTCCCTAAATGTGAGAGCAATTGCGGACTTTGGTGGCTCAAAGGTTATGAACTCGGTGGAGTGCAAAGTTGAGTCAATCGTGTCACCAAAAGAAGCTGATCCGGATGATCCAGAGACACCGATGCAACTGGGAAATAATTTGGCGATGAGAGGCTTGATCATTGGTACCGAAGCACACATGATACCGGCGTTAATTTCGACGCTACTCCACATGAAAGATAGCGCACCATTCCCTAAATCCAGACATTAAATTAAACCTTGATCCAGTACCAATAACAGCGAAGATTTCCTTACAAGAATTTACATGAGTGTCTTTTACTAGTTCAGAGTGAATGTGCTCATTCGCTAGTGCCCTCTCAAAAAAATATATCCTAATGATACCAACAATCAAGGTCCTATATTCACTCAAGGTTATAAGATACACTAGGCTTCAGCCACAACTTACCGAGAGAACTCACAAACCACCTCCAGCAAACACGGCAATCAAAATAATCTTCTGCTTCTTTGGTAGGCGAAGTGATGTCAAAACTGGCATTGGTAGAATCAAGATTAGTAGGTCGGTAATTACATTGAGAGGTGCCGATGCATAGATAAGTGCATATGTCTCAATACATCTGGCCGTCCCAGGCATATCTGTTAAGAAAGTGGCGGATAGCTTGAGGCACTGATTAGTCTTATTCTTAGAAGAAGAAAATTTCATTTGAGTAATTACCGGATTGCATTGGAAAGCAACAAGAAATGTCATAACAAGACCTCCGATGTTAACAACAATTAATGTTGCCCAGTTCCCCCACTGGACCAGCCTGAAATTTTGGGATATGCTGAGATAGAATAGCAATATCGAGGTTTTTGTTGCCATCAATGCAGGGTGCTGTTATCGTTAAAAATGTTTGAAACTGGTTGTTATCAAGACACTTACATAAAGCAAAGTGTATACAAATTGTGTCTATAGAGACGGCCGTCGAGGCTTTAGAGTCTTTAAATCACCGAGATGAAAACTATAATTTAAAGAGAACTTACCTTCCGTTCCAGTACTTGGTTCTCCTTAGAGAGAGTGTCGTGTCCTAGGCCATATGTAGTGCCTAAATATATGGAAAAAGAAACACCGAAAGAAAGTATCTATATGATTTGAAATTAGCACAGAATATTCAGATTCTTGTCTTCCACGAGTGTCATTTATAATCGCATACCCAGGAAAGCACAATCAACCAGTCATCGGCGTTAACCCTCTTCAAAATGAGTCCTCTCGATACAAATCGAAGCACTACAGCGGTAAATGATAATCCCGAACATATCATTATAACCATCACCACCACCGACGTATCGTGTTTTTCAGACATGTTGATACCGTAAGGTCGAGGTGTTACCCTCGAAGTAGATGAAACCACAGAAATCAGTCAATCCAAGGGACATCCGCGGTTTATAAAGGGGTTGTGGGGAAAACGAAGCTTTCCGGGGAAGTGGGACCCTTAGGACCCTTTTTCTGGTTGAAGGGCTGATGACGGTCAACAGCGGCAAGAATAGCGGGGGAGTCCTTTATTGTCGTTCAGGCCTGCACGGATCTCCATGAGATCTTTGTGAATCCTTCAAGAGAGTTAGTCGTTGTAAGATTACTGACTGGAGTCGTTTTTGTAAAAACATGCCTGCTGCGACACCAATGCAGCATATTCTAAGAGGGTTCCAGCTCACGCGAAAGAAAACGTTTTTCTGATCCAATGCCAAGGGATGGATGGAGTTTTAATACCGGCTTGTCGATGATCAGCGTCGCTATGTATGTTACAAGCTTGCGCCAGAACCTCATGAGGTTCAGACCCTCTTTTCTCTAGATCCACTGAAAAAAAAGATTTGACTTTTCTAGAAATTTACAATAATGAACTTGGGTATATAACTGGTAACAGGGGAGAGTTAACTGCTCCGAATCCACAAACCCGGAGCTCGGCCAAACTTGACTTGTAGGGTAAAATACACCGTGGAGTACGGCGAGTATCTCAGGGTCTAAATTGATCGGCTTCTGGACGTGGGAAGCTGCCGATTTTGTATGAATTCTAGCAGACAGCCAATTCTTATTGGTTACGACTACAAGCAGCATCCAGGTCAGTAAGAGTAAAAAGCCCACGAATCCCTGGGCTGTAATGTGAGGTCCCGGACTGCTGACCGAACTTGGTATGAATAAGAACCCCCAGTTTGCAAGGATACCAAAAATATTGATAGAAGGCCTCTTCAGTTCCTAGTCTTCCCTCTTTTGAAGTCTCGCTTAATACAGACGAGCCCGGCTACCACGCATTCGGGGGTGAGAAACCCGGAACACTACCGAGCGTTGTATGTATGGTGGTAATACGCGGATAACCCCTGGTGTAGATGCTCGAGAGTGATACTTCTACTCCACAGCCTCATATATTTATGCCAGGAACAAACAGGTGGGTGTTCTAGAGTCCAAGGGTGGATTGAGTACCTGGTAAAACATTTTTTCTGTCTGAGGACCAATATTATCGTCACACAGATATTTGAAATCTGGGGGATCCGGGACCTGTGGGGAATAATATATAATCGGGATGGCTGATGGATACATGTATACATACGCACACGTGAATTTAGCGCTTGACGTTCATCTCGGACCGTCCCTACGTATGTATACTTGAGTGTCGCGGCTCCTCGTACATGTATCAACTACTCGTACCTTCGTGACGTTTGTAAAAGGAACCGCTATTGCATACCATACTAGATTGTGGACTTGGCGCGTATTTGTATGGTATGCAATTACAAACGTCACGAAAATACGAGTAGAAGTATCGATCTACCTACACCAACTGCTAGCAGTGTCGACAACTATTGCCCAACTCCACATGAACCCAATGGTTGTGAACACAATCCGACCAGATGATGAGTTGAGGCATTTCAACGACCAACTAGCTATTCCTCATGTTTAGAGGATTATTTATTACCTGGAACTTCTCACCTCCGTCCTACGTCCGCGCGTACAGTTGCAACTCGATATGCCGGATCTCAATACGCCGGATCCCTTGCTGTCCCGTACGAAATCTTCTGAGATTTTAATTTTATTACTGCAAAATCAATTTACTATCCCGGATTTTTTGCTATCCCGAACGAAATCCCTCGAATCTTGGCAATCCGGCATATCGGGTTGCGACTGTACACATTCACAGCAATGTTTGAGTATTAAGCCTGAATTTTGAACCCTTACCGTGCGTTAATTTCATTCAACTTATGGTCCGAGGTGTAGCACCAGGTCGCTACCTCTCGCTAGGTATCACACCGTGACTGCCACTAACTACACTGTGCCAGATCTTAATGCACACAATTTTTCGATCCTGTCACACAAACCTGTTTCAAATACCGACAGAATGTTGCGTGACTATACGATCGCGCAAGAGAGATAGCAACCCCCGAAACAGCAATTCGCTTTTGTGAGCCCAGCATTTCAAGCTAGGCTTATCAAGAGAGGCACATGTGCCGGTATATATGTTCGGGCTAAACATGAGAATGCCGATAAAACGCTCAGATTCGGGAAATTGCCGGAGAAAATCAACCAGCCATAACCATACCTAGGGGCACGCATACATGCGCGTTACTCTAGGGTACAGAAGCCTGGACAGATCAGCGCGGCCAGTCCTCCGTTGGACATTCTGGAACTTCGGTTTGGTTTTGAAAAGATAACAGCCAACATTGTTCCAAAAACCATAGGATCCAAGCACTTCCATAATAATACCTACTGTAAGCATACTTCATGATAATGTTCCAATTTAGATAACTCAATATTTCCGCCATGCAAACCCAATCCAGTCCTTTTAGATATTCAATAATTAGAACTGGCTTTTATTTGGCTTAAAACAAAAAGACAAATAAAACTTTGGTAACCGACTAATCTTTGGCAGGGTTACTTCTTGCTATAAGTACAAATACATGTACTTTCTGGTGGTATTTACATACATAGTACTAGCTTTCGCGCTTATCGCTAGCCAACATCATTACCATTGATTTGTGCTCATTATCATTCGAATGTTATTACAACTTTAAATAAGTACATAATGTACCCAAAACGACTTTGAATGCTCCATTACCCCGCACCACACCCTGCCACCGTGGTTGCACTGTCCTCACTGCCTTGTATCCCTTGGACGGATGAAAGTGGTCAAATTCGCGACCTACCTCTTTCAGCTATCACTAACCTTCTGTGGTAACTATTGCTAATTGTTTATTGCTCTGTTGTTGTTATAAACCGTAAAAAGCAAGGCAATTCCCTTACTAAGTGGTGCACGGTCCAGGTCGCGAATTTGACCACTTGCATCCGTCCAAGGGATAGACCAAATGAGGGATTTAGATTTTTTTGATCAAAAGAAATTGGAGCATCATTTGGTCACTTGAGGATGATGGCAATATTTCGGAGAGCTCCCGTGGGGGGGGTGGGGGGGGGGGAATCCATTCACATAGAATGAGAAGCTACTGAACATAGATAAATAGCAGGTTGTCATCAATGAACACTGCACATCTCCGACATACCACGCGTCCGGTTTAACCTTTTGATTGCAAGCAACCAAGCAACTTAGCGCTAACTGACACGCAAGGAGTAGGGGATTTGCCAAAAATGGGGTACAGGTCGCTCACCAGGAGGATAAAGCGGCTACTTTCGACACGCCCCAACTTTATGGCAATGCACTGTACGACCACTAAAAGCTTTTGGGGAGTCTCGGGCTACGCTGATACATTTAGACTATTACTTGGGGCTCTGCATACTTCTTGGGTCAATCTTAATTTACATCCCTGGGGGTGTACCGTTTGTTGATGCGATATTCTTTGCTTCGTAAGGCGCAATTGCTTCATACCTTCCGGATACTGAATGCTCTTGTTATGACTTTAAAGAATATTCTAATGTTTCCTTCTATAGTGGGGCTGCGACACAATCAGGTTTGAACACGTAAGTTAACATTTGTGATCTTTTCTCAGTTCCCACGCATATATATCCCTATACCCTACGGTTTCAGTGTCTCAGTTAGTTTTATATGTGCCTTTTTTATGGGGATTTTAATTCTTTGATGATATTGTCATTAAACATAAACTACCATAGCTATTTGAGACTTTACATACAGCTAGAATATACTCTTGGGGACATGAAGTTGACTTGAATGATAAAGCATCGACCTGAACAAAGCCAATACATACCAGCAAATCATAACGTACATCATACCTTTTATAACAACGCCGATATTTATCCATACGATCGTTGTGTTTGTTAGGATACATTGGTTTGAAAAGCGTTTCGAGCACATTGGTACAGGACCACCATCTAGTCCTTATTTCAAATCTCGTGTCTATACAATTGTTATTGTAGACAGAAAACTAACTAGAGTATCTAAACAGTCCTAGAGGCCAAGGAAAATCGAGAGCTTCGTCGTACGATTTCCTTAGCACGACGTTCAAAAGAAGTGGTCGGGAATGGTCACTCTATTGAGCGTGGAATAAGTTTGTCCTGCCTGAATTTGTGTCCCAAATTAAACTTCATGTGACCTGACGCCTTTTCGTGCAAAGCTCATCCAAGGTCCCCGAATGATATTGGTGTCCTTCCACCTCTGCCAGTTGGTGTGGCTCAACGAACTGAGACATCACATGCAGTAGCTGTCAAGTTAGTTCAGATCATGTATCCTGTCAGTTATCTCTGTTCTCTAATTGAGCTAGTACTACCAGCACGACCTTGGATGAACCTGGTACTACAGAGCCAACATCCCCTCGTATTATATGGGATGTACCTATTCCCGCCCGTGCAGAAGGTGGGGTAGAGGAGAAAAACGGTATGTAACCCTACTATCCTTTGACGTTTGCATATCAAGCTAACCACTAGGCAGATATCGAAAGGCCCATCAACTTCGAGCCACCACAATCGAGTACAGTAAATAGAAGTTCACTTGATTCAGTCCAAGATGACCTTAGAATTTTTCGTGTCGAGAGTCGAAGATCTAGACCGCGCTCTAGATCTAGGTTTGGGGCCCGGGACAATTCAACTTCAAGGTCAATGGCAAGGTCTCGCCGTGGCCGTTCTAGATCAGCATCGCCAATCAAAACCCCATATCTCTCATATACACCAAGCATTGGTAGAAACTCACAATTCTACGATCTTAATGATGACCAACGGAATGAACTTGGAGGAATCGAATATCGATCGTTAAAAACACTATCCTGGATTCTTATTGGTATGCCGTAGAGATTAGTTATAACTTGGGCTTGGGGCTAGCTAATAATGAAACCGCAACTGCCAGGGTATTACGTAATTATCCATTTTCTTGGCATTATCGTTCTTGTACCATGGATTCTACGAAGCCAGGAATATGGAGACCTTGTCAAAGATCTTGCGCTGAACAAAGTCTGGTGGTATGAGTTACTCGGTGCCTGATTATGATTCAATGAAAACAACTCTAACCCGAAGATAAATCAGGGGAATTTACACTGCTATGACATGTTTTAATGATGTTGGTAAGCACTTAGCCTTAACCTACCCTCGGAGATATCTAGCTCATACCGGGTTTAGGATTCACCCTTACACCGGATTCTTTCATCTCCTTTCAGAAAGCAGCCTTTATATTAGTTTTCTGTGGTCTTCTGATTGTGGTTGGGTACGTAATAATATATGCACAAGGCCAAAATTTAGTATGCAATAATCAGCTAACTAACTATTCCCCCATTCTAGAAATACTGGGTTCCCTCTATTTCTGAGATTTATTATCTGGATTTTATTCGTTCTGTGTCCGGAGAAATATGTCGACACAAAAGATGTGGGTATACACCTTACAAAATAGATCACCCGATTGGCTAAGAATTGATATAGGAACTGAATTTCCTCCTTGATCACCCTCGCCGATGCTTTACATTATTATTTCCTAGTAGGGTACGTTTTGTAGGGCCACATCATCCCTTACAAGTTTAGGGGCTAACTATCTCCTCTAGCCCACCTGGTGGCTCTTCGGGATATTGGTGGTACGTATATCCGCACGCGCTTGGCTTTATTTGTCCGAATTTTAAAGTTAAAGTCAATAGGGATTGAATCTTGCGGATGTTATCCTTTTTCTTGTGCTGGATGTAAGTACACGTTTTGCCCTCTCCCCTTGAATGGGGTCGATTAATAGTTAACTGGAACCACGCATAGTATCAAACACCTGTCGTCAAATCTCTTCCAGTTGGTCTTAGAATCGTAAATGCATTTTTCCAAGCAGTTTCCACCCGAACATCTGGCACAGCATCAATTCCTTTGGGCGAACTTCACCCAGGCATACAATGCAGCTACCTTGGTAGATATATCTCTTGGAAAACTTCTTCATGAATCTTCTAATCCCTCAAATAGTAATGATGTATATATCCGTTTTACCGCTTGCAATCAGCATTAGAAGAACAAACGTATACGAAGAGCACTCTCTGGGGATATACGTCGACAATACACCAGAGGCGAGTGATGGAGATGAAGGAAAATATATTATGGCACACGTCAGACGGCAACTCGAATTTGATCTATGGTATGTTTTTCTGGGATTGTTCCTGATCTGTGTTGCCGAAGGAGGGCGTATCGCGGATGCAAATGATTATGTATGTCCCAAATCCCAAATTTCCAGTTAGAATTATTTTCTGATTTTAGAAGGCCTTCACTGCTTTCAGTGTGTTCTTTGAGGTTGTTAGCGCCTAGTAAGTACATCCTATCTTATTCTCATCTGGAAAAATAGCTTACTCCCTCCAAGTGGAACTGTTGGTCTTAGTTTAGGATACCCCGGGCTCAATTGCTCACTCTCCGGCACCTTTACTCCTTTCAGTAAACTAGTGATAATTGCCATGGAGGTGAGCATTGATGATTACTATTACTAAAATACGTTATTGACCCTAGATTATAGATTCGAGGTCGCCACAGAGGCCTTCCATATGATGTTGATAGAGCTGTGAGTTTATGCTGTTGAGACAATTGACATTCTTTTGCAGTTGCTGATTTTTGGCTGCCTCAGGTTTTGCTTCCTAGCGTCAACACACCCGACTCAACTTTTGCTCCCGATGGTACACGTTTACAGCAAGCTACAAGCTCTAGACAAAACGTTCATATCGCGGAAGATTAGGGAAATTGTGTTAGCGATCACGGCACAATAGACATGACATCTACCTTAATAACTTGATACACTACCTCGTTGTAGTCAACTAATCGTTCAAATTCCCCTGTATTTCCCACTGGTATTCACCCTCCGAAAAGCCTAAAAACACTTCTGTACCCTACTAGTCTAATACTAAACAAAGGAAGTTTCTTTTCTAAAATGATTAATTCAATGGTATTATTTGTATATATGAATGCAACCTCCCCGATAAAACAAATGGAACCCAACCAAACTTTCCCGCAAAACACAAAACACAATACACATACTCCGGAATGCACCTAAAACCTCACATATCTACCTGTAAACCAAAGACTCCCACCTTGCCGCCCCAATCTCCCTTGATCTCGCCTCAGTTGACTTGAAATCATCTAAGCACAATCCATCGATCACTGACAGCGCATCATCAATCCTATCAAACAACTCTGGCAAAAAGCTACATGTGGCCTCATGCGATATCATCGTCATTGGACAATTTGATATCTCCTTGTGTTTGAAACAATACGGAGGGGTTGCGGGACCATGCAAGGTCCATGGTGTACACGGCTCTTGCCTTTCACTCACACTCTCAAAAAACTGGATTTTTAAACCTCGAATTGTTTTCTCTACGTCGGCAATACTTCGGAGGAGGAACTCCTCGTGGGTGGGAATCAGACCTTTGGATCGGAACTCTCGGATTAGAGAGCCTAGAATCATGGTGTCACACTTCTCTGTCCGGGTACTCTTGCAGAATGTGCGCCCCCAGGCGAGGGTGTAGCGTTCTATGTAGGATAGTGTACACTGTAACATATCCCTAAGTGTGTTGCTCCGCTGCTCGAGTATCGAAGCTAGTTGGACCCTATGTGAGCCGGGGATAGCATGGTAGTGGCTGGCTAGAGACTTACCCATAACAGGTTCGGGGATAAGCATATCATCTATGGGATGACCTTTCAACAGTAAAGACCTTGGATTATTCCACTCAAACTCCCCTTCCATGATGAGTTTTTTCGAAAGCGACATGAAAATCTCGTCGATCCCAAACGTCCATGATATAAACAACCATCTCTCGAACCCTGGCTCAAGCGCATACTTCTTCCATACTTCCGTCCAAACATCGGCCCAGAGCGTGACCCCAGGTGCGCAGTCGTACTTATCACAGATGATGGCCAGATCTACTAGGTTTTGGAACGATATTGAGATTGGCACCTTCGAGCCCTGGAGATGGAGAGCGTTCAGGACAACTACGAGAGCTTGTGGGTCGTCTTCGCCGAGCTGGAGTACATATGGCTCTGATGACACCGCAGATGCGCGTAGCTCGCAGGCCTCTTTGAAGCTTGATGACGGCCCCAGCATTGCGCGAAATACCGGTGAAGCTATGCAGAGCACCTGGGACGATACCTTGAAACGCGCAGTTCCAGCGTCGGAGCTGACTTCGAGGATCAAGTCGCCGTAGGGTACAACATCGACAGTCGCCGTTGGATCGTGTCCCGAGCTATATGTGTTTTCTCGTTCACCCGTCGTAGATTCTAAATAAGCAGTTAGTTTGAGGTTTTCTTGCTGGCGAATCTATGTAGCTATTGGGGGTGTATACCCACCATCACGACCCCCGTGAATGGAAGGCGTTGAGGCTGGTGTTAATATATCTTTCAAATCCGACGAGCTATCGACGGCATCAACGTCAGTAGTACAGTGATTTGCAGGCTCCTCTGTGATGTAATTTGCCGCCTCGACACTGCGATCCGTTTGGCCTATTTGAGTAAGTACAAAATTCTGACAAGCCTGGGGGGCGAGCAGGCGAGAGGAAGGTGTGAGTGCAATACCATCTTCAATTGCGAGCTGAGCAGGAGCTTCGACTTGAACAGGTAGAGGTTGGCCCAGAGATAATTCATCAAGATCGGACATGGTAATAAACGAAGGTTTGGAGGATCGACGATGAGTTTGGTAAATGTTAATATACAATTCTACCTGCCAACACAGGGAGAATTTACCTGGTAACAGACAGAATAAGAAGGGCCCCCCGTGGTCTTCCAAAGTAATTTGAAAGGCCCCTTATCACGCACACGCCTGGTGTCCGTAGCTGCACGGGGGTTTGGGTGTGTAGTTGGCAGCTTGGCGTTTGGAGGCTCTTCCGGCATTATCCGTCTTGGCGGGCGGGACACAGAGAATCACTCGGCGGGAGTGGCGTCTGCTGGTGGGGAGCGTGAAACAGCAAGATATGAAGATATGAAGATACACTCAGAAGAGAAACCAACACAGAGACATCAATTCGACTTTCGACTTGCAGTCCTACATACATACATTAATATCCTACACACACGAACACAATTGCAAAAACAATCCTCATCATCATGCATGATTAACTGTAAACTTAATACTCACGAGTGCCGCAACATTTCTCCCATGTCAGGCCTGTTCAGCACAATACTGACTCTTTTCCTTGGCCGCTCTTCCACCATCTGCTGATCTGACCCGGCACATGTACACCTTGCGGGAGCGCAAGCACAGAGGGCCTCGCCCCTTGCAAAGCTGCGTGGGATGTTTGAGCCAGTAGGCTCGATACTCGGCACCGTGCCCTCATACGCTTGCTCCACAAGTGTGTACAGGCTATCCTTATCCTCGTTCAAGCTCTCCCCAAAGCTCTCATCGAGCTCATCCACACTAGTCCTTCTGTGCCTCATCTTGGTCGCGCACTCACCACACGTACAGCTACCCGGAGGACAAGAGTATGCTAAACCGCCAATTGGCAAACCCCCTACCACCGCCTCCTGAGGTGCTCCTTTTCCATGTCCCTTAATCCTCTCTTCGAATTTTAGCAGACCGTCCACAGTGTCGACTACAGACTCTTCTAGCCCTCTCATATTCACTCCTAGCTCACCGGTCACCCTATTATCACCTTCATATCGACCACCAAATATCTCATCTTCTTCCTCCTCCTTGAATGCCCCTGGAACACTATCAGCCCCTGGGACTCGCCCCTCCGCAACAAGCCCTGGGAAGCATCTTTCCACAACCTTGCAGATCTGCTTCGAGTTACAGATCCCCGCAACAGCAAAGAAACGGTCTTCTCCGGCGTCCCCACTGACCCCTCCTCTCATCAATGCTGCAACATGTGCTTTGGCAACGTCTCTCACGTCTGACCATGGTCCAGTGGTATTTACAGGAACCGTGTCGGTGCCTCTGATGAGACGAAGTATCTCTGATGCAGGCTCTGTTGTGGGTGGATCATGTGCGGAAGGCCCAAACAGAGTCGGCACAATAACTGACGCTAGGGTGAAGTTTGGGGAGTTGGCTGATATGTATTTCCATGCTGCACGCTCGATTGGTGTTTTTAGAGGTGAGGCTTTGAGGGCCGTGGTCTAAAACGGTGTGTTAGCCTTAAATTGTGATAAAGGGGGAGAGCGCATACAGGGTCCCAATCGCTGCTTTCTCGATCTCTATTTAAATCGTTCATAACAGAGGTAAGTATAACCCGTTTTATCGTTGGGTTATGCTTGCATATCGAATCAAGTATCCCTACGATATTTGACTCCTGCCTTTGATCCCAGTTTTTGTAGGGACAGGCGGTAATGATAACCTATTCTCCGTAAGTATATACATACCCTCAAAGCCTAATCGGTACATGTCGAGTACAAACCCCAGAAACACCTCTCACAACATCTTTAGGTTTATCTCCCGCAATACCACCTGCAATTATAATCTGCACTCGCTCCTCGCTTCCGGCGCACAGCCGCTTAACCATCATTTCCTCATTTCGAGTACCAACGACAGCCTTGACTTTAAACCCTTGTACCAAAAGGACTTTGAGGATATGGCCTCCGACAAATCCGTTGGCGCCTGTGATATTATTGAGATTCATCAGTAACATATCCATACATCGAAACACGGGAACAGGATATACCCGTAAGAAGAACTCTATCGCCGGCTCGTAGCGGATCATGCTTTTGTTGTTGCTGTTGCTGTTCCTCTTCATCATCCGAGTCAGGGCCGGCAACATTAATCGCTTGCAGTGATTTCCTGATCGTCTCCATGGTTCGATTCTCGTTTTACCTTCTTTTTCTAGTGTGAACTTTTGAGAATTTGAGGAGCTCAGCCTTGGGTATATCTATTCTTTCTACAACGAGCGCTAGATCTAGAGAATGATGGAGGCACTGCATAATCATTCCATCATTACGGGGCGTGGCGTGGTCTTATGGGAAGAAATGGGTGACTTCATAAGGCTCTGGGAGGCTTAGCGTTGTTATGGTTGACGGCTAGTGCGCCACGAGTGATAAATGGTGGATGTAGTGGGGCGCGAGTGATGCGTGGTGAAGGCGCGGTTGAAAAATGGGGTGGTTGTGATCATTGACGTCGGTGTGTCTAGGAATGTGAAAGAGTCCTACTGTTTGAGATGGGGCTCTCAACCACAACAGCCATGACTATAATCACATGTCTAGTCATTAATATTTAGCTAGAAATTACTATCAGTGGTGGGTCGGGTATTAAAGAGTGCTAAACCCAGCGAATATAATTTATTTGTTGTGTTCCACGCTTTGTACTGCCACCAATGCTCGATTCATTGTTATCACGATTACGGTCCATGAAGAAAGAGGATATATATAGGAAGACTGCATAAATGGTATTATTGCATTATCTCGTAGTGCTCAAAGCGCATAACAGGAATTTCCACCCATAACAAGCTCATGTAAAAAAAACCAAACATGAAGAAAAAGCCATGATAACTATAAACATGAAGCATAAACATTAACACAGAAGCCAAAACATTGAAAAAATAAAAATAACATAAATCAAAACGCCATGTCCCATGCTCATGCCTCAATCTATCATGTCCCCGTAACCTCATAAAAAAAAGCCCGTAAACCTCATTTACATCACCAACAGCATCATTGCCATCTCCTTACAACATCACCGCCAACCCAACAACGCCGACCACCGCCGCCGCCAATCTCGACACCTCCACGCCCCTCCCGGCCGCAGAGCAAATATACCCCTGCGTCCTCCAGTACGCACAGCCAGGGCGACTATACCGCCCATCATCCACAACAATCGTCTGCGTCGCCGTCGCGCCCGCCGCAAACACGCTCTGCACAGTCGTCACCACCGAGTTGCCCTCCACCGTCACCGTCGACACCAGGTAGATTGTGGTCGCGGTCTGCAGCACATACACACTCGTGGCCACGGCCTCGGCCGCGTTGCTACAGTCGCCGACACCAGACTCGCCGGTGCCCGACAGGCAGATGCCGGAATTACCCGTGCCTGAGTTGCCCGTGCCGGAGTTGCCGCAGCCCGTGTTGTCGGTGCCGGAGTTGGGGGCGCAGGTTGTTTGCGGGGCGCGGATGTGTAGGCCGTGGATTATGGGCGTTGTGTCCAGCGGGACGGGGGTGGCGCGGGGGGAGGGGGAGGGGGAGGGGGAGGAGAGCAGGGGGTTGGCGAGGGTGGGGAGGAGGAGGGAGAGGGATAGTAGGGCGGTGGAAAGAGGGAAGTGCATTTTGGCTATTGGTTTGGGTTTTCGTGATCGTGGGTAATATTCGTCTGGGCTGTTATAAGATCGTGGGGTTCGTGAGTGTGGTAACTTCGTAAATGTCCGTTATAAGAATGCGTATCTCGGCTTCGTAAATAGTATCGACCGTAAAAGTGACCGTGATCGTAGAATGACGGGGCGTGAATAGTATCTCGTTATGAATATCGTGATAGCAATAGAATCTGAAACTCGTTCTTTGACTTTATCGTGATAGATCGTAATTGTCTTCAAAGAAATAGTATTTCATTCCTTTTCGTTTCCAGTGCTTCCTTCGTTTCCAGTGCGTTCTTCGTCTCAGTGGTGTGTTCTTCGTAACTGCAGTGCGTGCTTCGTAACGTTATCACGTTCTTCGTAGTAGCAATACGTTCTTCGTAGTAAAACGTTCTTCGTAGTAACAATACGTTCTTCGTAATAGTATCACGTTCTTCGTCTCAGTAGCACGTTCTCGTAATAATAAAGCGTTCGTCGTAGCTGTAGCACGTCTTTCGTCTTTCGTCCTTCGTTCGTCCGATTATTCGTAGCAAGAAACGTTTACACACCACTTCGTCAAAAGCGTCAACACACCAAAAAAAAAAAACGAAAATACAAACCCCGCGCGCAACCCTCACCATATATATCTATTTTTTTCCATCACCGCGCCGCGCCCAGCTTCCCAAAAAAAATCAGAGGGCTGGTAAAAGAAAACCCACCCTTTCCCTTCCCTTCCCCCTGCACAAACAAAAACCTGCCCAGATGCCGGCCGTTGCACGAAAATGACGCAGCACCAAATCTCAAACCGGCGCGAAGTCAACCACGGGTGAGAGGGGGGTTTAGTTACCCTGCAAGGCACGATGCGATCTAGGGGATGGAGGGGGGGGGGTTCTCATCCTCGTAATCACCGCTGTCTACAGGCAGGCAGCAGCTACATGTATGTACAGGCAGCTAGGGCTGGGCAGACATCAGCAACAACACAGTACAACACAGACGTCGACGACAAAGCCAGGCCCCCCAGACAGGATTCACTTGCTCTCTCGGGTGGCTGGGACTGGACTGGTCTTGACTCTTGGGCTTGCCGAGTCCCGCTTACTTGCTCTTCTCTGTTACTACTTCAAGTCTTCAACTGAGCTTCAAGGTCGGAAACATCGCGGCCGGATAGGTAACCGCCCTGGCCTGTTTGGCGGAGATGAACAAGGGTCATGATGGATGCGGCGCAGGCTACGTACATGATTGTCGATAATCACCTTTACCTAACCCGCGGATTCGAAAACAACCACAATCACAACAATAATAATAAATAATAATCGAAATTATCTGAATGAGCGGAGATTTAGACATCCTCAAACACACACAGAGTACCTACAGTTTCAATACTGGTGCTACAATGGAGCAGTACCCGAGAGTTGACATGCTCCAGATTCCCACTCTCAGACTACATGGAGTTAGCAGTATCCCACATTCACCCCGAACTGTGCGGGTAAACGAGCTACTCGGGGCAGGCATGAAGAACCTGAACATCGTTTTTCTGGTAGCAACCACTTTGACCCCTGCTAGTGCGTTTTTATGTTCAGGTTCTTGTTACCTGCCCCGAGTAGACCATCGGGATGTCGGTGGCCCATCCCCCTTCTCATCCCCCCATCCCCCCATCCCCATCCTCATCACAACATCCCCATCACATCACATCCATCACATCCGAAACCATCCCTTCCATGGGCCGTGGATGCAAGATGGATGGAGATGCCGATGGGATGTGGATGGGTGACAAGTGACAACCAGTCCGTTCGTGCATATCTGCAATCATGCAGGAACACACACAACAACACAGCCAGACCAGACTAAATGTAGCAAGACTTCCTGGATTGGGCATCTCCAAGAGGCAGAGTGCCAAGAGAAGGGAGCTTCTGGAACCCTTTGAAGGTGTTACTTTACTTGGGGGTCAAACATATTGAAAACTCTATGACTGGATCAGATGGGAAACTGGACCGGACCGGACTGCGCTGATAGTGAAATGAAATGAAATGAAAATGGGATAAGCAAACCTAGACGGAACTCCCGTTCGACATCAATGGCGAGACCGTGGGGGGGAAGATCAGGGAAGTTTAAGCTTGATATGCTTGATATGGCCGGCCGGCTTACGCGGCATGAGCCACCCCCCAGTCCGAGTTCTTTCTTGTTCAGTGCGGATTACCTCGATTTAATTGGACTACCTATATGTATGTATTCTTTGTTTCCAATCATGAGGAAAAGAACAATGTTTGGTATGAAGGAAAGAAGTGAAAATAAGAAAAGAGAGAAAAAAAGACAATACATGTCATCACTACTTAGGTACTTATACATCATCATTAAAAGGGATTTTCTCGTAAATGAAGCTCTGCCCCCCTCTCGGGACCAAAAATCAAATGACCTAGATGCCAGAAAGAGAAGAAGATGAAGAACAAAACGAAGAAGAAAAACAGAATCACCCAAACACTACAAAAAATCCTGAACGCCCCGCCCCGCCCCCATCCCCATGTGCGTACAAGATAAACTTGCAATATGAAAGGAAAAAACCTAATGAAATTGGCCCAACCGCCCCGTCCCACGTATTCGTTGATCATTGATTCGTCAATTCGTTCCCGTTCCATCTCTCCGGTATTCTCTCCGGGATATTAACCTCGACCTTCTCGATTGCCTCCTTCAGCTTCCCCGCGTCCCGCACCTCGCTCTCCCAGTACGATAAGCAGCTCTTGGCCAGAGTGATCGCCTCGCCCCATTTATACGGCATGGGCTCCAGCACCCTGAGCTTCTTCACCGCCAGGATTATCACGCTGTTGCTTGTCAACGCTCTCAACGTCAACCACGCTCCGTGGTGCCGGTGCATTATCACGTTGGACAGGATGAAATTAATATCAATCTCCAACCCCTTATTCGCATAATCCAGCATCTTGTGGTACCTACAGTGGTGCCGTGCGTGCGGTGCGTGGAGGAGGTAGTAGATAAACGGCCGATACACGCGCGACAGATTCCACCAATACCTCTGCCGCAGGTACTGCAACCTTTCATCTCCACAGGGCAGGCTGGGATCCGACGGGAACTTGAGGATCTGGGGAAGACAGGTTAACCAGAGGTCGAGCTGCAACTCGAATTCGTTGGCTGTGTGTAGGAGTTCATCTATGGTTGGCTGAGTTGTGGTCTCATCCTCGCCTGTAGAGGTCGACGTCGATGTCCCGTCATGGTTCCCTGCTGATCGTGGCGTGCGCTGCCTGAATGTTAACGACATTCGGATCTCGACTTTTCGGAGCGCAATTTCCGCCAAATAATAGAACCAGGTCTTTTGGTCTTCCAACTGTTCTTCCGATGCCCGGTCCTCGGTGGCATAGGCGCTGCGGGGTTGCTCAAAAAACGAGTTTGAGGATTGGAACGCCTGAGATGTTGAAATCTCTCGGGGCGGAGAAGGGAATGCGTGCGGATATTCGATTTCATTGAGGCCTGAATGGGAGATGTCGAGTTCTGCACATAGTTCGCTTGAAGGGCGAAGATAGAATTAGCTCTGCTGAAAATTTTTTTTAAAAAAAAGGAAACTGAAAGGGAAGGGTATGCACAGTTCTGATTTGAGACAACTCCAATATATCCTTTGTTCCAGGTGTCGCGTTGGCTCGCTTAACGAAAACATTGATGGCGCTCCGTAGCTTGCTTCAGCGATCTTGGCCTTCTCCTTGCGGTGCAGATACCCCTCGCAAGAAACAGAAGCGGCGTTGAACATTTTCCAAGCCGCAAATTGATGGAAAGTGTACATGTGGTATATTCCCGTCAAGAATAGGCACTGCACGGCGACAAGCTGGTTCGACGACATCACGATCCCCAGTCGTTTCTTGGCGGCCGCAAAATAGCGTTGACTGATCTCTGCAGAAGGGAATACCGTCCGAGCTGTGGGTGTCTCTGACATACGAGGCATTGATTTCGGGTTATATGACGCTGATAGAGATCCCAGGGCGCAAACTAGAAGCTGTGAACTTGTTAGGACCAACCATCAGACGAAAGCAGTATGCTGAACTCACAAGTAAACAAGCCTTCCCAGTCCAGCCAAATTCCCCAACACGCTCGACATGGTTGGCGTACTTTTCCAGTTCGCTTGAATCCAAGATGGGGTTTTTCGTGTGTACGTTTCGGAAGAATCTCTTAACCAGAATGGCAATCTCCCCCCGGGTTTGTAGTAAAACCTTTTCATCGATATACATCGGCCCCTTTTTGGTGCTAGGACTATAATCATCCCCATCCTGATGCTCATGCTGTCCGTTCTGATGCTCCATCGAATGTCTATCGGGTCGGTAATCATTGCCCCAGCCTTGTGCCTCCCCATCATCGGAATCTTCATCATCCGAGTCATCTCCTTTGTTCGCGAAAACAGGTGCCAAGATATCTTCTGTGGATATCTTTCCCTGGAAGACGGGCCATTGTAAAACATTTTCTACCCTCGACGCCGCAGCTGTTGATATAGAGATAGGAAATACCCCCGACGCCTCTGCTGGGTGATCTGAGCCCCTGAGTCCAGGTGAATGCGTCCTTATAGTGGTCGCAGTACTCGGCATCACAGCACCTCCGCTCGTAGATGATGCATGGGGCGAAGGGTGACTCGTAGGTTGGTTGTTTGCTGGAACATCTAGCAGCGCTTCTATCCTCGAGAGTCTGTCCAAAATGGCCAGAGAAGCCGCGTCGAATCTGAAGGGAAAAAATACAAGTCGTCAACACTAAATGTACCATGCTTGGGAGCTCACACGTAAATCTCAATCAGTTTGAAGAAGTTGGTTTCCATACGTAGCAAGCTTCTCGGCCTCATAAACACATTCGGCACCATTCTGTCGGCAGAACCCGCACTGTGGGCGCTGGTTGTCACATTTCGTCTTTCTGCCGCGACACACAAGGCACGCGCTGACAGCTCTTTTTCGTGGATAGCTAGATGCAGATCTTGACTTTACCGCGGAGGCATGAGGGCGTTTTGTTCCTGGCTGCTGCTGTTGCTGCTGCTGCTGTTGCTGCTGCTGCTGTTGCTGCTGCTGCTGCTGCTGCTCAATAGGAGGAGGTGGTGGTGGAGGAGGGGGAGGAGGAGGAGGAAGGGATCCTTCGGGGGCGGTCGGCGTTGAATAATAACGTGGATCCATCTGATCAAAGAAGATAGCAGTCTTGTTTTTGATGCTGTACCGGGCAGGGAAGCGATCTGTAAGGGTGATATCGGGACTCGCTCAATTGACCACTGAAGTCGGTAGACGTGTGATAGAGGTCAACCTAGCGCGTTGGAGCTCAGTTTAAAAGCCGACATTCCCCGCTCCCCGCTTTTTTCACCCCGTGGCCGGGAGGTCCGCGCTGTTCCTGAATGCGGCATCGCGTAGCCTTGTATTAAAGTTTCCCCATGCCGAGACCCCGGGTAGCACAACCCCCAGAAAATAAAGAGACTTTGCCCCCTTTGTCCCTATCAAGCTTTGATTTTTGATCTATCTGAGGCTGTTTCGAAATCACTTCAAGCAGACATGTTTCTACATCCTGGTTGAAGATGATGTTTGGGACCTAGAAATCTTCCGGTTGTTGTAACCCGCGGTGGGTGCCAAGACTCTATCGATTGGTACTTCATGAAATATCACTAAACAAACAACTGGCCCAACAGAAGGGACATCTAAAGAGCTGTGGGTGGAAGTGCTCCAGCCCTCCATGGCCCCTTTGCAGCTCAAAAGTCCAGGAGGTGGCAACTACACACGGAAGTTAGGACCTGATTCCGCGAGGCATTTGTCAGAATTATCAATGTTACAGTATAGGACTGGGGTGGTATCTCACCAATCATGCAGCGGTAACCTTGGCCAGAGAATTGTCGTACATTGATAAGACATTCGTCTTATTATCAATCGAGGGAGAAAAACTTGTTGTCTGGTTCAAAAGGGAGAATATGTGTTCGTGAGGGATGTGCTCTCCTGGAGGGATGGTCGTCCCTGGGTATTAAAGATAAAATGACAAGCTGGACAGGTGATCCCGAGGATAAATAAAAAAACCGCGCGGGGTACGGGTGCGATGCCGGAGGTTATTCCGATGTTTAGTCAGCGAAGTATATACATACGAATTCCAAGAGTATGTCAATATGTTGATTAAGTCTAACATTGCATGGCTATATTTCCATATATCAAATACACCCAGGAAATTCTTCAACCTTCCGAGATCACTGGTCAAAATAGATTGTTTATGTTATTCTCTCCTAGAATAGCGGATAAGAACTACTGCTCATACGCCATTTTCCAAAATATGCTACATATCAAGTTAATTTTGTCAATCTATTCTAGCTCGCCCAAATAGATCGAGTGCTCTCTTTTACTCTTATTACCTGGTATTTAAATAATTGGGAATGAGGACTCCTTTTGCCAGTATAGGGTGATGATATAGGGCCCGATTCATCGTGCGTTATATACATTATATCGAAGATTCATATACTCACCTTTTGCAACTCGCCGTTTCTCTAGTATTAACGCTGTAATACCAGACCTACACCTAAGCCTGTCGATGAGGAAAGGCTTATACGAAATGCACTAACGACATGGTGTGGAATGAGAGATCATTTCGACCTCATATTTGTGGTTGTATACATGTAGTCAAAACAAGACTTTAGTAGATGTATCATTTTCTATACGAATTTGTGGTTATCAACTTTTATAAGTGGGGACGTGGGCCCTAGTGAGATGGTATTATTAACCCAATTTCCAGATACTACGCAGTTTCCGAGTCTTTCATTCCCTCACTCTTAACATGAGTAATATACATCATGTGCATGTGTATATCAACTCATTTAATGTTATATTCTTAAGGTTTCGAGAAAGCGTAACACCGATATAGTATATCGGTGGAAATCAAAGTATGCGTATATCGAGTCTTTGGCCTAAATTCATAGCCCCGCTTGCTTACGGGTAAATTTATATGTGCTGTAGTTTGGTTTGTTTATTTATTGCGGCCACTTGTAGTAGTGGTTGATGGTGGGTATATATATTTCCACTATCCATATACATTCTCAATCTTCGGTCAGCATACATATACATACTCAGATCTTTAAGTCACTCGATCCATTCGCCAATCCTTAGGGTATCTTAACTACCAGTGGATGGAAGAAGGCTTCTACGCTCGAGTAGAGGTGGAAACAAAAGTCACGGTACGTAACTGGTAGTACTGCGGTGCCATACTGTAATTAGGCAGGCATGCATCGCATGCTATAAGAGATAACCCAAACCGTGTTCACGGATCATAGATGAGACCGTAGAATAAAGAATTCATGAATATTATGATATTTACTCTTCTGTTATATAAACTCAATCTAGCATGCGCATTGATCGAGTGACGGTTGGCGTATATGTATTCTTGGAATATTTGCTTGGCGACTAATACTTGTATTAGTCAACCACTATTGAAAATTTTCGCGAGCCAAGTCACACCAAGCCGCATAAGGCGACATTTTGGCCGACGCGCTAGGGGCCTCTTCAGGGCTATAAATTGACCCTCCCCCCGCGTCCCTCTTCCCTCACTATGCGATTTTACTTCATAGGATCATTTCTATAGTAAATCGCCTCTTCTGAACTCTTTACCAGAGCCACAGAATCTCCAACCTGGGGGATGAGGTTTATCCTCCCCATCCAAGAGTGATGCCTTTTTTGCCTCTGCTTCGGCGGTGGTGGCTATGATCTCGACCCTTGTCTTCACCTGTTTCCTTCGGGGAGCTGGAGATGGGGGTGGGTGGGGATGGACGTCTGACAGGTCCATTCCATATATATATCTTTAATTGTCTACATGCATCTATAAATGCGATTTAACTATACGATAGAAAGAAAATAAAAAGATTTATGAACAAAAACATACTCTTGACCTTATGAACATAGTACGTGAGCAGCTCAATCAGTCATAACAGCGTAGGTGTGCAGATTCCAGAGACATTTCGGCCAACACGTTGTTTTTGTGATGTGTTAACATTTAAGAATTAAGAGGAGCTCAAATGGATGTTTTGAACACGTCAAAATCTGGAACGTTCTGATGCAAACTCATTATCGGACCATATTATGGATTCGCATAGAAACCCCAGTCCATACCGGGGTAATGTCGGAACAATCTTTTTCGCTGCGAAAAAAGGTTGCTGAAAAATCATTTCCCACATTTTCGCTAGCACAGGATTCACCAAACATGCATGCAGGACCTTGATCGCCGCACTTGAGATAACGTGGACGTCGCAGGACGAGTGATTGACCGTGAGTATACATACACGTGATGCATGTAACCGAGCACTCAAACACTCAAACACTCAGCTCAGATCTGCCACAATCGCAATACCTATTACTACACCGTAGTTATTACTCTACCTTTGCTTGCCTTGACATGGTAATTTATTATACAGAGTACGAGATACTCCAGAGTAATCCAACTGCGTGCAATTTAGGTACATGTAGTGCAGCTCTCTCAAGTTCTCGCGATCACTTTCTGTACCTCGGCCCACCACGGATATCATCAGTGTTAAGGTCTCGGATAAAGTGTCTCGGCGGTTGTCCCCCTCCGAAGCTCGTTCACACGCCTTGCCAAGAAATGCTGCTTCCTCGGGTTATCCCCACAATTTGTATGGCTGTGGCAGCTTCACGTGCGAAGACTTCCAACCACATCAACCCACGATTCATTGCTCTCTTCCGGGTTTCCAGACAAACCCTCCACTTCACCTCCTCCTAACTTCATTGTTAACATCCCCACCAAGACCATCCAGCTTCTGTTCCTCCAGTGGTTGCTTTCTTTCGTAAAGGAGATCGTCTCTATACATACAGATCCAGTCACTTATCTGCCCACAGTGTGAATCAGAGCTCAAGTTAGCCTTCGCATTCTACCAAGTTTCAACAGAACCACATCGCCAAACTCTCCTCACAACAACTTTCAAAATGGTCGCAGATTCGCTCGTCTACCACCCCACGGTTGCGCACTACATCCGCTTCGTCTCATCGACCGGTAACTTCAATCCTGTCTAGTCTGGGACTGAAGCCCAGTATTAAGATATCATCATGTAAGCTGACGACGGTGTGGGAGGAAAATAGCTGGTCGTGATAAGGCGTTGAGGACGTTGCAGTACCTAGCGCGCTTCCTCTCTTTCTATCTCCTTAGGAAGGGGTATAAAATGGATGTCATCGCTCCGTTCGAGGCGATCAAAAAGCAGTTTGCCTCGACAAGAAAGGTGATGCGTATTGGAAAAAACATCGAGCATTTTAAAGCTGCATCCCAGGTATGATATAATAGGTGCCGTGGCAAGTAACGAGCTAGTTGAGCTGATAGCTATGTGATAACAAAGGCTATGGACAATAAATCCCTAGACCCTGTCCTCCGCTACTGCGCTGTTGGCCGTCAGCTTGGATACTTCACCTACCTCACATTTGATTCACTCTCGTTCCTCGATAGCAGTGGAATCTATAAGTTTACCGCTGGCAAGAAGCTAGCCGCAGAAGCATACCGGGCCTGGTTCGTGGGTCTAATATTCTCGCTTGTTGGTGGGGCATACACCCTGTATACGCTTCGTGAGAGGGAGAGAGGAATCGTGAAAACGATTGCAGAGGGAAAGGTGGAAGGAGAAAAATTAGTCAAAGAAAGACAGGCGACGGTTACCCAAATGATATCGGATGTATGCGACGTGACTATCCCGGCCAGCGCATTGGGATATGTTGCATTGGATGATGGTATTGTAGGAATGGCAGGAACTGTCAGCTCTTTGATCGGGCTCCAGGCCATCTGGAAAAAGACGGCTTAAATATGAGTCGCCCGGGGTGTGTACATGGAGGTAGGCAGGTAAATAGAAACGATTATGAAGAATAATCGAGAGGGGGTTTCACGCACAAAAGTTTGTGTTGCAAGTATGGGAGGGGGATTGTTTGCTTGGTTGATTGATTGGGACATCTTTGCTTTGGTCGCACTTTTTTCCGTTTGTTTTGCTTTGGGTGTACGGTATGTATGGTACGGTATTGGGAGGATTCTATTGGACAGTACGATATCATGTATGTTATTCCTGAGACGAAGAATAGCGGCTCGGGAGAGGTTTATATGTACAGATAGCTAAGCTTTAGTTAAAACCTATTGGCGAAAATATGACTGGCTGTCGCTCATTTGTTCTATCTTACGATCGTTATCATGATATACTTACGATTAAACACATGATATTTTCCCCGCCTGTGTCATTGATCCAATTCACCCCTAATCCCTACTTGGTGCTGGCTAGATGAGTAGAGTACTAATTGAATCAATGAATGATGAATGTGATTTATTTATAGAAGAGACGTATTAGGAGATAAAGATATATATAGGTCGCGATGATCATAGATCTAGAGAGGAAGTACAGAATTCAGCAAACTGATTGCACGATTAACTAAGAAGAATTAAAAATATTTAGCCGTATCATATATAGGCTTGTAATTCCTTGTGTGATAATAACAAGTGATTTCATAATCCGTGCCGGATCGATCAATATGCAATTGCGGGTTACACCAAGGGATGGCCGTGCCTGATTGATCATGAAACGGCATATTTCTAGCAGATTCATGTAATTGAATACGGAGAGATTACATGTATTTGTGTGCGATGCATGTGTGTTCGGCGCGTGGGTCTCGTGCTTACTGCTCATAATTAAAGATTGTTTGTATTTATCTTCGCACGCAGTGCAAATATATGAGCTATTTTTACCAAGCGAGAAGCGCCACTTGGGAACTAGTACTACTATTAACTCCACTGTAGTTTAAGTTGCTGTTACGAAGTTAAACTGTATTTAGTTGCCTAGGTGCCTATTGATAATAACCCTTTCATTAATGCCGAATCATGTTTCATGACGGAAGTAATAGCCAATGAGAAGCACAGCCGGGAATAAGGAAGCTTTAGATACTATTCCTAATTAACCGCGTTATATGAAGAACGGATACGAAGCGAGTTGTTTGGATAACAGTAGTGATTGTCCTTCCCTTGATTTAAATGCGGACCCATCATGAGAGTGTCGTAATTAGAGATAATATTGGAATGAGGCCAGCGATGTTTATGTTTGTTGTACGTACATGTTCGAGTAATGTCGAGAAGAATATTACTATTCTCCTTTGGAGCTTTAAACACCTAAATAATGAATACATACATGTAGTAGGAATATAGAATAAGGAGTCTGGCCATGCACATGGATACATGCCCTGCTAGATCCCAATGATCTCGTACGATACATGTATGTTCATAAATGTACTTACAATTTATGATTTTATGACTGAAATTTAATACATGTAGCCGACTTTTTGGATAGCTTAGCCAGTAGCTTTTCTAGCAGCCCGTCCACTGCCCACATCAACTAGCCCGCCCATTAGCGTATCTAGAATTCCATATTCCGTACCTTTACCCGAAAATCCAAATCACTAGTGTGATCCAATTCCTTTTCTATCGTCTGATGTAATGTATCCTCTTATGCCCTCTCACATTTACTACCCCATCATCACCCTCTCACCTCCCACATCACACATTTCACCAACCACTGACCTCCCCACATCTCCAAATCTCCACATTTTCGTCTTTTACCCATCATCCACCATCCATCAGCGGGCATCCATAATTATTCATCAAAAATACGATAATCATCGAGATTACCATCTAGAAAATCTGTCAGTTTATTTTAAACCTAATAATTCCTTCATATCCTGCCCTTTCAGCTCAATTTCCCCAAATTTACTACCCAAAAATAAAATTCGTCAAGTTATCATTTTATTCTATTAAGCCTTACAATTTGTTCTTCTTATCATCCAAATTACAGCACATTTCTAACTAGAAATTCACATTTTTCTACAAACGTCACTCTGACTATTTATCTAACTCTTCGTTCAGTTTGAAAAATCGTACAGATAATTTTCATTCAAAATGGCACCAGATCAGCCCCAAATGGGGAGTCCAATCATTGACCCCACATCTGCACCGTCAACACCTACCACTTACGACCATAGAGACTCTTTGGTAGAGACTAAGTCACGCAATTCGCGGAGTGAGTCTGTGCTTCTGCCAGATAGCCCACTCTCCGGAACAGACTCTCTCGGAGGAGAGGTATGGATACCACGACTGAGTGGAGGACTTAAACGTCTCCAGTACGGTGGTAAAACCCTGGAATTCGCACAGACGGCAGGGAACCATGGCGTTGGGACTCCAAGACGTGACGCTGGTAACACGGATGATCGACAGGACGAAAATACACCGGTGCCGTCAGTACCTCTAGCACTTCCAGTATCCCCACCCAGATCTGTTGCAGGTTTGAAGGTTTTTAAAAAGCCCAATCGACATCTGAGTAGCCATGAGAACGTCAACTATGCATGGCCTAGAGAAACTGGCTGTATTAAGGACCCAAAGGAAAGTACCAGGGAGGAAGACGATGACCGTGAAGGGAGTTCCCTAACTGGATGCGAATACGAATCTGATGATCTTGCAGAAGACATCAGCCATGGTCTTGCGTATGGTCATAGAAAACAACCAACCTCAACCTCCAGCCCTTCTAGTGGCGAATATGTTCCGGATACTGTTAACGAATCACTAAGGGAAAGGTCTCAAGATCAAACAAACAACTATCCTCATAGATCATCGATCCATGAACCAGTCTCTAACGTCGCTATTCCGGAGAACTTAGCAGTGGCAGAGAAAAGTTCTCGGTTCAAAATTCTTGGTAAGAACGGGTTTTTTACGAGCTGGAAAAAAGCGACAAAGACCGTCAACCTGGAAGAGAAGGGCCTTGAAGAAATACCAAGAGATAGACATTATGAAGGGTGCATTTTATGTCCACCCCAGCCATCTCCGCGGTCTTCTGTTACTAGCACAGTTGGAGCTCCAGAGCTCTACGCACCTAGTGGACAGAACCCTGGGCCACCACCACTGACACCGCCCCCTCCCCGCCAGGCAACAAAGATATCAAAGGGAAATCTCCGGCTCCTCAAGAATCCTTATTAGCTCCGACGAGCTATAACGTCATGAAAGATCTCTTGGGAAAACATGATAAAGTTGGACAGCCAGGCCCAAGTAACTATTACCAGGGCGCATCGAATAGGCGGTCTCCATTCAATAATTACCCCACATATTTGAATAGATATTCCAATAGTTCGAACGACAGTGGCAACTTAGGTGGGCCCTCGAAGCGACCCGAAAAAGCAGAGGGGAATGCCAATACAGGCTCACGGTCTCTCAATATTCGATTGGAATTGTCGTCTGGTGATAACGAACACGCAGTGGAAAATGATACTGATGGCAACTATGATGGAGATCCATACCAAGAGAGCCAAGAAGACACTCATAACCGAGCTAAGGGGGTTATTAAACGTCGTCCGTTGAGTGGCCGTCCTTCATTTTTAGGAAAAAGGAGTTCAAGAGGTTTGATCCGTCTCCCCGACAATTCGGGTGAGAGCCCTCACCCGGGCTCACGGCGAGATCACCAATATCTTGGTGCAGATGGTATTTACGAGATGGTTGAAATTGAGCCCATATCAGCCTCTAGCTCTGCGATAGCGCCAAACTTCCATACAGAGCCTGTGAGGCCTATTCAGCGCGTAAGAACGGAATGGTTCATGCAAACCCTTTTTATAAGATTCAAGCGTGATGTAGTGCAATATCTGGTCGAGAACTGGAAGCTTGTAAGCGTGGTGACCGTTGTGGTTTCCGTATTGTTGTCAATGATCCTGTTGTAAGTATTTTACATTTGTTCCCTGCTGATGTTTTCAACTTTTCTTAATTTTGGGGGTATGTACATCAGCTAATAAGCTCTAGACTCCTTGTTATAATCCCTAATATTATGAGGGACAGGGCCGGTAGAGCCACCTTTGAAGTCGCAGCACTTCATATCAGCGATATTTCGTATAATTATACTACGGTCACACTTGACTTCAAGGTAATTTCAAACGCGGGGACGCGTGTAAATATCAACCCCGCATCGTTCAGTTTAGAGTCCGATAATGATTACAATTACGACTTTTATCATTCAAAGAAAGAAGATAGTAAAAATAAATCCGAATTATACAGGGGCCATAGATACACGCCCATAGGAGAGCTTCATTTGTACAAAGACCTCAGTTTCTCCAAAGGCAATGGGGATATGGTCCTTACATCAGAAGCAGCTGATGATGATGAAAGCGACGGTAATAATGATGCCACAGAGCCTGGCTTCTGGAGACCTAGAGAAATGGTTGAGATATTGGTCTGGGGGGCTTATAGTAATGAGACAGGAATGCGCTCAGTCATTCGAGGCGATGTTCGAGTACAGGCCCGAGGGTTCGTAACTTGGGTGGATATACAGAAAGAAGTTAATATATATTGTAAGTATTTAGCTTTTCGGGCTCCACTATTCTTGCTAATTAGTCGTTATAGCCATGGGTGGGTTTCAAGACCTTAAAATCGACTCATACAAGTTTCTTCAGCCCCAGAAAGGATTTATTGATGCTAATATTTCTTGGTTTAACCCATCTATCGTGACAATGAATATGGTAAGTTAAAGTCACCTAATCCTTTAGCTTCAGCGTCGATTCATCTTAATAACAGGGGACTGTCGATTTCGACCTTTTTCTCGGCGACCTCCCAATTGGCGATGCCAAAATTTCTTCAATGGCAATATTTCCTGGATATAATCATGCGCATCTTTCATCTTCGCTTTTTGATAGAGACATCTTTCGAAGCAATAAAACTCTCCTTGGAGAATTGATTTCTTCAATTACTTTGGTGGAGGCCGGACCAACCAGAGAGAAACTTTTACATCTAAACGGAAGAAACACAACTGTTGATGGCACTGGTATCGAATGGTTACAACCGATTATCCAGCTCTTCGACAAAGATCTACCAGTGGCTATGAATGAGCAGATTTTCAGTACCTTCAACACCAGCATACTCCTAACAATGACTCCGGATGGAAAGACAAAATTAAAACGGGGTAGCATCGAGTGCAAGTTAAAATTACCTTTCGAGTCTGAAGATTTCCTTATTACTGTTCGGGGTGTAGGCTACTTTCTGGATATCTCATTGTCCCCCAATGGCGCAGGTTTTCTGCGCATTGAGAGTACAATGAATTCCCATGATCATACCGTCTTATCCGGGATTCATACTTTTAACAGCAGTCTTGTAGGCTCAAATAGTAGCATCATCGAAGAAAATGTCCTTAAAACCGTTTTTATGCCTGATTTTATCAAAGCAGAAACTTTGTCCCTCAAGGTTAGCGGCAGCATGGCTGCCGACTTGGAAACCCCATATGGAGAAGGGAGGATTTCTGGAATCAAGGTTGAAAATCATATTTGGCAAATGAAGGGCCTTCATGGTCTCGATGGCGGTGGTAAAAGTAAGGTGATAATCTCGAACGAGACAGTGATAGGAAATATTTGGACCGTCACATTGCAAATACAGAACCCGTCTGATATGTTTGTGGATGTGAGTTTCACACTCTTCATGATTCCTATGCAAAATGCTAATTGAGGTTTTAGCTCGGGGACACTGTGTTCGATGTTGTCCAAACGAAGAATTCAACCGGATGTATTGGAACCATCAGTATCGAGAAATTGGCCTTGAATTATGGATCCAATAATGTCACGGGAAATTTTGACCTTGCAGCCCCCCATTGCAATGCCTCAGAGCTGGCAGAATTTCTTTCCAACTTTATGACTGGTGGCCGAAATGATTTGAATCTACGCACGACATCCAGCCACGAAGTTATGGGATTTAATGGACTTGAAGTTGGAGCCGAATGGATTTCCCCCAGCTACCGTCTATTCGATTCTATCGATCTGATTATTGGTGAACACAACGTGATGGCTAGAATTAGTCTCAAAAACCCATTTGACGTAGTTCTCACCTTGGATTCTGTTGATATGGAGTTAGTGCTCGCAGGCAAAGTTATTGCTGCCCTCACTAGCCAGGAGCATTCTAAAGAAACAGTTATGGGAGGACAGTCCGCCACTTTATCTGGGATTCCATTAATCCCTGTAAGTTCTATCCAGGAACTGGTCGAAACGTTTCAGAGGGAACTGTTAAGTGAAACATCAGAACTGATGGCGATCACCGCCAGTGGGAAAATACGTTTGCTGTTGGCAGATTATGAGGTACCGCTGATGAATTACAAACAAGAGAATGTTGAGGTAAAACTGAGATGGGAGATTTGAGCAGATTATCAGCGAGAGAAGGCGCCGCCGAAGTTTGGTATATTAAAAAAGTATGACTCCCTTTTGATAATTTCCAAAACTACATCTTTCTCTTTCGATTTGAACATCAGTTGGGAGTTGGTCAACATATACTTCTGTCCTTTTTATACTCCTATTTTGAGTCACTTGCCCCGAGCTGGTATATCAGGGTTCTCTAGTCCTTCAAGCCAGTGGAAGTATGAAATATTTCTGTATGCTTTAATTGCGCTAGCAGAAATGGCTTTGTCTTAAAATCTTAGCGTATGAGATCAATCTCGTATGTTAAAAGAGTAGTAGCTTTGCTTTCGGGCATTATTTTACTTTCGAATATATAGGTTCATACCTATATCTTTTAATAATAGCTACATATAAAATGAATGAATCTGTTCAGCTACAAAGATTTCAAATTTCAACATGAGTGTGCTGCTGGCTCCCGCTGAAATTCGGTGAGGTCTATAGGAAACAATATCATTATGCCAAGTATACATTGATGAGTTCCATCTATTGTGTCAGTAAATCAAGATACTTGGTTCCAAATCATAACCATAATAATGTAGTAACAAAATTTTGTTTAGTGGTGGTTGCTCATTTTGGGAGCTCTATATACATCGATTCACGTGATACTGAGTCCTGGCCAAGGTGTACACATTACCATGTAAAATGCAGGCACATATATGTAAATGGCATCTTATATATCAGCGCGTTCTCAGGATTTTAGTCTATGCTATATATACCATATACGACCAATAGCTAAGTATATTAAATACATAGTGAACTCAAGTAAGGTTCTCCTGTTCTGTCACAAAGAGGAGACAGATTTTCCACGGGGGATCGCATGTAGTATTGCCCACCTTGATCTGATAAGTTCTTCTAGTCCTCGGCTTTCCCAGTCAAATAACCTCGTGGACTATGGTAGGTACCACTGCATGATAGGTAATGCATGAAAATCCTTTACACCTCAGCAGAGGTTAGGCCAACCAAAGATGCTCTTTGAATGTTGATTCTGTCGGTCTGGGTGTAGAGTTGAATACTCATAAACCTAGCTAGGCGCTATAACACAAATTTCTAGGAAACAGGATTAGTTAGCGCCCAGCTGTATGAAGTTATAGGATTCTAGAAACCCGCTTCGATCTATACATTGGATCACCATCTGACCTTTGATAGGGACTTGGTTATAGCTACATGTATATACTTGTTTTGACATTTTATATAGTTTTCAAGCTTGTAGGGTTGGAGTTTGAACTATTATTTGGAATTCAGTCCTGGCCGAAGGAGAGAAGAATAGCGGCGTGTATTAAAGACACAAAAAAGGGTGTTGTGTTCTGGAATAACGGGTTTATAAGATTTTGTGGAACAACTACATGTGTAAGGTGTCTCTGCGTGGAGGTCACGCTATTAGCACGCTGGCATGGAATATTCATGTAACTAAGGTTGATTAGTCTTCAGCCGCGGATACTTGTATATTTAAGGTAGCGCTCGTCATACCAAATGTGAGTGTGTCATGCTCATTTAGTAACGTGTGTTCGTGTGGATTTTAGATACTCTAACGTAGTTGTTATTGTTGATCTAAGTCTCTTTTGTATGTGCTCCGGATAGTCGATGTCTTATTTGTTGTCCTGGTGAATTGTAGGTATTTACTGTTCGGCTGATCAGATAATTATACGCGTATTAGACGTATTTTATATGCATGATTCGCCGTGATATAGGTGCCCTGGAGTAAAGTAGAAGACAGAATCATATACGTACTGAGGTTATGTAGCAATTGTATTATACTGGCATCAAGAGGGGATCAACGTCTTTTTCATCCCGTAACCGTAACAACCCTCAAAGTTTACGAAGTTGAGCCCCGACATGAGTCCACTCAAGCGAGGCTCAACCGGCGAGACATGAGATTTGGGAGCGGCGGTCCGATCAGAAATGACGATTTTGATAGCTAATAATAGCCGTGTATGTGGGTTGAAATGACCGCTTAGCTGGTTAGGTGAGCGTGTTTTAAAGTTCTGTGCTTGAGTAGTACTCTACTACTTGCGTAGGCGTTAGGTCCCAATACAGCCACAGCGCTGGCTGTTCGATAGGTACAGCTTACCCTCAAAAGAACCAGAAAATGCAAGTAACGGAAACAGGGATTATTTGTATGAGAACGACGCCACTCCATACATTTTCTAGTTCTTACGCTAGTAAGCGTATACACTACCTCCAACAATCACGATGCATCGTCTCATGATGCGATTTCAAGTACATGTAGGTAAAGCAATGCGCATCCCGTTTATCAGCTGAGAAGGCGCTCGTATCCACATATCATGTAGGACTCAGTATGTGCTGATCAGACAACATCGCCAACCCAAACTCTCCACGAATAATGTCCTGGAGCGCGTCTCTACTCGCAATGTCCTGACGTTTTTAAACTGGGCCACTATTGCATACACCAAAAAATCAGAAGCTTGGCGTATTTTTGTATGGTATGCAATATTGGTCACGTCCAAAAACGCCAGGACATTGCGAGTAGAGTAGATATGCATGTATGTATCCATTGGACGGATGAAACTCTCAAATTCGCAGCCTTCCTCTTTCAGCTGATACTAGCCATATCTGGTAACTTGCGTTGATTTTTGATTGGCTCTATTATTATTACAGCACATAAAAAGCAACAATATTACCTGAATAAGTGCGTGCACGGTCCAGGCTGCGAATTTGAGAGTTTCATCCGTCCAAGGGATACAACGATCCCGCTGCTGGCCGTGATTCACCACATCAATCGGCTACCGAAAAGTCGCGACATCCCGTCAATCAATTGGTCAAGGTTGTACCCGTTTACCACGAAAAGAACCAGAAAATGCAAGTGACGGAAACAGGGATAATTTGTATGAGAGATCACCGCCACTCCATACAAATAATCCTTGCCCTGAGCAACTGCATTTTCTGGTTCTTTTCGTAGTTCCTCCGAATATTCTCCGCCGATTGCTTTTGCTTTTTTTCTCCCCTGGTCGGAAGTAGCGCCCATCATGGCCCATCACCCGTTGTTAGAGTACCACCGACCAGGACGTGCTGACTGTCTGTTGCACTGGTGACAGCCGTGTAACTGCGCAGTGTGCATTGCACACTGCGCAGTTACACGGCTGTCACGGACCTCACCCCTGAGAGTTAAGTTGCACATTGATCGACACAGCTTAATTAATTGCACCCTCGCCTGGTGCCTGATTTCCAGACCTCTCCCCCCTCTTTTCTCTTTTCTGCGGGATGCCACTTCCACCTCTTGAGTCTTGATTCTATTTTTGTAAAGGTCACACAATAAAGAGCCGCAGGCAGACGCTCGAGCGATAGGGTGAAATTAAACCCATTAAACCCATGAACCTAACATATATATCTCCTAGACTTCTGCCAACTTTCGCGGGCACCAAGCCCGCGAGATTTTGGTCATTAGCCATCAATTGAATGGGTAAACATTCTCCACTCGTATGTATATGAAGTACATGTACTAATGTATATGCACATACCTTTATGTGCCTTCGTGGAGTAACTGTAAGTATACATGGTAGGGTACCAAGAGCCGACCGATTTCCCTTCGGTACTTTCGGGATTGTAAGTGCATATTCCCGACGGCCGTTGGTTAAACACGGGTAAAAACCTGGGTTGATCGAGTAAAATATAGTGTGCTCCTTCCAGACATGGAAGTATATCTTCTTAACCAGAAGGCCGGGGTGACGATCAAGAAATTAAGTATTTGCTACCCCAGTTTTTGGCACATTTCCCAGATATCGGTACCCCGCACGATACTCCTGGTCACTGGGCAGTGACAGAGCCTAGGTGAAATCTAGATGCTCTTCGGAAAACATGACGCATTTAGACAGTGTGGCATCTCAAATTGGGCATGACCGGGTGCACAAAACATATGCGTTGTTGATGTCCGAAGCCGTGAGGTGAGGGCACGCAAGTAATTTCACCGACGTCAATACCTCAGTGGTTCGTCCAACGGTAATTAGTTATGGGGGGAACAGTGCAGAAAAGTTGTCTCTGCATGCTCGAGAGCTGGGTGGCTAGTGGGAAGTGCCATGGACTATGTGGTATAAGATGGACACCCATCCCCATCTCTGGCAATGGCTACTAAGGATCGTGGTCTTTCCATATTCTCATCCCTTAACCACCTTTTGGGAATTCGTCTGGGTTCCATCTACGCTGGTTTTTGAAATTGTCTTTTGTACTTGATTGATAAAATGATCGGGTTCTACTCGGCATTTCTCCTCGCCGCCCAATTGGGGTTGGGCTCATCCGCTCCTCTGGAAAAGAGACAGTCCGGAGCAGCTTCATGGAGTCCGCCTTACTACCCTGCCCCTAAGGGTGGTTCTTCGGCGGCATGGGCTGATGCTTATGAAAAGGCCTATGAGCTTGTCTCGCAGATGACATTGGTTGAAAAGGGTTCGTACTCAAACGTTCTTCTTGTGGGGGAATTTGTGCTAACAACTGATGCAGTGAATATCACGACTGGTATTGGTTGGGCCATGGGCCCTTGTGTAGGAAATACTGGTCCAGTTGAGCGTCTCGGCTTCCCCTCCATCTGTCTTCAGGATGGACCGCTAGGTGTAAGATTCGCGGACAAGAATACGGCGTGGCCTGCTGGAATTACAATTGGTGGTAAGTAGCCTACATCTGGAAATACAAAAAGGGTTGGAGGATCTTAATAATGATGTCTGTCTATAGCAACCTGGGACAAGGAGCTCATGTACGCACGTGGAGACGGTTTGGGCGCTGAATTCCGTGGAAAGGGAATAAACGTTATTTTGGGACCAGCAATGGGTCCTGTTGGTCGTATGCCCGCAGGTGGAAGAAACTGGGAGGGCTTCGGCTCAGACCCTTATCTCCAGGGCGTTGGTGCTGCTCTTACCATCGAGGGGATCCAGGATAATGGGGTTATTGCAACTGCTAAGCACTATATTGGTATGCGAATCTCTGCCAAGTCTGTAGTATTTATTGAGTACTAACCCTGCTATTTTAGCCAATGAACAGGAACATTTCCGACAAAGCGCCAACGCAATTTCTGCCAACATCGATGCTAGAACTCTTCATGAGGTCTACTTATGGCCATTCCAGGACTCAGTGAAAGCTGGTGTCGGGGCGGTCATGTGTTCTTACAACCAGAATAACAACAGCGCTTCTTGCCAGAATTCGTGGTTGCAGAATGCTATCTTGAAAGATGAGTTGGGTTTCGAGGGATTTATCATGTCCGATTGGCTCGCTCAGTACAGCGGAGTTGCTAGCGTTCTTGCCGGAATGGATATGACCATGCCTGGTAAGTCTACGGAGACTTCGGTATTTTTGACTTAAAAAAGCTGACTTTGTACAGGCGATGGCTTGGCTTGGGACGATCGTATATCGCTTCTTGGACCCGAACTTACTAGAGCTGTGATGAATAGTTCCGTGCCAATGGAAAGGCTCGATGATATGGTCACCCGTATTGTTGCTACCTGGTACAAGTTTGGCCAGGATGAGGATTATCCTGAACCAAATTTCAACTCATGGACTAATGCTACTGTTGGAAAAATTTACTATGGCTCAAACGACAACACCACGGGTGTTGTTAACGAGCATGTTGAAGTCAGGGGAGACCACGCTACTCTTGCAAGAAAAATTGCCGCAGATGCTATCGCCTTGCTCAAAAACGAAGATGTTTTGCCTTTGGCAGGGCCGATGAAGATCGGTATTTACGGTGAAGACGCTGGTCCTGGAAATGGGCCAAATGTCTGCATCGACAGAGGATGCAACCAGGGGACGTAAGTAACGCTTACCCAAAAACAAATTAAAATGAAAAATGCTGATATTTTAAATAGACTTGCCGTTGGATGGGGAAGCGGTGCCACTGACTTTACCTATCTTATCACCCCTCTTGAAGCCATTCAGGCCCGTGCTGCCGAAGATGGTTCCGTAGTCACTGCGATCTTGAACAACACAAAGCTTGATGATATGAAGGCCTCTGCTAAAGAGCAAGATATCTGTCTCACGTTCGTCAATGCCGACTCTGGTGAAGGCTACATCACTTGGAATGGCCTTGAGGGTGACAGGAACGATATCGAAACTCAACTTGGTGGAAACGAGGTCATCGCGGCTGTTTCTCAGAATTGCAAGAAGACTATCGTTGTTGTGCACTCAGTTGGACCTATCATCGTGGAGCAGTGGGCACAGTCTCACAGGGTCCAGGGAATTCTTTGGGCTCATCTACCTGGACAGGAGAGTGGAAATGCGCTCGTAGATGTTCTCTACGGTGATGTAAACCCAAGTGGAAAACTTCCATACACCATCGGAAAGTCTCTTGCAGATTATGGCCCGACTGCCGGTGTTATGTATGTTGCAAATGGAAACCCTCCGCAGCAGGATTTCACCGAAGGCCTTTACATCGACTATAGATACTTTGACAAGCATGACATCACACCCCGCTATGAATTCGGCTTTGGACTCTCATATACTACCTTTGAGTTCAGTAACCTTGAGGTTGAGCTTATGTGTCCTCTGACTCCTCTTCCTGCTCCTCGTCCTGAACCAGAATCTACCCCCCCGACTTACGACTCAGAAATCCCTGATATTTCTGAGGTCCTCTTCCCCGAAGGATTCACACCAATTGATCGCATGATTTACCCATACCTAAATGCCACAAATCCCAATGTTACCGTTGGCCCTTACCCATACCCCGAGGGCTATGAAAAACCACACCCGCTTATGCCTGCTGGTGGTGCCGAGGGAGGCAATCCTGCGCTTTGGGAAGTTATGTACAAGGTCACCATGATTATCGAAAATACTGGAGAGGTTGCAGGAGCTGAGGTCGCCCAACTATATGTCCAGTTCCAGAACAAGAATATTGACTTCCCCGTCAGAGTCCTCAGAGGATTCGAGAAAGTCTACCTGGAGCCTGGCGAATGTAAACAGGTTTGCTTTGAGCTAACAAGGAGAGACTTGAGTTACTATAATGCTGCTATTGAAAACTGGGAAATCCCATCTGGCGGAATTGGTATTGCAATTGGGCAGAGTTCAAGGAAGTTGCACCTGAGAGGCAATTTGCGATATGGATTTTAATTACACTCATTTGTTTTTTGATATGTAACGAGTGGGATTGGGAGGAGGGAAGTCTATTAAGACTTGGAAAATAAGTACATAAACCAAATTACCGCCAAAACTCGAAAAATTGGCTATCTCCGTCCAGGGACTACCGCTTGAATAATTGGTTGGATGGCATCGATCTACATCAGAAGTTTTCCATACAAGTAATTCTGATCTAGCCAATTTTTTCGAGTTATGGCGGTACATTTCTTTTTAAATATCTAACAGTAGAATTTATTGTGCAACCAAGAGTTCATGTGCTCTAGGTAATTTTATGTGGACCAAATAAGTTTCAGGTAACATGCATGTTTCCTTGGCGAGAGATAAACCCGATCCTAGAGTAGAGTGTCCTAGAGTAGAGTGTCCTAGTGTCCTGAACATGTCTTTTTTTAGGTGCATGATACAAAATTTCCTCCCAGCCGTTTGTAGCCAATTAAAACGCTACTTTGCAGTAGGAGCTTTAGGCCTATGTATTCGCCTATGTAGGAATACATAGGCCTAGGAATACATCTTTCTTTCGTTGTTAAGTAAGTGAATCTATATCTGTAGTTATCCTTCAATCGAGAGAATCAATATGTTCCCCGCCGTGCAGGCCATCCAATCGATTTCCACCGTTGAGTTTCTCCGGCAATTCACTCAGATCAGTACCACATGCACCTAACTACGAAAAGAACCAGAAAATGCAGTTGCTCAGGGCAAGGATTATTTGTATGGGGTGGCGGTGATCTCTCATACAAATCATTACTGTTTCCGTCACTTGCATTTTTTGGTTCTTACATGTGATTTAGATTAGCCACATCCGCTTAGTGTACTCGTTTTTTCACAGCGTTTGTGAACACAACCAGCATTACATACACACAAAAAATAGCCAAGACAACCTTTTTGTATAGCATGCAATAGTAGTAGTGTTCACAAACGCTATGAATAGACGAGTAGACAATACCCCACGTTACACAGGAAAGTCCACGGCAGCAACCCGCATGACAGAAAGGCAGCAACAAACAGAGACGACCCCACATACATGCCCAGAAGTTCTGCGCTATCGTCCCGCTATTTATGCTTAGATTGGCCGTTTCATCGTCACTGCCAGCCACCACCATCATCACCTTGTCCACCTGCCTGTTACTCTATCCCGCGAGTAAAAAAAAACAAGCTCCGAGGCGATTCTGTGCATGAAGTTGGGTTGCGGTTTTTGGAAATGGGAAGTAAGATTGCAATTGGTAGGTAGGTAGTAGGTACGTCCTGAATGGTCCCGGTTGAAAGGGCCGCCGGTTCCCCAGATGGCTGGCTAGCGATTCGCGTTTTCGCCATAACTCGAAAAATTGGCTAGCTTCCAGAGATCAAAATTACTTGTATGGGAAACTTCTGATGCAGATCAATGCCATTCAACCAATCACTCGAGTGATAATCCCTGGCCGGAGATAGCCAATTTTTCGAGTTTTGGCGGTACTCATCATGTACCAACGGTTTTGGCCCGGGAGCCAGTGTTGAGGTGAGTCTGGTGTTTTATGTTCTACTCGAACAAGAGAATGGTTTGTTTGACCCCTGCTTACTAGTCATGATTTTAGAGCGAGTGATATACTGTGATGACGGCTAAAACATCTAACCCAGATCCGGTGATCCAGAACTTGGCGGTAGGATTATTACTGAATCGATAGGCAAAGATTAGAAGGGATATTTGGGCGCTTGACCGTGGGGTCAACCACAAAACCTACCGTTAATTCTCGCCAAATCCACTATCTCCGCATAGGTAAATGGTATGTCCGGACCAAAGAAAAGAAGGCTCGGCATGCGAATGTGCAGAAACCCTACTGATGCTGCCATTTCTTTGGCCCGGACATACCATTTACCTATGCGGAGATAGTGGATTTGGCGAGAATTAACGGTACTGATATACCAAGATCAAAGAAGATAACTAGGTTTATTTATTGGCCCCTATAAGATAATTTCTTATACTCAAGATAGGCAAGTTTCTCCGCCGCCCTGGGTTTGCAGAGCTTTTTGTTTTGTTTAATTCATACTCGCATGCAGCCTTTCAGTTATGGCGGAGCACTCTACAGTACAAGTACAGGGTTTCACCCTTTATGCCTACTAGTCGCTCCTTTCAGCATGATGTGGAATACCCCAACCAGCTCAAGGCCAGCACTCATACCTAGCCACACTCCATCACCAGTCCGCATGCCCCATTTGGGCGCCGGGTAAATGGAAAACTCTCCCCAGGAGCAGAAACCATCCCACATGCCAAGCCAGGAAAAGAACCCACGATTAATATCCCCTGGGTCACCACCCCTATAGAATTCGAACCTGCGACCTCGCCCACCCTCGGAAAAGTGGTTTGCAGAGCGGAGTTTGTGATAAATATTGAGAAAGAAGGGGTGGAAAGAAAATTACTATAACAACGTGGAAGATGCTCCAATCTAACTATCCTGAAAATATTAGTATCGAGGCTTATAATACTTCGTCAAAAACCGGCACCGGTGGTACCACTCATTTGTTACACGAGTCTTCCCCACACCAGATCCTGCTTGAAGTGAAACATAAACTAGATGAGCATGTTTCAGTCAGGTGGTAAACAAAACCATTATCACTTAGAGCTCCCATAAAAATGTCGTCTACTTATGATTCCTAGATACTTGAGCCTGGTTCTAGACCAGTCCCGCGTATTCAAATTTTTACTTCTCAACGCCGCTATATATGACTCCCTCCAAATCTACATTAACCCTAGAGGCGTGAAGTTATCTGTACCTATAGGTATATTTATTTGCAAGGCACTTATATCAGGCACTTTGAGCTGGCCCCGCGGCGATCAACCTCATAGTTTGTTTAGATCACTGTATATCACTCGCTACCAAACTACACGCAGTTCCCGGGTCGGACATCGAGACGCGGTCGCCTGATTTAGAGATATATATAACAGTTTGATATTGGGGTATTTGGGTACCGAAATAAGGTAATACGTCTGCCAAGTTTTGAGATATCTGGATACTGAGATGCGCGTATATTGTCTACATAAGGAGAGATAAAGAGATCTATGAGCCAAGGTCACTCTTTCTCGGCGTCTGCTTTAGGGTGGGCGGCATTTTTTTCATTTGTCCCGCGCATATAGGCCTGTGATCGTGATTGATCCTCTATATACTTCATCTATCCCTTTTGTTTGATTCCTGCTGTATTCCATTCAATGGTGAGGGCGCCATGTATAGAGTTAGGTTTTAGCGAAACCTTTTCGGTACATATTCTTTTATAGTATCTAGTAACTAGTAATATATGTTCACGGCTTTACATAGCAGCAAGAAAGGAGTAGCGAGCACTAGAAATTTCTTTTCAATTATCTAGTCTCTCATTCAAGCCAGTTGTGGTATTATGGCCCTCACTTCAGGGTATACGCAACAACTGGCTGCCCATCTCTAGAGCTACTTTCTAAACTACTAATAAGTTGCTGGCAATACTGATAGTCTCGCACCATCACTGACAATCACTGTTCCGGAACAATAAGCCCCAGCCTTGCTAACAAGGTACAAAATTGCACCGGCCATGTCTTCTTCTTTCCCGGGGCGCAACATCGGAATATGATGACTCGGATAGTCCGAGAGTGTGTTCTTGTTACCAGCGTCCATCTTCCCCGGGCCAACAGTCATTTCTGAAGGGTAAACTTATCGTAGGGCATGTTAGTATATATCATTAGACTCAGGATTTCATGGAAGCTCACGGCCTGGTGCGATCATATTCTATCCATATTGATATACTGTTAGTCGATATACCCCCATAGGAGAATCCAAAGCTAGGAAGTCAAGGATGATAGGAACGTACAGATCTGATATTAAATGGGGCTAAGTTTGTTGCCATCATCTTCCCAATATGGGTCATGGCTGCTTTACTTGCGGCATAGATATAGCTAGATGCTAACAACCTAGAAAAGCCTGCAATCGAGACAATAGTAACAATCTTTAATTGCTTGGTCAGCCATTTCGTACTCGCTAGGTCTGTAACCGTAAAACTTTAAAAGTAGCTTTTACGAAATTGCTGGGCATTGCATACCTGACTTGTTTGTTCCACGGTCTTCCTCTTGTTACCTTCATCTAATAGCGCCAGAAACGCTACACTTGTAAACCAAGCACCAGTGGCGTTCACTCTGAAAACATTATCCCAGTTCTCAACCGAATCCTTCCACAGATATGCCTGAAGATCTTCAATATTCCGATAATTCTCTGATTCCGGCTTCGACACGTACGGTTCTGGCAATGGCTGTTGGCTGTGGCTTCTATTTCCTACAGTACCGGCATTGTTGACGAGCAAGTTTATATAGCCGACCTCTGATTTGATCTGGGCAACAACTGATTCTAGAGATTCCTTTGATGTAACTTCTCCGGCGAGCGGGATTATCTTTCCGTATTTCTAGGTATCCCGAAGAGTTAGAGACAGAAATATAAGCAGAAGCTATAATTATTTTAATCGGGAGTAAATTCTCACGGAGTGCTCCTTCGCTGCGTTCTCCAAGACTTCTTTCCTTCTTCCTACGATATAGACCCTTTCTGCACCATTGTGCTCAAGAGCAGCCGCAATCATCAATCCGATACCTATGTGATTAAACTACAATGAGCCAAGCTGCCCCGCCATGGCTTACGCGGGGTAAATTATACCTGTTCCACCCCCGGTCACCACCGCAACTAAGCCCTTGGTTGAAAATAGATTGTTCGCTTCGAGAGTAGACATTTTGGATGAAGGTTGAAGAGTTGATCAATGACAACTAGGTGTTTATATACTAAAGCGCTGGTGTGTCCTGAAGTACCGCGACTTCTAGCCAGATAAACCTAAGATTTGTCATCTAGAACTGACGTGATTGTTGGTAAAGTCGATTCAAGCTTTTTGTTTCGGTTAATTCACGGGCTAGCGATGTTCGGGCCGAGATATCCCTGCTAGCACAGATCTGATCTGATAATCAGTACCAATACAACGGGACCCGGAGGAACCGCAGGAAGGGTCCGCTCAGTCACCAAGGAGACATGGGCTACATACAATCAAACAACAATCCAAGAGGTATCGTATCCCCTTCGTTGATATATAATTAGTGGTTTGGTGGAAATGCTACCCCGTGAATATATATCATGGTATCACAAACCCCAAACACATCATATAGATTTCAGAGCGAGATTAAGTTGGTGCCAACGTCGTACTACTCCCATGTACACGTATCACCAATTCAACATCATTTGATACATGTAGCTATCAGCAATGTTTGGAACCTGGTCTTACTCAACGTCAAACATGTCTCATCCACAGAGCTTTAAATCATAGGGACGCGGCCTATATCTCATGAGAGAAAGACTTGATATTAATTTTGGGTTACTGCATCCCTTTATCTTTACACCGGCCACTAATGATATTCTTTACGAGAATACCTTCTATCTTGTAGGAATCCCATACAACCGAATCACTCTATCAGTGAACTGGGTTGGCCTTTTTGATCTAAATCTAAGTGTGTGCTGTCCAAATAAGGGCCTAAACTGATAGCTTCCACTCTCTTCCCCACACTTCGAATTCCGGTTGGATTGAATCTTATTGGATACTCTCTTTGCCCGACGTTGTGTATCTCAATGTCCTCTACTTGTTTAGTAGCTAATGACAGTGAGACTATGAATGTAGTAGATGATCGACAAATACACACAAATATAATATTCTATCTATGAATATCGCGATAAATGGATCTGTCAGTCCAGCTTAGTCGAGTGATTGCACATGAATAAGATCAAATAGGTTCATGAATAATCACTCGACTCGACCACATGTAGGCAGCTCACTCCAAGTAGAACAATTCAGCCTAAATGAAGCTAAGTACGGGATTGGGGACTTTAAGGAAACTCAATACCGATCGCGGTGACCCGGATAGCGGGTCCTGTTAAGGAAAATATGGAAAAAGTATAAATCTTCCCTCTTTGTCGGTGCTTCTCGCCGAAATCCGCGTGGTAAACTCAATTCTTTACTAATTCTTAAAAAGAAGAGACAATGTATAAATCCCAGACACATGTATGCTCCTGGGACGCCCTTACCAAATAGTTAGCCACTATAATATTTCCGTTAACGATTGACCCCTGGGCTTCACAAAACGCTCGCAAATCAGCACTGGCCCGCCTGACCTGCCGGACTCTTTGATATCCTGGCTTAATATGCGTCACTTAATATTGACATATCATATTGATGTTAATAAGTAGTATGTACATCAAGTTCTGCTCTTAGCCCACCTATTGACTATATCTCGGCTGAGTCTCCTAGGACTTGAAATATCATAGTTGGCCGATATCTCTGGCGTGCGAAAGTCTAAAAGTTTCCTACTTATACTTCTTCTACTCTTTATGAAGGTATCGAATCCCTCTAAACACCGGGCTGGGTGACCGCATGAAGAGTTTTCTGGCCATATATACCATGGGTAGCATCTCGGTCAGAGCAATATTGCCAAGCCGATGCTCCAGTTCGTTCGAGAAAGCCCGCCGCTCACGAATGGATAAGTCAGGACCCTCTTTTTACATCTTTGCTGGAAGTAAGCGCCCATGGAAAGCCTGATATATCCGCAAATTTAGACTATTAATGGGTAGAACGACTATACAGTGTCAATGACATTGAACCCTTTTTCAAGGTATCAAAGTATCCGACCGGTACATATAAAGATCCAGAAAAATGTTACATTTTGTGTGTCGTCTTCACCGTTTTCATGGCGTTCAATCGATGATATCCACCCGCTCAGTGGATCGTTAAAACGCTCTGTTCGCACAGAACGACCCGTTCATCGGCGGAATCTCTTACTCAATGGTGCAAATAATTTCTTCCCATGAGTTGACTTATATCTCGACGCCATAGATCTTCCTTGTTCAATCTAATTTCCACAAAGCTAAATTAAACGAAAAAAAAAAAAAAAAAAAAAGAATTTCCACAAAGCGGAACATTCAAGATCCTTCGAGTGATTTTTCATGGTTGAATTTCTTGGCGTACGCCATGCCATATATGACATAGGCAGAGAGAGGCCTGCCAAGTTAGCGGCCATCTAGTGCTCGGGAATGCCGAAATCATGCCCGCTGTCGAATTTAAACTCCCCGGGGCTATCGGGCTTTTCAGAAGCCACAGTTATCTCTTTTTTCGAGCATCAATTTGTGGTAGACAGAGGGTCGTGGCGCGAGACAACATGGAATTCGTGGTAAGGAATACTTGAACCAGGCCAGCAACGAAGGAACACTCTGGTCCGACTCCCTGTTAGACGATGTCGCCCAGGGGTAACACGACAGACGATGTTTCGCAAGGCATCGTATCAATCTGTCAGATGAACATAACGGGTATTTTATATGTATTCCTGTTAGCAAAAGTACACGCTCTTGCCCGGACAGGCAGTCGCTGCCTTCAAACTCCAAACTCAGCCCGCGATAGCATTAATGATCATACATTCGCCGTCATATACTTGGTACATGACTCGTAGATGTCGGTGCGACTCTCACTTGAAAACGGCCTTGGAGATTTTTCAGCCCCAAATCAGGTCTGTGTCGCCACCACGGCCACTCGGTCCATTCCGAATCGGGTGTTAGCGGGATCATATGTCGGGGAAACCACGAAGCCACCAATCATGAAATATCACTCGACTAGAGCTCGTATTCAAAGCAATTGCACATATGATGGAGTGAGAGCCTAAATAACCTGCAGCGCGGATTATACTCGGGGGAAATAATTCAATAGAAGCGGGCTAATTGAATGCTCTGCGGAGCACACACACAATGCCTAGGAATCATGTGCAATCACGCATTGGTGATGTATTGTTTGATATCAGCCAAAAAAACAACCAAGGCTTAAAAGCTTGAATATATCACACGACATCCATACTTCTAGAAGCGCTCTCTGCAGTGCCGGAGCAACAGATCTACATACCCCACTCCCCGCTGCAAAGGAGGAAACGTGCGGAGAATTTCAAATCCTCCGTATCCGGGTACCTTTCCTAACTCAGTAACCGTTCCGGTGAAGCTATAGACTCCGAGCCAGACATCCGGATTGACCATCTCAAGGTATATAAATATATAACGGCAAGCCTGGGAAGCGCCTTCCTCGTGGCACGCATGCATATCATGGGGAAGGGGAATTAATGGGCTATCCTAAACTTTAAATTCCCCCGCACCTAGGCCTCGGGCCGGAGAAATTAAGAAAAAAGAAACCAGATATAACGTGCAAGCAGGTTCGGTGCACATAACTCCGGCTATGGCCACATGGCTTTCGCGAGATCTTCCTGCGGCGGGATCGACTTCAAATGCAATTGGTTAGCCTTGTAAGGCTTCATCTAACGTTCGGGTACTCGTAGCTTTATAGCGTTTCCGAACACGACCAATATTGTATGATATATAAAAAGGTGGATTTGGCGCTTTTTCGTATGTCATGCAATATTGGTCGTGTTCGGAAACGCTATAAAGCTACGAGTAGTGTTTTTTCCGTATGGATAGAAGTACTCTATATCGATATCGTGAGTAATGATATATGTAGGCACATGTTTGGACGAGCGACATAAGTATACATGCAGTAATGTCCATAAAGTCCCTGCAATAGCACCAGAACTAACTTTACATAATAGCTATCTCCCTCATCCAGTCTAATCGCAGCAACATCGTATTGCGAGGAAGGACAGCAAATATTAGCTTCTCCAAATATAATCATAATCATATGGGTTGAGCGAATAAGCTCTATGCAGCTACGTCATTGATCGTTACGAAAGTGTGGTGCAGAATTAACAAATATGGCCACGGGCATAAACCTCCTTCTTGACAGCACCTCCGAAGAAAAAAGAAGGAAATAATGAAACCTTCCTAAAATCTGATATCTCTGGCAATTGATCTACCATTTCCAGTCCCACGGCTCGTGAATTTCTGGGTCAAACACAGCAACAGGAAGGTAAGGGATCAATCAATCGATCAACCTGTCACTCCTAGAACCCGGGCCTGTGTAGGCACGTAGGTTGCACTCATGATCACAGTACAGATATCTGCGCGAATATCCTGCCACCAGCACAACATGGGCCTTTCTCCACGATCTGGGGAACTTATCAACCTACCAAAATCACTCTACATGTCAAAGTAGGTTCTGCTATATGTATGCCACTCTGTCTTACTGAAATCCTCCCTTCCCTGGGCGCTGGGAACTCTGAAATCTGGAGTGCTTACGGAAACTCCGCAGAGAAGCGGGGAAGAGCTGATGCAAGATCGTAAGATCTAGAGTTTGATATGTGTATAATTAGGTCTAGCAGAAATTGTTTCCATCCCTTAGGATCGAATTTGTTTCACAGCCCCTTCACAGCCGTGACAGCCTGGCCCGTCAAGGCAGGTGGGCAGGTGACCTTTATTTCTCATGAAAGAAATCTCACGATCTTATTCCTACCTCCTTTATTTGGGCTGTAGGGAAATGTAAGTATTCGGTCTCGAATAGGTAATTACTTGCGGCGACGATAAATTAGAGTAATGCTCTCTTTCGCATAGGCCCCCCTAAAATCTTATGCTTAGAAATTAGCGCTTCCCCAAACTCCCCACAAACAAGGGCAGAAGTTCATGGTAGGCACGTTATTTGGGATGCGGTTGGTAGTGTTATTTTTTTTTTCACTTCATCCCTTGAAGTGCGGGGAGAAGTGGAGAAAGCCCGACGGCCCTTTGGAGGCTGTGGAGAGAGAGACGAACAAAAGCCATTTGTTTTGCGCTACCGATAGTGTGAAGAATTATGGAGTCGAGACGAGTCGAGGAAGGGGGTGTTGGTGGTGGTTGGGATTGTTGCTAAGGATTAGTAGAGTCGAGTTGAGTGGGTTGCTAGGATTTGGTCGCCGCCGGACAGGGTGCCGGTTGCGGAGCGTTGTCCTAGTTAGCTACCAAACCCACTCCTCGCTGTACCGGACAGGCTGGGGAAAAAACTTTCTCCGCACAATGCACTAGCTTCTTGGTTGGGTTTGGGTTTGGGGCCCGCCCGCGTTTTCGCTCGTTTTCTCTAGATCTAGATCTGACTTAGAGACTAGACGCCTACTAAGCTAGGCCCGTTTATGCCAACGTCGAACGACAACGATAACGGCGACGTCAAGTGTCAACGGAGAGGAGGCTTTCTTGGAAATTTGGCAAAAAGATGTAGATGTATGCACTCTATCATCGACTCGCGCCAAAGCTTACGCGTTTTGCCTTATTCTAATTGTACCTAGGTATCTTTCTTTTGGAGTTTGGGGGCCTTCTTCTTCTCCTTGCCATCGAGTGTCACAAGAGAATACCCCTTCCAAATAGCGTGCCGATAACGGCCGGCCGGGGATCCTTGGCTTGGACGTTACTCTGGTTTTCGTCCCTTACTCTACTCGTAGTAGAGCCTCTCTTTAATCTTATTCTATTTTACCCCTCATATCGATATGCCTCATGCTCATGATATATAGATAACTAATCATGATTCATGCTAGTTAATACACATGCGTATTCCGATTACAGGAATACCTAACATGCTAACCCCCCATTTCGCTTCGTAGACAGATAACCTTTAGAGTTGGAGAGGAGGAGGAGAAACTGTGGAGACTGGGAGAGTGGAGAGTGGGGAAAGTGGTGGTGAGGGTTTGAGCGGCTCTAGAGTAGGTACATACTACCTACCATAGAGAGCTCGACATACATGATGCTGCTCTATTACATACTCTGCTCTGCTTTACTCCAGAGGGTTTCACTCTCGCTTGCCTCTTGCGCCATGCATATGCAAGCGGTTATGCGGGGGAAAAACAAAACCTCCGACCACCGTCCCCTCCCTCCCTCACTCCATCATCGTGCCAATACGTACCCCCATCACAGCGATTTTTTTTCTTGTTCTTTTTCCTTGGCCTGCGAGATCGGACAGGAAGTGGCTTTTTTGTACCCGGCCGGCCGGAAATCTGCGTGTGTACTTGGCCCTTTGCTGGTGCAAAACCGACAACGTCCGTCAATCCCAGCAGGCCATCCGAGCTCAAAGTGCAAAAAGCGTTTTTTCCTATCTCTCCATGACTTTGGCGAGGTAGCGGATCATGTACGCGAACTCTGTAGATTGTGGTACAGGCTGTCGCGGTAGAGTATCAAACACCCACTCGACCAGGTACCCACTGATCTCGCGCGGTAGCCCGCTCAAAATCCTAGATATCAGGGAACCTCGTTACCAATGGCGCTGTAAGCCATAAATAATTCAACCGTTCACGCAACTTCAACGACAGTAGCAGTTAAATCGAACAACTGTTTGGTTCTGCTACCCCATATGCGTGTGTCGGGGCACATAGGCTATGCTCCCGAGACCCTGGTAACTGTACCTAGCTACCGACTATAACGGATAAAAGTGGAGCCGACACCGGTGTTGCGGCCGGCCGGGGAAATTCGACCTGGACACCCCTGCGACTTCTGCAAGCAGGGGGCCGGAATAACCATAAAAAAGTTATCTAATAGCGATAATTTGGGGTATGGGGGAGACCCCAGGTAAGGGGCAAACAAATTGAACCTAAAATTGGCGTCTCTTTTTTTTCTTTGGGCCTCGCCTTGAAACCCTGATATTGTCCTGGAATTAATTATTTCGCTTGAGTTCGCCGGTCAAGCCCTGGCGGGGATTGAGTTTCGTGATATCAAAGATGGTGATGATGACCATGAGGCTCCTTGATTTGCTCTTTGACCTTCGTCGCCATCGTACCACCTTCGTCATGTGTCTTGTCTATTTCACTGCAAGTCAGGACCACCTTTTGGCCTGATTATTTTTCATCTCTGTGGCGGCGTTATTTACATCGCGAAATGATTTTTTCTGTCAGCCTGCCAAAATATCGCCACACAAAAACAGCGCTTGCGCTTAAGGGTCGAGAACGGACTAAGCAGACAGCAGCCACCGACTGCGGTCACGAGGGAAACCGGAGCCGATACACACTAAGTAAAAAAAAAAAAGCAAGAAAAAAAAAGCGAAAAAGGAAGAAAAGAAGGAAACGGACATGGTTGGTTGGTTGGTTGCAGCGAACATCGGAGAAAAGTCCTTCAAGGAAAAACTTCCTCCCCGTCGGTCGTGGCTTGGTCTGCTTTGAGGGTGTGCGAGTGAACCTCTTCCCTTTAGCTGCAGGTGAGAAACACAAGCCTTGACTTTCTGTGCAACGGAACAGAACAGGCTCGGCAACCTACCCATGCCAACAGCATGGCCCGCCCATCAACACATGCGACCTTGTCGCTGCTGCTGCTGCACTTCACAAATCTACCTTCACACACACTTGTGGCGAATTTAATTTGATTTTCGTTCCCCAGGTTTTCCCAGGTTTCCCAAATCATGGAGAGAAGATGTTGTGGGGAATTCTGGGATCGATTTGAGGGGAAAGTATCGTGGAGAAAGTATCCTCCAGCTCTTTCTCTGGATGTTGACACCTATCATTTCATCCTTAGTTTCGAGTCCCAATTACTCAAATTACCTAAACTCATAGCTCCGCTATCTACTATCTAACAGTGGATTTTAATAGCTTCAATGCTATTTTTCCGGTTCAACCTGAGCTGCACCACATTCATCACAAGCTTTTGCTTGGTACGGAAAAGCCACAATATCAATGTGCTACCACCTAGCATTGACTAAGACCACCACAGCAAAACCCACATGCTGCTTTTGCTGTGTGAAATGAGCTCCCTAATGAAGTGACGTACCTGGATAATAATATTTGTGTAAGTGTATGTGGTGCCGCATGCTTAGAGTTATTTTGGCCGAAGATCCGCCGCGGGATTTTCAGTTGTTCAGGTTCTATGTTTTTTGGCGAATGTCGTGGGACTCTCTGTCACCGTAGGCATTGAGTTTTAGAGTTGTCGAGTTTCGAGTTTCGAGTTTTGAAATCCTAGACAGTGTCTGTGTCTGTGTTCTTCTTACTCTGCTTCCAGAGTGAGTGGACCCACTGCTTGGGGCCATCGTGATCCTCCAAACGGGCAGGTATGCAGTTCCACAGTTAGAGCTCTAGACGCTGTCTTGGGAACTCTTGTGGCAAGACCCAGCCTCCCTGTTCCAAATTGTAGATGCCGCGGACTATTTTCTCAAAACTATGCCCGTTTAAGGTTGACAATCATCAAAAGCATCTAAGTCACGTGTAGTGAAACAAATAAGTTCAACCAGTTGGGTTTCAAGCTCGCCGTAGGGTTTGCAATATCCTGACGGCTGGGAAATCAGATTTTTTTTTCGTTCTCTCCGGGTATATCGACATGGGTTTGCGTATAACAGATTTCGGGGGCCCCGCCATCAGAGGTGGAAGAGGCAGGGTCTCATTTCAGTAGAGTAGTGGTACTTTGCTTTAGCTTGCTCTGGAGGCAATTATTTCCCCCACCTAAGCTAAGAAAATACCATCACGCGCTCTCCGCATATTTATCACTCTAGTTCCAAGACATATCTGTACTGGACTAACAGGGGGAAGTCAAATTATGCGGGGCTCCACGGCCAGGCCATGGATTAATGCGATTTCTTTGATCACTGCAGGCGGTCAGTAGGGGGTGGGGGGGGGGTGTGTGTGTGAGGTATCTCTGAAATCATTATATATTCCTCGCTCCCTTCCTCCTCTGAATCACCATTCCACCTACCAACTTGTCAAGCATCTTAAGAGAGGAGGACAGCAGCCAACTCCACCGTTCTCTTTCGACAACTCAAACCAGCTCGCAACCGCTGTTACATACACGATGGGTTTCATGATCAGAAAGCCTGCCGGTGAGGAGGGAAAGACCCTCCCGGCCATCTTGATTGGTATCTTCGTGGCATTCGGAGGTATTCTTTTCGGATATGATACTGGTAGTATCAACGGTATTCTTGCCATGGACTACTTCCAGAATGAGTTTGGAACCGAAAGAAACTCCGAAGGAAACCTTGCTTTGACTTCTTCGCAGACCTCACTGGTTGTCTCTATTCTTTCCGCTGGTACCTTCTTTGGTATGTAGAAAATCGCTTCACACTTGATCACGCAATCATGGTTTCTAACTAGTCGATTTCTAGGTGCTCTTACTGCCTCCCCAGTTGGAGACATGTTGGGTCGTCGTATGGGTCTCATTGCTGCCTGTGGTGTCTTCTCTGTCGGTGTTGCCTTCCAGGTTGCCTCTACTGCCATCCCACTTATGGTTGTTGGTCGTCTTCTCGCTGGTTTCGGTGTTGGTTTGGTTTCTGCTCTTGGTAAGTTCTTCACATCTTTTGATATCTACTTCTTTATACTAACAATCTTTCAGTGCCCATGTACCAGTCCGAGACTTCACCAAAGTGGATCAGAGGAACAATTGTCGGTTGTTACCAATTGGCTATCACCATCGGTCTTTTGTTGGCTGCCTGCGCCAACCAGGGCACCCACAACCGTAATGACACCGGCTCCTACCGTATTCCTCTCGCCATCCAGTTCCTCTGGGCCATCATTCTCTCCATCGGAATGTTCATCCTTCCCGAGACCCCCCGCTTCCTCATCAAGAAGGACAACTACGAAGGTGCCGCCAGGTCGATGAGCCGTCTCCGTTCTCTCCCCCCAGACCACCCCGCTATTATCGAGGAGCTTAATGAGATCAAGGCTATTCACGAGTATGAGATGTCTCTTGGCCAGGCTACTTATGCCGATTGTTTCTCCCCGAAGATGCTCAAGAGGCTTTTGACTGGATGCGGTCTCCAGGCTCTTCAGCAGCTCACTGGTATCAACTTCATCTTCTACTACGGAACTCAGTTTTTCAAGAACACTGGTATTGAGAATGCCTTCTTGATCGGTCTCATCACCAACTTGGTCAACGTCGTCTCCACCATTCCCGGTCTCTACCTTGTTGAGAGGCTTGGTCGTCGCCGTCTCCTTCTCCTGGGAGCCATTGGAATGTGTGTCTGCGAGTTCATTGTCGCCATTGTCGGTGTCACCGTCTTCACTGATGTTGCCAACAAGGTCCTCATTGCTTTCGTCTGCTTCTACATCTTCTTCTTCGCCGTCTCTTGGGGTCCCGTCGCCTGGGTCGTTACTGGTGAGATCTTCCCTCTCAAGGTCCGTGCCAAGTGTCTTTCCATGACCACTGCCACCAACTGGCTCCTCAACTTCGCCATCGGTTTCGCCACTCCCTACATGGTTGACGATGGTCCCGGTAACGCCAACATGGGAGCAAAGGTGTTCTTCGTCTGGGGTGGATGCTGCTTCTTCTGTATCGCCTTCGTTTACCTCATGATCTACGAGACCAAGGGACTCTCCCTCGAGGATGTCGACCAGATGTATGAGAAGGTTGACAAGGCCTGGCAGTCACGCGGCTTCCAGCCTGAGGTCAACTTTGGTGCCCACCACCAGAAGGATGAGTTTGCTGGTGATGTCAAGTCTGCTGAGGCGGCTCATATTGACCGTGCTTAAGCGTTTTGCTCTTAGACCTCACTTTGTTTATTTGTTTTGGTTTATCAAACTCGCCTGAGACCCCTTGTTTTTTCGCTTGTATCTTGGGTTTATTTTCTCTACAGGTTTTTTTTTATAGGATGAGCAATGCTTGGTTCATGTCTGGTGAATGTAATGTATTTAGTTAGCAGTTACTTTGGATGTAACTTCAAGAAGTCAACGTGTAAACGGAATTTTCTACGAGTCCCCAAATATTCCCATTGTGATTGTGAATTGCGAGTGATATTTTCAAGATTCAATTCCTTGTCTGTCTATCCATCTATTATCGGCAATCTGCTTCTGGACGATCTCGATTCCAACGCAGAACGTTTCAAGTGCGGTCGGGTGATTACTTTCTTTTTTTGGATTTGCCAAGACCGCGCCAAGAAGGTACCAAACCCACCCTTGGTGTGGTGGTAGGTGATGTTTTAGGACCTAGCTGCCTTCCCGCACCGACGACGTCCTACGACAGACAGACGCTGTGTCGACTCTGCCATGTTATACCCAATAGTTACAAACGATTGAACACCCCCCGGAAGAGCTCTTCCCCCGGAGGTAAAGGCCGTACCTGAGGATGGATGGACTTTCTTTCCACTGCGCCCAAGAAGGCATGTCCTACTTACAGCTGTCAGTCAGTCAATGCTTACGTTACGATCACTGTAACTACTTTGGAACAGCACTTCCTCGGCCCACTCAGCCCATCGGACAAGTCACCCGAAATTGTCCCCCTCCGTGGCTTTTTTTACCACCAGAGAAAAGAAAGCAAAAATGATCAAATCCTGTTGACAGCTTGTGCTTGTTTCTTCTTTCTTTCTGTCTTAGATGTGCTAGATGTGCAGCGAGTGCTCGGGCCTGATGATTGGGCAGGGGTATCCAGGGTATGTAGAAAAAAGTACCTACATACTCGGGGCAGGCAATAAGAACCTGAAAATGCAAGCTGCAAGCAGGTGCTCAATTTGATGTAGCTTTTCGCCAGCCGCGAATCAGAGGTTGTTACCATCAAAAGTCATTTTCAGGTTCTTACCTGCCCCGAGTACTACCGCAGTACCTAGAGCAGCGTAGCTACATGTAGAGTTACCTCTCTTGTACTACACAAGCTTCCCCGCATTTTCTGATTTGCGCACACTGCAAGCATTCATTAGCGCCTCTGTCGATCCTCTGAATTTACGGGCAACTTTAATCTCATGACGAAGGTCTCAAACTCCCCAATCACGATGCCTTCATCTGCTCGGAGAACTCCATCGCCACACGTTGGAATCGCCATAGATGTTGCGGTGCCTCTGGATCACGCCCGGGAATTATGCCCTGTGTTGATGTAGGTATTGCGCTGTCGCCGCTTGGACTCCCTTTTCTCAGATGACGAAGGTGGCTTGGGCATCAGAGTAGAGGTAAGTATCGAAATTCTTGGCCGGTGAGAAATGCCGCGTGCCTCAAATTCAGTATTTACAAGTCGTTACATAGGCATTTCGATGTAGTGATGTTCCCCTTAGGCTCGCTTATGGCCCACAGCTGAGTAATCCAGGGACGTATTAAGAGTGATTCCGTGAGACCCGATTTCAGTTGCGCAAGTGACGTGGGGCAAGGAATACATTCAGTAACATGTAGCTGTGTATCGTGGGGGCGCAAATACCTAAGTCCTCCCATCTCTCTGGTGTTTTCAATTTCAGATTAGAGAGAAGAATCCTGCTTTGATCATCGGTTCCGAATGCAGGTATTATTACCCTAAAATCGTGGCCTGGACATGCGGAACCAACAACCTGTAGGCACACGCGCACGGCGTTGGGACGAATCATGATTGAAAGCTGCTATCAGCAAAATGAAGATAGTGTGCCGTTGTCTACATCTCAGCTAGCACCGCACACGGGATGGAGGAACAGCAGCACAGAAAAGGGGGATCTGCAACGTAAAGATATCTACATATCGATTACTACTTTGGACCAACCACCCTGATTTTGCATGATACGGTTCCTGCATCGTGAATCCTGGGCGTATGTATCGATTGTTCAATTGTCACCGCTGTCGCTGCCGCCGCATCATGTTAACGTCAATAAGCGCCGGCAATTTCCGCCAAAAGGAATCCGTTGTGTTCTTGTTTTTGACGGAAGGGACAAAGAATCGAACGATGAACAAGTAGTACTGGTAAAATTATCGCTACTTGCAAATGTTGAAGAGGATACTAAGAAGCACCAGGAAAGATGTTCTCCTACGCGTGCATATCAGAGTTGGTTGATCTGAGATTCCTATTCCCATGTATCATTTTGTCAAACATAGCAGGCGTGAATTCTGGGTGGGTTTCGTATGAAGATCGATTTAAATCATGCAGGATCACTCGATTGAACTCATCAAGCAGTTATATTCACGAATGTTCGTCTCACTATGACGCCGGATTTGTCTGCGACAATCATTTCCTCTGTTTCAAAGACGCCGTAGTTGCCACAAAGCCTCAGAGATCCCTTGTGTGGCTATCTGGAATGTTTTTGGCGTTCGGCTTAGCCGTGCATCCGGCAAGCCGCAAAGTGGGTTAATCGGGGCGATACATGCTAGACCAAGGGGGGTGGGGGTGGGTTCGGCAATTTCGGAGGGTCGCCGAGCCCGCCACCCAAATAATGACCGCACCTGTTCTGCATTTGCATAAAGTAAGGCTCTTGAAGGTTATATACCACATTCTTAAGTGGATACATGTACTCGAGTAGAGTATGTGTTCCGTCCTAGTCACGAATATGTCATTGACTAGAAGGCTAGCCCACTGACAATTCAGTTGTCCTGTTCGCCAAGATTGGCAGTCGATTGGATTTTGGCCGAAAGCCACTGAGGGTCCCTTGGTGGTAATACGGGTTGAATGGTTCGTATTCAAGACCGTGAAACCTAATGTCTTGTGACGCGAAATAGATAATCGTCTCAATCGGCCACTGGACCCTCGGATTGGGAAATAGCCAATATTTGCGACTGTGACGGAACATATGCGTCACCTAAAATGGTAATCGCCGGTGCCTATCAGAGGACGGATATCCGAGTGATAGGGCGTGAATGAAATTAAGAGTTAGTTAACACATGAAGAATCAGGGTTTTATGATTACCTAAATTTATCACTCAAGGTGTATAGCTAGGGCGACAATAAGACACAGCGAGATGCTTATGCGCGGACTAGTAGAGTCCAGAGAATCGATGCGACAACTCTCAAGAACATCGTTCTCGTGGGGTGTCTCCCCGCCTTCCACACGAGCTGGTGGCTTTTTATATATAGAGTAGCCTCCTCATCGTGAGCTCTTTGTGCTACATGGAGCTGGCGTGATACCTCTCTCAATGTAGCATGCTAATTACATGCACCACTGTTATTGTTGTTATTTTCATCGGGTAATATTTTGTCTTTTATCTGGCCTGGCAACCTAGATATCCGCGCTAGGGGTGAAAGAATTTATCGGATGAAGGTGAAAAGAGCTCCATAAGCGGAGCGTCCAAAGTAAACGGTCTGGAACGAATATCACTAGCGCCTAAGATTTGTCGTGTAAGTGGGGTATTAGAATATCGTGTGAAGATATATAGAGCCTCGGAGTGTTGGAAAAGAATCCGCTGAGTGACGCACTGATTAGGGAATCTTCTTCCTAGAGCAGTTTCAGTAAATGATTTTTTTGTGTGGGGAGACTGCTGTGTTGTGCGTGCAACCGCCTGGAAGAGCGGGCAAGTACTTGGGTGTAGACGACACGTAGCGGCCAAGAGCAAACTCGAAGGCCCGAGCGCTAACATTCAACCACATTGGATCCCCGCTTGAGCCATAGTCAATGATCATGACTACATGTACAGTAGCCAGTGTTCATTAATACCCCCGGATACAAAACCCCCATGAATTCCTCTACTAACGCGTTCGCGAAACTCCGACGATACCAAGACTTCCTTAATGGACCGGTGAAATCGCGATAGCCGACACCTGAAAGGTAATACGTACGGGCTATAGATTGGAAGAGTGGTGGCTTATTCATGGTACAGCATGGCACTGGGTGTTCAGCATGTAGAGTTGGAGCCCCTAGAGAACTTGCCTATATTTCGTCCTTGGTGCTATTTTATAGGCAAATAATTCGGTACCAAAGTTGATGTAGTCACGGCGGGGAATGGCTGCACCCTCAAGGAAGCTCGGCCCTTTGAGGGGCTTGGGACTGCCGGGCGTGCCTTTTATTTTCTTTTGAGGGGGTGAGTTGATTCCTAGACTTGGTAAAGCACAGTAACAAATAAACTTTGAAAAATATAGTTTCATGGCCCCGTGGACTACACTGCTTTTGTGCTCGTAACGGTTGGGTTATGGGGCTTGGCGCGAGTGACATGCTGTGACCCGTTCTACGGACCCTTCGCTGAACGGAAGTGACGCTATCTATGCGCAAAACGGAAAGCTAGAAATACAAATTTTCTTTTGGATTTGATCTCGTTACTCTTGTAGTCCGAACCTCAAAGCGAACCCCAAAAGCCAAAGCTCTCGTTGATTGCGCGGCATGTCGAAGGAACAAGTCGGTTCTCGAGTTTACTATTATGTAGAAATCAGCTGTTGGGGGCGGGTCAGCGAAGTAAGTTAGCCGGTGACATTGAGTTATGAATTGTAGCTTCATGAGCCGTTGGTTGGGGGGGGGGGGGGGAGGAGGCTATGTGGTTATTCGGTCTCTTGGTGCTTCCCTCTGCGGCTGGAGCCGGTTTGGTCCGGGACAAGACGAGCCGAGCCGAGCGCTATGTACTGTCACAATCCATAGAATCGTGGCTCTTGACGGACCGTGCCCAGCCCTTTATCCCGGATGAACAAGCCCTCACAGGTGATGTATGTTGTTCTCAAGGCAGAGGACAAGTCACTATTATCAAACCAGAAATCTGGCACCAAGAGTCCCCACCGTCTCTTGCTCTAAATTTACCAAACCCACGCCTGAGAATCCAATCGAAGGCTTCAGTTATCAGACCTCTGATACACAATACAATCAGATGGTCGTGAAAATACAAAAGTAAGTTTGGCTGCAAAGTGCTCGAGTGACAATCCATGACTCGAATTCATCTAGCTATGCTAATCTAGTAGTTCTAAGGATATATACGAAGTATATCCCTTTCGGTAAAGATCAAGCTATAAACCTGCCCTCCCAATCATTAGACATTAAAACTCAGAACTAACGTACTACATCAAGGTATCCCAAACAAGCAAACCAGTCGATAAATATACAAACTCGCACCGGGAGCATCAATCGAAGCAAAAAGCAAGGAACACAAAGAAGAAAAGTAAATGGATAGACAAATGGTCATAGAAAACCAGTGGAGAAAAATAGGGAAACATGGCTCTTAGGCTCAGGCACCGTATTACCGCCTCGACCCCATGAAGTAACTCTGCAAAGCTACTCCGCGTGATTACTCACTCGGCACTCACTCGCTCACTCACTCGCTCACTCACTAACCCCACCACTCCTCGCCTCTCCACCCCTGCTCCCCCTTCTTCCCCCACCACCACTCCCGGAACCCGTACCATCAACTCGAAGTTCCCCCACCCTGTCCATCTGGTGCAGCTGGTGCAGTCGGTGCAGTCGGTGCAGTGGGTGCAGTGCTGCCGCTCATCATCCATTTGGACCACTGCCTCTTGAATATGTTCCCCTCCTTTCCTGTATCGAGCTCTTCCACATCGCTACTGCTAATGCTGCTTCCATTACTAGAAATGCTGCGCTGCCTAAAGACTCGATGTCCCTCTTTGTGCTTCGCATCCTTCCGTTCCTTCTTGAGCTCTTCGAGTTTCTTATCGAAGCAATGGTAGGTGGTAACTGCACCGATACCATTCAAGTTAGATTCCAGGAAGCTCTTGAGCTTTGGAAGGAGCTCCTCTTTGGGACGGTAGGTGCCAGAGTCATTATCGATGACGAGTTCGTAATGGGACGGGTGGTGGTCCGTGTGTTTGGACTCCCCATCGGGGGATGCAATTGCGTCTGCACCGTGGTAGACTGCTTCCTTATCGTGATGGTTTGCGTCATCCCCGTGGGCTTGATGAGGATGATGCACGTGATGGTTATGTATCCTCCTTATAAAGAATTCGCCCGAGTAAGCAATATATTTGCTGACATCGCTGTGTAAGCTATGTTTGCTCAATAGATCAACTGCGAACTCGTCGCCTGTCTCGGTAAAGTGCCATTCAGCGTCGAGCGTAATGACATATGTGAAGATGCGGTATCCCTCGCTCCAATGGGTCATTTCAAGGAATCGCTTTGCTAATGCATTGCTGTCCTCCTTTCTACCGTCTGGAGAGTTGTCGATATAGCCATACTCTGTGTTCTGGTCATGGCAGTATAGATGGTTATATTGGCTGTGCAAGGCCTGGTTGAGGACACGGCCTTTGAGGCCTTTGCGAGAAAAATAGGCCGTGACGAAGGGGGCAAAGTCTACGTATCTGTGGTAGAGCTCTGGTGGGACTGGGCCGGTGAGTTGGAGCTTGTTGGCTTCGAAGGAGAAGTTTGCGGCTTTGTCTTCCCCTTGAGGGGAGTCTTTTGTGCGGACTACTTTGCCGATGAGGGGAGAGAAGTGTTTGGACCAGTAATCTAGAATATATTGTTAACATTGTGACATATCACAGGGTCTTTTGGAATGCGTACTTGGGCCACGCGTAAAAGCCCTCTTGATGTCCTGAAACCCTTCGGCCAGCCTCGTCTCACCCTTTACCTCAATCCTCATGACAATCATAGCCGTAACCTTCTTCTTTTTCTTCATGTCCGCGACACACAGCTTTAGCACTGCTGCTTTTTTGCTAGCACCCTTCTTTCGAAGCTTATAGCTTCCTTCATTTACTTGGTCCGAGCCCCAATTCTCTAGCTCTTGGAAATCAATAACTGCTTGTCCCAACCTATCGTCATGGTTCCTGATATCCTCATCCAGGACATCGATTCGCAGCTTTGTACCCTCTCTGGTAACATTGCTCAGGTCCCAGTGACACTCCCAGGCAGGGTTGGTAGTATTACGCACTGTGGGTGTGCGAAAGTGCAGTGGCGGACACTTCTCTGGGTCCCTGATGGAGACAGGTGTGGTTAAGGTTGCAGCAACATAAGGGTCTGAGGCGAGGGTGCCAAGGTCAGCGATAGGGAGATTGGAAGCCGAGCGGAAAGTGATTGTTATATCGTATGTTTTTGGAGGCATCGTGAATGCGACTCAAGCTGGATGAGCCCTGATGGCGACTATGATGGTTGTGGTGGTGACGGATAGACAACTGGAGGAGTGGATGGATGAGCGATGAGGTGCAGTTTACGGGGAAGAGAGGGGTGGAGGTTACAGGTTCACAGGAAGGTAGGTAGGTTGACAGACAGGCATTCGGTCAGTCGTTCTATTTCTACATGCACCCTACCGCAGATTCTATCACTATCACACTCAGGCGTGGAGGGGGCGGGGGGACGTGCGACCCTTGCGGCTCATTGTTTGTGCGCCCAGGACAACCGAATCTGTGCAGACTGCCGGCAATGTCGGATCTGGGCCCTTGAGAAAGTGGCTTTCCCCACCGCCGGTGGTGATTAGTATGGGGAGAAAGCTTAGCTGTGCACGGGCAAGATGGGGGAGAGAGAGTCTTTGTGCTTTGGTTGGCGCTCGAATAACGGCGATGGGCTTGGCGGTCGGTGATGTTGCTTTTTCTGGCGGCGTGGAATGACATCATTTCACATGGGGCTGCAGAGTGATGATGCTCTGCTGGATTTCTAGAAATGTGGGAAAACAGGGCGTAGAGTACTGCTGCAGTAGATTCGTAGAACTGCAAAGGCGGCGTTGATATCTCTACAATTCTACAATTCTGCAGTTATGTAATTCTGATATTCTACTAATTCAGTTAGGTAGACGGGTTAGACGAGTTAGATCCCTTGGCAAGTGCTACTGATATGGCCCAATACGGACAGACGGGATGTTTAGTAAAACGGCCTGGTCTAAGCAGTGCAGAACTGTTTTGTTGCTGGCGCTGATGGGCTCAGTTTACATTTACTTGCACACAGAGACCCACTGTACTCGTCACAGCCCGTCACTCGCACATCGAATGATTCACCATGTCTGATGCAGACCTATTGATCACTGGCCCAGAGCCGCAGCTGACCACCCCGAGTGACAGCTTGTGAGCATCGCAGCGCGCCTCCACCCCCACCGCACATCCGGGAAACCCTTCACTCCGTTCCCGGGGCCAAGAGCAACTCTAAATAACCGGATATTCCGGGGTATTTCATTGCGCAATGACAGGGATTCCCCGCGGCCGCGATCTACGCGTCTTGAAATGGCCGAGCGGTAGCTGGAAGAGCTCCCGGACAGCCTCCGGATCTGCGATTTCTCGGGCCAATGTTGTCGCAGTATTGGCGGTTATTAAGAGCCAGGTCCTTCTAGAATATAGAGTTGCAAACCGCGCTACAGTGTAGAAAGGCACCGTGAAAGATGTTTGGCCGAATCGTCCCTGCGTCTGCGTTCCTGGCGGTGACGACTGTGTTTGTCGGAGGTCTTTTGGTACCGGCAACGAATGGCGCGGTGTCAAATAGTACAAACACCCGTAAGCTTTCCTTCTCCAGACCTCCAGCTCTAGCCCACAGACAAAAACTAACCCCGATAATCCACAGTATCCCCCTTCCTCTACACGCCCCTCCCGCTCACCGCCATCCGCCCACGCGGCTGGCTCTCCTCTCAATTGCACCTCTCCGCCGCGGGGCTCGCCGGCCACGAACACGACTTTTACCGCTACGTCTCGGACAGTACCTGGCTCGGCGGGTCCACGGAGTATAGCGAGCTCCACGAGTCTGCGCCCTACTGGTTCAATTACATTGTCCCGCTCGCATATGTGCTCGACGACGCAAGACTCAAGGCGCAGGCGAAGAGCTTCCTGGATTATGTGCTCGACCACCAGGCTGAGGATGGGTGGATTGGCCCGGAGACAACGAGGGAGACGAGGGGCATATGGGCCAGGGCGTTGGTGCTGTTTGGGATGACGGTATGTGTTTTAGGCCTGGCTGGGGAGGGGGTCAATGATGGTTGTGTCGACCCGGGTCAATGATTGTGGCGGGTACATGGTGCTTATATGATTGATGTACAGCAATACGCAGAAGCGGACCCGAGCGAGACAGAGCGCATCGTAGACTCAATGCACAAGTTCACCGTGCTAGCGCACGACATGCTGGCGAGCAACTTCACGGGGCTGATCCAGCAAAGCGGCGATAATTTCGACCCGTGGCGGTTTGGGCTGGCGCGCACGCACGAGCTGGTCATGTCGCTACAGTGGTTATACGAGAACTACCCGCGCGGGCAGGAGCAGGTCATTTGGGAGACGATGGAGCTCATGTTTGAGGGCGGGAGGGTTGGCGAGAGGGATTGGACGACGTTCTTCGTGGAGGGGGTGTTTCCGAAGGTGGGGACGCCGGCGATTATGGATACGAGATTTACGCATGGAGTGAATCTGGCGCAGGGTATGTGGATTTCTGTGGATTGTTTTGGTTTTGGGTGGGTGTGGGTGGAGAGGGGAGTGGATGGGTTGGGTTGGGCTGACGGTGTGGTGTTGTGTTGAAGCTTTGAGATATCCGGCGGTGCTGTATAGGATGACGAAAGAGGACGGGCTCCTGACGCAGACGAGGAATGCCGTGAACTGGACTTATACATATCATGGGTCCAGCTCTGGTACTATCATTGCAGATGAACATCTCGGGGGTCTCTCGCCACAAAGAGGGTATGTATATGAATATTCTCTCCCTTCAGCCTTTTTCATGCACTAACAATCATTACCCCGAAGGTCTGAGCTCTGCATGTCCGTGGAGACAATGTTCTCCCTCTCTTACCTGTACCGCTTCCAGGGCGACAACGCCTTCGCCGACGGCGTCGAGCGCGCCGCCTTTAACGCATTCCCAGCTGCAATATCGCCCGACTGGTGGAGCCACCAATACGTCACGCAGACAAACCAGCCGTGGTCGAGGAACCTGACGGTAAAGCCGTTTTATAACGTTGTGTCGTATGGAAACACCTTTGGCCTGGAACCAAATTTTGTATGTCTTCTCATTAAACCCAAAGTGAAGTATAATTATCTGGTATGGTGGATTAATTTGTTTAAACAGCCTTGCTGCACGGTCAATCACCCGCAAGGATACCCCAAGTTCCTCGCAACATCGTTCCTCAAGGCCGGCTCCAACGGGCTCATTCACGCCCTCCTCAGCCCGTCGGAAGTCACGACGACGCTCGCCCACGGTAACAAGGTCACTGTGTCTGTTGATACGATATACCCGTTCGGTGACACTCTAGTGTACACCATCACCGCCAGGTCCTCTTTTGACTTCTATATCCGCATCCCGTCCTGGACTGTTCTTGCCTTGTCGAGTATTTCCGTAGATGGTAAGAAGGCCGGAGCATTAACGCCTGACGAGAACTCACTGCAGAAGGTGGCAGTGAAGAGCGGGAGGACGACGGTCAAGGTAAAGCTGGGGATGGAGGTCAATGTAGTCACCCGGGGCTCCGGCGGTGTCGCGGTGTACCGCGGACCTCTACTATATGCTCTCGATCTCGAGTACTCATCCGAGTCCTTCCAGCCACTAAACTGGACCGACACCCAGCCGCTGCCAGGAGAAGAGGTACCCCCAACCCCCTTTCTTTCACCCCACTCCCTAAACCTATATATACTAATCTCTCACATCCGCAGACCCTCCCCGAAACGCGTGATCATATCCTCGAGACACCGAGCGAATGGCGCATCGCAATCGACCCCACAAACCTCACCGTCAATGACAACTCCGCAGGCCTCAAGATGGCCGACCTGCCCAGCCCTATCTTTGCGCGCGGGGCCGCGCCCGTCAGTATCACTGCTGCCGCATGCGCGGTGGCGTGGAATGTGACGCTGGATTCGCCCGCGCTGCCGCCGCTGAGCCCCGCGTGTGTGGGGGAGAGGGTCAATGTGACGCTGAGTCCGTATGGGACGGCGAAGGTGCATATGGCGGAGTTGCCGATCGTGGGGTTTTGATGTGGGAGGAGGCGGGGAGTGTATATAAATGCATGGGCTTGAGGGATTATGATCAATTGGCTATTGGGCCATGGCCAGCTAGAATATAAAGAGAATATCAATGTATTGATGAAGAACGACTACATGACTGCCATACAGAGATATCACATATTCCATTGTCTGCCCTCACACTCCGCGTTTCCCATGTCGTCCCACATTTTCCCTCTGAAGCTCTTGACATCCGAGTGATGTCGCATGATCCAGATTAATATGCAGGGTTAGGGCTCGGTGATCGACTTAACCGGCCGCACCCGGCGCAAATTGAACTCCCTGTGAGCATTTTTCTTGTGAACGCTTTTTGCTTTTGCAGGCAGCGCTGTTAGCTGTAAGTTGTAACTATGTATCTGCTTTAACCCCGCTCTCCTGGGACCGCTGGTGGGCGTGAGTCACATGCCTTCCCTTTCTGGGCGTGCGAAGTGCTCGTGGAGGGAAGGTGCGAAGTGAAGTAGCTACATACATCATGATACATGTAGGCAGAGTAGCTGGGGATCATGTAGAGTATTCCCAGGGTCTCGCAATAGCTCTACGCGTGACATCTTATATAGAGAATCGCGTCTCCCCACTTGCAACGTGTGTGCCGATCGCGATTCGATCCTTTAGCTGAGATTTAGGCTCCTTTTCACTCTGGCTCTACATGATACACTCGCTCGCTGCCTGACTGACTGACTTACATCTTTGCTCACACCTGCACTGCGTGGTAGCCTTACTTTCACTGCCTTAAGCTTACCTACCTACTCTGGCGCTCTAGAGAACATACTTCACCTACCTACTTAATACTCTACAGGATTAGGAGAAACCCACAATGTCAGAACCCACCGACATCAAAGGCCGTGACCGCAGCCCCAAGGCGCCGCGAAAGCCGTTCCCGCAGCGCTACACCGACGAGCCCGATGTCGCGGGCTCGTCCTCGTCCGCCATCCCGCTGCTCGACAACTATGAGGACGATCCGAGGGCGGACGACGACGAGGAGCTGCCTGGCTATGTCGAGCACCTGGACGGCGACTATGGGGATGTTGCTCGGGTTGTGAACGGTGCTGGCGCTGCTGGTCCTGGTGCTGCTGGTCCTGGTTTTCCTGGTGCTGGCGCTGGCGCTGGCGGTGCTGGTGGGGATATTGGTGGTGGTGATGGTCCTGATGCCCCGCCGGACTTTGAGGATTATCGCCCGGTGGTCAAGAAGATAAAGACAAGGCTTGGCATGGGAGATACGTTGGTGGTGTCTCACGACAAACACCTCAATACTGATGGGGAGGCGCTTTATAGGTGGGTAAAATCAATAGCACTTGTTTTCTCTTTCTCTTTCTTTTTTTTTTTTTTGCTTTATCCTATGAGGATGATGCGGTGCGGCAAGTATATGTTATGTGTGTGTGTGTACAGCTTCTACGACTGGCTGCTCAACTCACCCGGGAATGAGCCATTTTGTTTTGACTGAGTTATATGTATAGCTAATTCCATATCATCATTGCTACTACAGATGGCTCTTGAAAGAGAGTCGTAATCCGCCCAGCCCGGAAATCCACATACAAGGATACCATTCGGTCAGAAAGCGGAATGGCGACAAGACCGAGACGTCCACGGTGACTGATTTCAACTTCAAGATTAATCTGCGCTACCGCCTCGAGCAGGCCTATTCAAACGGGAGACACTTTCCTCCGCTGAAGACAGTCCATCCGACAAAGAGAACGAGTCGTGGTGGAAGATGGAAGACAGTGGCTCCCGACCCGGAGGAAGCAAGAACGGTTCGTAGCTGGGCCGACCAGTACTGTGAGGATAAATCAACACTGAAAGAGTATGCTTGCGCCCCTCTCCATCCTACCTATCTACTCCTCTGTTCCCCCTCCCCCCTCACTCCCACCTGCATCCCCCATTAGATATATCCATATCGATCCCGATTCGACATCGTATCGAGATACGCTACATACACGATCGTATCTTGATAAAGGGTCCTAAACACTCTTCCTACTTGTGCTTTGACACTGACACTGCATATTGCATCGCAGGTTCATCATGAAAAAGTCCTGTGTAGGCTGGGATCTGGAATGGCTGGGAAGCAACATCGAGGCCCTGATTCGCGCAACAAACTATCGCGGCCGTATCAGAGTAGACTTCCCCGTGTTCGAGGCCCGTGTAGAGATTTTCCCCGCCAACCGTATCTCGTTTATGCGCAAGAACGAGTACTGGAGATGGTTCTTCTACCTGACCTTTCTCTGGACGCTTGCATGGCCCTATCTGTGGTGCTTCACCAAGCGATACCATGTGGCGGAGACAGTGTGGAATTATCTCCATGTTCGCCCAGGCAGCCGGGTAGCGCCCGTCACCGAGGCTGAATGGCTCAAATTGGGCTGGGGGGAAGCGATCAAGCGCGCCGCAAAGGCCAGACGGACTGGTAGAGTAACCCATCACGACCTCGAGGAGGTCTTGAACCGGGCCGCGGCCGGTCCGCAGGGGGAACTGGTGAGAACTCCAAAGACTGGAAATCCCACTGTTGATACTGCGTTGGGATTTATCGCGGGTGTGGGAGCTATTGCCAATGATATGCGGTTATCATCGAGTGAGATTATTGGTTGGGGCGCCGACGAAAACAGCGAGGAGGAGTAAAAGAAGGCGAGCTAGGTAGCTCTAGCTTAGCTAAAGTGCCGACGTTTACCTCTTTTTTTTTTTTTTTTTTTAATTTTCTTTTTCTTTTCTTTCTTCCTTCCGAGCTCCCCCATCTGTTTTCTCTTTTATCCGACGGGGAGTTGAGGGATCAGATCGTACTTTCGTTGTTCCATTCGACGGAAACACGTTTTCCCAGTAAGAGGCCGTTGTTGCTTGGGGTTGGCGGTGGTGGTTGGTTGGTGGATAATGTCTCAAAACAAAAAAAAAAAAACCTTGTGTAGGGCAGGTGAATATTGTGGATGCGATTAGTTGTCCTGGCCTGGTAGAGTGTGTGATGTAGATAGATAATTGGACAGTTGGCACTTTTTTCAGCTTCAGTCATTCATGTCTTGATTCTGTGCCTTTTTTTATTCGAAGCGCCTTTTTATGTGAAGCAGCAGGTAGCTTCAGAGATATGGTGCCATACCTGGAAGAAGAAGTAGGTACATAGCATGATGTAGTTACTCTACTCTTCAGCATCTCTCTACCCGCCGAGCTAGAGACGTTGAAGGTCTTTCTCGTGACTGCCAGTACCTTGAAAGTTGATACTGCCGCCGCACCACGACATCATTTGTTCCTGTGCCTGAGCCAGTGCCCGCGTGTTCTGTGTCTCAGACACCAGCGAAAGGAACCAAAATGTCTCTCTTGTGTGATGCCCCTCACCACAGCCCCCTCTCTCTCTCTCCACCCCTCAGCGCGTGTTGCCCCTCCATCCAGCGCCTCTTTTCCCTGCTTGGTTGCCTGTCTGTCTGCCCTCAGATAGTGAAGCTACCGTGTATCATGACCCCTGCAACTGCCCGCCAACACATCAGGATCACCCTCGCAAACGATCTGCCAACCGACTTGGCGATACCAAGCATCTAGTCCAGATGCAGGTAAGATACAATAGTTGCATCCTCACGTCGGGCAGGTCTTTGCAACTGTGGGTTTAGCCTTGATGCAAGCACCACCACCGCTCTCTGTCAACTTGTTGGCCCCTCGGCCCCCTCCTGGCCAATCCGTTTGAACCAGCGCATATATGGATGGAGCTTTGAGTCCTTGGTATCGCGAGGGGAAAGAGAGCGTTCGTGACGTTCATTGCCCCTCCTTTGTCCCGCCCCGCTTTCGGGTAGTGGGCAGTACTGGGGGGGGGGGGGGGTATTCGAGGGTATTCAAGGGAGGAATTGCATTCGCTCGACATACGTACGAGCCCGCATATACATTCACGCATTGCAATCTTGAATATCTACTCGTAGCTTTATAGCGTTTCCGAACGCGACCAATATTGCATGACATACGAAAAAGCGCCAAATCCACCTTTTTGTATGTCATGCAATATTGGTCGTGTTCGGAAACGCTATAAAGCTACGAGTATGTAGATTATGTATGTGAGCTAGGAGATATGTAGGGTCTACTAGGAATTAGAGTAGATACATACCTACGGTACTGTACCAACTACTCTACAGCTCCAAGATATCCTATATCAGAACCACAAATAGGACCAACCACAACATCAACCGTCCAGTGAGAGAGGGGCGTCTCGCTCGCCGTTCCAGAAGCCATGGTTTTACCCATGCTTCGTTTTTCTCGCCTCCATGTTTCTCCGCAGCAGGGCAGATCTGATCGAGCTTAGCCTGTTGTACAGCACATGCATCCGGGACGAACCACTGGCGGTATTTGGTTTTGTTTTACCAGAAATCCGACCCAGAGTGGCGAAGGTACCCCCCCCCCCCCGAACAAGGGCCAATTGAGTTCCAATAACCCAGAACAGAAGGGGCTTGCACACCATGCCTGTCTAGTAGAGCATGTAGAGCTTCCATCCATACTACCCACAGACCACCACAGACCACCACAACCACCACAACCACAACCGCTACCACCACCTCCACCACCTCACCATGACTGGAATAGCTGCAAACTCGACACGTCGATAGCGGCGGGAAGAGGTGAGAGAGCTGACTGAGTGGGTTGGTGGTTGGTTAGTGAGGGGTCGATGTGGTGAGGGGCAGGGAAAAATCCAGGTAGCGGGATGAGTGGGAGGGTTAGTTGCTGGCTGGCTAGCTCTCTCTGGCTTTTATCTGGATGAGCACTTGGTATAAAATCCGTTGGATTCCCGCACAAATTTTCGCATTCTACTCTTCACTCTCATCACACAATATCACAAGCTACATACTTGAACATCTATACTAGAATCCTCTCGCGGTTCTATTCGAAAATTCAATCCATCAAGCTTTAAGCTCTAAACCTCACAACACTTTATACACAATGTCTAGGTACGTTCCATATCATGTTACCTTTCTCTTTCTCTTCTTTTATTGAAAAGGAAATGTTTTGGTTTCATGAACTCCCAACTAACATCTTTCACAGCGGTGGATACGAAAGGAACGACGAGCGTGTCTCCAACGTTCTCTCCCAGGCTACTATCGACAAGGCACTCAAGGACCATGAGATGGCCCAGAATGCCCGCCAGGGAGCACCAACGAACAACCAACAGGCGTCAAGCTACTCACAAGGTCCCGATAGGCCAGGAATCGCCCGCAAAGACACCACCTCCCGCCGCGACCCCTTGACCGGCGACCTCATCGAGGAGTACTCCGGCGATGGCGAGGGCCCCGCGATGCGTGCCCACTACAACTGGGACGAGCCCGGCAAGGCCCCTAGCAACATGCCCCAGTCGCAGCAGGTGCAGGGGCAGGGGCAGCGCGGTCCTACTGGATCCTCCCAGGAGCCCCGCCCTGGCCAGGTCCACCGCACAAACACCACTATCAGCTACAACAGCAGCGGTGACCGTGTTGAGGAGCACGATGGAGAGGGCTCTCTTCGTGTCCGCGCTCTCTACAACGACGACGAAGACCCAAGCACCACATACCGCCCAGCGCCTCAAAGGCACCAGAGCGAGAGAGGTCAGGACCACCGCTACTAGAGATAGGGTTGGGGTTTCTTTTTTTCTTCACAGTTGTTAGACAGTTAAGGTCTTCTTTTTTTCTTTGGGATGGTTTTCTTCTTTGGTGACTCTTTTCGTTGTTTCTCTGGTTTGGATGGGAGTTTTCTTTTCTTGCGGATGAGGGTGGAGTGGTTGGTTGGCGGGTGGGGTTGTGGGAAGTTTGGATCTTCTTTTTTCTCTCGTATATTTGCATCAAATAGATGATACAATTTCGTGCTGGGTATACGCATATTCAAGTGTTCCTTCTCTGTGATCATTGTGAAGGTTTGGGGGGGGGGGGGGGGCAGTCAATGTGCTTCAAGGTATTAGCTCGAATCCCTCAGCACTTCAGACACCAGCCATCACTCGACTAACGTTGATTAACTGCACATGCACATGTTGCACTGCCCGCCCTGCACGGAATCATGTGTTTGGTGCTCTGTTGTAAATTCTCCGAACAAAAGCAATTATAGGCTCCAGGTACATACATACTCGACGAGTCTAGGACTCTTTTTTGCTTCTTTCCCGATCGTTTATTTCCCGATTAGCCAACCATACCAATGCCAGGCTCTAGATGGCCATGTAGCTAGTACACTACCCCGACCATTCTAATCCGAACACTTGGGAACAGTGAAAAATTTGCGGGGCCGGATCTGAGTCAGGGAAGCTTCTAGTGTCTACTTTAATTTACATGTAATTAAATGTAACTACATACTTTGCTTAGCGCAAATCCTGGAAGAGATATCGTAAATTTACACACACATAGAATTGTGAACTTTAGTAGTAGTGAGGATTACCCTTTCGGTCTTTTGGGAAACTATAAACAGTTATAATTAGTTTTGCGGTACGAGAATCTTCTTTGGAACTCTTTTTGCGCTGTTAAATTAAACTTGGGTATCAAGATACTTTAGATGTGCGAAGAATAACCCGTGAGGCTGCTATTACACAAGACTGTGCTTGTTGTGAGACATGTTAGTTGTCGTATTATTAATTTACGAGTCTGGTTTAAATAATGTATGCCTCAGGGCTATATAGGCCAGAAACTCGTTGTGTTTTGAACTGGTGTATAGTATAGCTACATGTAGGTATAGGCAGCTCCCGGGTTAGGAAACCTACGTGGTATAACAATAAGGCTCGGGACAAGCAATCATGGTATTGTTGCAAATCTGCATATGCTACCTAGACGGCAGAGCACATGTACGTAGTTAGGTGCTGTCTGGTACCGGCCCTCCTTGCGCAATTAATTAATGCGATAGATACATTTCTATCATGGGAGAGTGGATGGCCATGGGGTGGAGGGGGAGGGGGAGGAAGGGGGCTCAAATGCATAAAATTGCGGTTGGGCCGTAGTCACCCACGATCACTCTTGCCGGTCTCCTCAGCTGCTGCAAGGCTGCACCAGCACCACTGGTTACGGTACCAGTCCCACTGAGTTCTACCAACAACCTTTAAACTTCATTTCATTAGATGGCGCGTGCTCATTCATGAAGGCCTCAAAGTTCTTAACCTGGGTAAATGAAACGTTAAGGCAGTAAGGTTATCTCTAGGTCTACATACATGTATGAACCTACAGCAAACTCTCATACGCCAAGACACGCATATCATGCTCAGCCTCGAAGACATTATTCGCTAATGGACTGCATCCAGTTGAAATGTAATGAAACGTCTTTGGGTTAAGCTTTCGTCCTCTGAGATTGGCCGTCGGGTTGCGCCCCGTGTTCTCAGATCTAGAACAGAGGGCGTGTTGTCGTTTGAACGTGGTCTCACGTCCACCGTTGGATCATAAAGGGAACAGTGCTTAGGACGACACTCCCAGAGCCACATACTTATCGTCAAGGAATTAAAGAGCTTTGTTCCTATCTCGTGCCTGGCTAAGCTCTGGGAAATTATCGTGCAAGATTCCATCGAATATGCTTTGATAATAATCCAGGTTGGGTCTTCGCAGTCAACTAACCGCAGTATATCTTATTGATATCCCGCGCGCGCTTATTATATAAGGTCCGCTATCATGTAACACTGCGCCTCTAATTCTGGGGCCATTAACTGTGGATACTTCTTTACATTTAAAGTGCGTCCTTGGTCGCTAGGCTGTGATCGATGGATGGGGTTTCGCAAGGCTTTGAACCTACAACAACCAATCATATAAGGCGGATCGATGGGCGTTCACTGAACGAAAATCATACTTATTATATGCTGATAACCGCTTTGACTTGAGCATTGTAAAACCCAAGATACAGACCCTTTGAATATCCTCAAGCTAGCAGCACCGTTTGATATACTCTCCCTCGAAAACAATCAACTAGCTAGAATAGGACTTCAGCCGATAACAACATGGCTCCCCGACGCGGTGCATCTGGAGAGATGACAGGCCCTACAGAACCCTCACCAGAGGTTATATATCCCATCGTCGATTATAGCAACAGTCCGCGCGCCATGATGGAGGCTCCAGTAGCGATCAACTGTCTCTATCTGGTTGGGCTCCTTAGTTCCGCATTCATATTCTACAGGTATACCAACCGCGATATACGGAAAGGCCTACTCGCTCAGCTTCCATTCGCGTTTATTTTCCTCTCCTCCTCCACAATCTTCAACATCATAACCGGTACACTTTTCCTCGCTGAGGATTTGAGCGTCCGTCAGACATATAACATAATGCGGGGCTTCTTCACGATGTGCTACTATCTTGGAAAGTTGTGCTTGCTGGAGTCTGTATTTTCAATCCTGCATAACCGCCTCTGCGCCCTCAGTCCCGGAAGAACACCGAGGCTCGCATTGCTTATGATATATCTGGATCGCTTTTTCGTGACGGTGATGTTTGCGATTGTCATCACGATAATGGGGTTCAATATCAAGTACACCATGGATTCAAATGATATGTATCGTGGAAGAAACGGCGTCACGTGGGAGAACTCCGTGGGCCGCTATCAGATACACTGGGATAGGGTCGTTTTTGTGTATGACTTTATGCTGCTTATATGTGGTCTTCATTTCTCGAATTTCTCATCACACCTGCTACGCCGGGCAGATAAGCTGAATCAAGACAAAAGGGTAAATTATCCAACTCTTTCTCTAAAGCTAGGTAGAGATACAAGAAGCTGATACAGTTGTCCCCGCTGCATGTAGGAAATCAAGATACTGCTGGCCCTTATTTCAACAGCGATAATCGTCAACGGCATGTTTTTTGTTCTTGTCGATTTGATGTCCCTCAGGGATATCGTATATCCCTGGGCGCGCATCAATGTTGCACAAACCGTTATTGATACTATTACCATGCACAGTGCTATTGCTGGTGTTTTGTGGGTTGCGATGAGGCGGGAGGATTGGGTTCCTGGCATCACGGGGAGCGGAACAGCGCCGCATTTAAGAGATATCATTAGGGATCGAAGAAGACTACAGGGATACTAGCTTGTGATATTGTACTACTGAAGATTGGGGTTTTCCTATATATCAATACCAAAGGTACTTTTCTTTGCTGTTTAATGGGATTTAGGTACGCGTTATGAATTTAAAAATTTTAATGTACATAATTGGAACTATAGTTGTAGGTGCGGGTACATGCGGTTAAGGTTGCTGCGCATTCGCAGTAGGGACTAATCTAGATTGAGCTTAGAACAAAATGTTAATTGCTTAAATAGATTGACGTCATGGACTACTTGGGCGTCCAGTAAAAAAAATTGTGAACGCCTAAGTAATGTTTTGAGATATCCACTCAAAGTATCATTTCCAGTGTTACTGGCATCATATGGTTATATTTGGATGGCGGACGAAGAATGAAGGAATCTGTCAGAAGTTTGACTTCTGCCAAAGTCTAGACCGTTATCGGGTGGAGGTTTGTCTGGCCTCCACACCAAGTCGGTAAGGTTGCCAACACAACACAGCTTTGAGGATTCTTAGGTGACCTCAGCCAGAGAGCCCAAAGTCTCTTCAGACTCTCAAAACAACTCGTTCAGATGTCGTCTCCCCCAAGCCGTAACTCGTACCTTGAGTACAAACGCGACAACGCCTAGATAATACGATGGATAATCACCACAGCATCAAACATCAAACGAAGACAGGGGAAGCAAGAGCGGAAAGGTTCTTCAGACTCGACCGCCTCCCAGCCCCCCTCCTCTCCCCCCTCCTCCAAGGCGGCTGAAGATAACCCCAGCAAGCCTCAATTGGTGAAGATAGACAGCCCTGCAATCACCGTAGCCTCGCTCATATCATTGTCGGAGCTGATTGCAAAATCAGAAAAAACTATCCCCAAAACGGTGTTTAGGCTCTTCAAGTATGTGATCAATGCCCGTACGAGTGCGTATCAGTTCTGGGCTAGCATATATGCGGAGGATCCAGACGTGGAAATCAAGAAAGCAAACAAGGCCCACAAGGCTTTTCTTGATGCCTTGAACACTGCATACAAGGTTCTAGGCGGCCCAGAGTGGGAAGTACGAGAAGCGGAGGAGCGGAAGCAAAAGCCTGGCGATGAGGCGACAGATGACAATGAGCTTGCAAATCGGTTTGAAGGGCTTAAGGTTGACATACTATCTTCTGACGGAGAAGCATCTGATAACCCAGACAAGCCTGCACCACAACGGGTTCAGCGAAAGAACAAAAAGAGCAAAGGAAAGAAAAAGAAGCCTACAGCGGCGCCGGAACCGAAACCACAGCAATGGCCATTGGAGGACTTCAAGCTCAAGGATGACCCAGGAGCTGAGACAGAGGCCGTCTTTGGTGCTTTCTGTTTCCTCAAGGATATGGTTGACCTTAGGAGGTAAAGCTCATAAACTTATTTTATTGCAATCATTATCATTATTTTTCTGACGCAGCAAATAAAGAGACGCCGCAAGTCTATGGCTACAAGTCGCGGCAGATGAATTGCACATAGCTATCGTAGGTGCCCTTAGTAACGTGGCTGTAGCGAGAGTCAAACAGCTTTAGTATGATGCAGCTGCAGAATTCCCTCAATTCAGTAGCTTTGACAACCTCATCCAAACTTTCTGCCGTGGAGACCTAGAAGGGTCGGATGGTAAACTCAAGTTTGGGAGGATAGGCCCTCTAGGCACCCTTGAAACCACTGCGGTAGACTTCCGCGAACATTTCTGCATTTGTGCGTATGAGGATCTCAGAAAATTCATCACGGACTACCGAATCAACAGAAACGGCAAACCCTCACCTGCCTATGCCTCATTGAGATGGGATCCGAATTTGAAGCTAGGGAAACTCAGTGCGCAGAAGCGGCGGGAATGGCGTTCGGATTTTGCTATGCTGTGGTTTTACGACTTTGTGAACTCATATGCCTCTACACTTCTCACTAGAGCGTTCCCACCCAAAACTCTAGAAACGTGGGACTGGAGCATAGAAAATATGGGACGCCAGACACGCCGTATGCTTTGGGGCCCTGTAGAATTCGTAAGCGAAATTGCAACCCTCGCAATGAAACGTAAAGACGCACCACTTGCAAGGCTTATCAAACCACATCACGTTTTTCAAGCTCAAGTCATGCTCGACTCGATGACTGCATTCAGAGGCTGGCATCTTGATGTCATGATTGGGGTTAGTGTTTTGCCTCCAAGACCGTGGGAACAAATGTTTACGGAGATGGATTCGTTCAAATCGAAATGCTTGAAGGGAGCAAACGATCTTTCGCATGAATACATGGTTGACCAAGAGCGTTATGGGGATCCTCGGCGGCACAAGTACCCAATTGATGAGATTCAAAATATCATGACTGAAATACAGCTCGTTCTTGGCGATACTATGCTCTCACGAGCGGAAGGCGCCCCGGCATCTAGGTTCGAGTACGTAAAGCCCAACGGGATGTGGGCCTATAACCCTTGGCTTTGTGGAACTGGTTTAGCAGAAGCTATGAATTTTGTGTATGACTTCGGTATCACTGCATGGGATAAATCAGGACTTGCTTTGTGTATTTTTCATCTCTACAATATGCTTCTCGCTACTGGCCATATTCCCGAAGGCAAGTTCAATATCATGGAGGACCTGCTGACAGTGTTTGAAAGCGACCTTTTCACCGGTGGAAAAAGACCCAACAACTTTTTCAAGTCTTGGATGTTGGCTGCTGGAGTGAAGGCACAGGTTCTGGCGGATCCACGAAAGAAACGCATGAATAAAGGTGGTAACGTGCTTGAGAGTGGGGAACGGATGTCGAGCCTATACCGTCGCGCAGAGGTCCGATGTTTCCATCGGAAGAGTTTACTCCGTGCCCTTCAAGATGCAGATTGGATTCCCGAGAGGCTACCTAAGGAGAGAATTCCTATCGTCAATGATACTTCCGCAGCCCAGAAAGAGAGAAGAGAAAAGGAGAATTTGCTTTTCGAGGTTATGAGACGACCTGGAAATATGCCGAGCGATAAAGTTAAAATCGATCACCCAGAAAAAACCGATGAGGATTTCCTCATAGCACTTAGACGTGCATTGGTTTTGGATGTCAACGGTTCAATTCCGAATGGATCACTCAACTTTTTGGCGCTTTTAGGCTTTTTTATGCGGGTATTTGAGAAACTTGATGAGGGAACGAACTATTTTCCGAGGCCGTTGGGACCCCCGGTTGGGCCGACTCTAGCATTATATAATAATGTCATGAAGTTGGCCTTAGACCTGGAAGTCGAGGGAAATCGCTGGGGGGAAATGAGGTTTTGGAAAAAATGGGAAATTTATTCGTGAAATACGTGGCTGGTGTCGAGTTGGGAGATTTTGTATTTGTTGATTGGATTGTTGATGTGGATTAAATGTCGAGGAATTTCAGGGTGATGGGAGGTGTATTTTTGTCTTTCATTTTGGCATCCTTAATCATTGTTCTTCAATTACATGTCTAGTTAAAGTCCCCGTAAATCGTGGGGTACATGATATATTGTACAAGAATTTTCAAATATAAAGCCTTTCTGGCGGGGGCGGAATTCATCTATCATGAGGTATCACTCGACCTCAATTCACCCAATTTTTTGAAATGTGATTATGTTACTCTTCAGTCTTTTTGGTCTATAAAATTATTTTCTTATAGTCTCATATTAATAAGCTAACAAGATAAACGTGGGGGGATAGCAAATATTCCCAAGAAATTCGGGATAGCAAATTGATTTTGCAGTAGAAAAATAGAATTCTCAAGGGATCCGGCATATTGAGCTCCGCCATAGCGAGGTGCAACTGTACATAAGTGATTTTACGTGGGATAATGAAGCCTGCACATGCAGCTGAAAGACCAGTCCAAATTAAAATCTAGAGCACTATATCCCTTGGACGGATGAAACTCTCAAATTCGCAGCCTTCCTCTTTCAGCTGATACTAGCCATATCTGGTAACTTGCGTTGATTTTTGATTGGCTCTATGATTATTACCGCACATAAAAAGCAACAATATTACCTGAATAAGTGCGTGCACGGTCCAGGCTGCGAATTTGAGAGTTTCATCCGTCCAAGGGATAGCCTCATTGAACCGTCACTGCAAACCGGTTTCACTCAGAAAGGGGGGAGACTATATCACGGGGAAAATTGACGGGCGTGGGACCGGTATCGAATGAGCACCGGCCGTGTTTACTTAAAACATTCAAATAATAAAGCTTAAACCACATGCGCCATGCCGGCGTAAAATACTTTAGTTTAAAACCAACACTGACGTTTAGGTAGAGAATTTAGCGCGCTCCCTCTCACTATGCCGTCCTTAATATGTGAACTACGAGTTCCTGTAAAACTCGCTCATGGGGAAATTCTATCTCTCCGAATTCGAGGCAAAGCAAATCTTGTAATAGGGATAGCCTCTGTAATCGGTCAGGTCTTCCAGATTACGATCCATCACTGCTACCATCATATCACCAGTTGGTGTATGTACCATCACCATCACTCCAACGAAATTCAAATATTCCCTGTCAACTCCAATAGTCTTTTTGAAAGTCGCAAAATATCCAGACGGCACATTCCTCTAATTAAAACGTCTGAGCTTTACTGCAAATATATCCGGAAGAGTGGCCGTATGTTATCAAATGTGATGGAATGGGAGCCACTTTTTCGTTTCTGTGAGATACTTGAATTGATGTTCGAGGACAAAAGTTAGATGAAGAAAGCGATTTAATTTCGATACAGATGTGGCGATGGTGGTGGTGAACTACCCTAGAGGTGCACACAGTACTCTAACGAGCCCACAGCTAGCGTCAAAGTCGACTACTCTCGCCAGTACGGTGACTGCTATGCCTCCTTCGACCATTCCATCCTTCCGTCTTCCCATCCATATAGGTTCTCTCCCCCTCCATGACGAAATATCCAATGTGTTAGGCCTCTTGTTGCATTGGAGGAGTGAGTGGCTGGTCAATAATGATTCATTGATTGATAATTCGTTGATTGTTGAGTGGCTGGTCAAACTATTATGGCGATAAGTCGATGCTGAATAGTACGGGATGACACCAAGTGAGTGACTCAATATGGTTGAGTGAGCGTTAAATGGCTAACGATAAGCCAGTGAGGAAAGGACGGAAGAGGGACCACTCTTAAATTTATACATGTACTGAGGACGTTGCAAGGCTGATTTTCGAATTCCTGGGCTCGTGCCGAACTTCCGTCCATGCCCGTATCGGTGGAACGGACAGTACAGATACCCCCCATTCCCACCCGGCTATGCATGCACAGATAATCCCCTTCTAAATTGTCCACCCCAGATTTATGCCAGCTAAATATAACCGGTGCTTGTACTTAAGTGGTGGACGTGGTATATATATAGCAAACCATATATATACAGCCGCTCTAGCTCTCAATTATCCACGGGCTAGAACCATCCATCAACACCACCACTAATAAGATGCTAAAATCTAGTGTAGGACCAATTCATTGATAACAGAAATAACAAGATCTGTTAACGTGTGCCACACTCTCCACTGACCTTCCACGTTCTAACAAAACGCCCGCTGGGCGGGCCGGGGAGTGTACGTGAATGGTCTAAGACTGGTAAATAAACCATAGTTATATCTACGTATAATGGCGCATGAATTCATAATAGTCAATGAGAGAAGTAAAATTTCATAATATAGTACCGTACTAGAAGAACGGGCAGCGGAGGAAAGTGTGGAATTGTTCCTCTCAACGTGCGGGGATATGGAATGAATTTGCAAGAGAAATGTCCACAGAAAGCCCTGCTCTCGAAGGGACTTTCTTTCTTCAAACATTAACTGTCTCAGTTTTAAGATATGGAGCTGTATTGATCATCGGCTAGGGGCGATCCCAGTTTATAACCTCGTTTCAATTCTCAGCTGGTCCACATGCACATGATATACAACTATTTTATCGAAAATAACCTAAAGGAAGGAAGAAGACTATCTCTCGGACTTGGACTGGTATTCTGATATGATCGGCAGAGTATCTCCTGATTTTGAAGAGATCATAACTTGATTCATTGGTCGAGGAGCGTAATTGTTGATTGTATATATTATTCAAGAGAGATGAGGCAATCTCTTGAGATGAATACGGGCAATTTACTGTAGCTGACTACATTTATAACAAAAAAAACACTAATATTATGCCCGGTATAATTATGATAATTATATAAGAAAGAAAAAATAACAACACGTGCACTCTTAAAACGCCTAAATTAAAGATGGACGTACTCATGAAATATCACTCGCTCATGGGGAATGGCTAGCGTTGGAATTGTTCCGAGCCTAGGAGCAAAGTCCTAATACTCATATGAGTGTCAGTATATATGTCAATATGTAGTCATATATAGACTGTTCTGGCACAATATTCTTGTATAAATAAGGGCTTTATATGCCCCCTGTATTATAGTTAAGCAAGTCAATTGGGAAAGTCACAGTCTTCCGCATTTATTATTCTTTATTATTCTTTATTATTCTTCACTACTATTTATTTCCAACAGCTAGATTGTAATGCTGGCCACGGGTTCATCGGCAAATAGGATCAAAAGGAGAATACTGCCTAGAGACCCAGATTTCTGGGATAGAAAAGATCGACGAACACATGTTAGAGTTGATCCAGTACTGACGATGTGTCCCTCCAAGATGTAGATCCATGGTGACTAGCCCAACCCTACGGCTTTGAAGTCGGCCATCCTTGCACACAGCTTTTTACTCACCCCCACGCTCATCTCAGCTTCTCAAAATCTCCAAACAATATCTCTACTTTGAATATCAACGGAATATCTAGATGGGGATCGACGGATATCTCGGGAGTTCAGGAAGTCCAGAAGTGATGGAGGGTCGTTGTTGAAACAGTCCCAAATAATTGCTTATATAATCGCTCGGACAGGTTCCGAGAGATGCTCCGGACATGTTCAGACTGTCGAGGGGGAGAAGCCCGGATACTCTCCGCTCGTGAGAGTAGGGCATAGAGAGGTATAGCTCCTTCTGTTCCCAACAACGGATTTTTACTTACCGAGATCTTTGATATTCTGCGCTCTTCAGGGGTTTTTGATTTGGTATAATCTTGCTGTTACTTCAAGTTTAATTCGCATATATCTTCTTCCGCTCCGGTTCTTAGGTTCTTGAGTTCTTGGATAAATATTTCGAAAGATACTCTTATTTGCTTTTTCAGCTGTACATTTTGACAAAGAAAACATAAGAAACAATGAGCAGCGGCGGATTGCAAAGGAAGCCAAAGGCTACAGTGGAGAGGGCGCCATTCTCTAAGACAATCGAAATGTGTATCCCCGAGCAACTGGTACGTATCCTCGCTTCTGATTAGCTGCTATACCGAGATAAAGTGCTGATACAATCTGATAATAGGCAATACCCGAGAGAGAGGTCCGTGATTCAGGTATGTAACCTCAATGTTTTACGATAGAGGAACATAAAAGGTTAACGCAGTGTATCAAAAGTACTTGATATTCAATCTCCTCTCCAAACACCTATTTCAACAATGATGGAGGAGAGTCTTTCTCAGGTTTCCGAGACACCTCCCTCCAGTATTGCCGCTACCGGGGATGAAACAAAGAGTCGAAAAAGTTCACTTCGTTCTGAGGTAGCCTCAAATGATGCAGACCATTCGCCCTTTTGGACGCAAGCCCAAGAGGATTTCTTGCCTGAATTGTTCTCAGAAAACGTGGTAGCAAAAATTTGGGGGATAGCCGCAGAGGCATTATGGCAGGTAACTTATTTTGCTTTAACCTAAATTTAAAACCGATATTGAACTGCTCGTTAGAACCACCCGCCAGAATCAGCGCCGGAGTATACACAACCTCCAAACGGGACAACCTACTCAAATACCGATATCGATTTCTGGACGTCCGGTTTCTTCCCCGGGAGTCTCTACCTCTTATTGGAAAGAGCTGAGCTCTATCCAAACCATTTCCCCCAAGCCAAGCTCCATAAAGCAAAACTTCTATACGCCAGTCGTTGGTGGTCAGAAAACCTACACGCTCAGGCGAAACGAACCGATACTCATGATCTTGGATTCATGATACAGCCGTCGTTTCAAAAAGATTATGAGCTGACTGGGAACGATAGAAGTTTTCAAACGCTTGTGACCGCCGCAGAAAGTTTGGCTAGTAGATATGATGAAAGAGTCGGAGCTATTAGAAGTTGGGATGTGTGTAGAACCAAGAGGTATAAGTTCGAAGATCCGTCGAAAGACTATCTAGTCATTATAGATAACATGTTGAGTAAGCTTTGTCCATGATCCAATAATTCCATACAATTTTACTGACCAGAAAGACCTTGACTTGCTCTTGTATGTAGCGTCTAAAACTGGCAATGCACGTCTAGCAAATATCGCAATAACCCACGCCTCAACAACATTAAAGCACCACATTCGGGAGGACTGGTCTACAGTTCATGTTGTCAATTTTGACCAGCATAGCGGGAAAGTAAAGGATAAATTCACAAATCAGGGATATTGGGATGATAGCACTTGGAGTCGAGGACAGGCATGGGGTGTTCTCGGGTTTGCTCAAGTCTATGGATGGACAAAACGAAAAGAATTCTTAGATGCTTCAAAAAGGTTGGCGCGGTATTTCTTATCCAGGCTTCCGGCAGATGGTGTTCCCCATTGGTCAGTATATCTCATAACTTTCTTTAACACCGCCGCCCAGGCACTGCAGTTACTGACTTGAAATAATGATATAGGGATTTTGACGCACCTCGTCCGACTTATCGTGACACATCAGCTGCAATGATATTTGTTTCGGGTGTTCTTGAGATCTACAAACACTGTTCTGGGCCACTCGAAGGAGCCGAATGGCTATATGCCGCGAAGAAGATTATAAACTCAGTCCTCAAGATGTCATTATCTCCTCGTGCCAGGTTCTTAAAGGACGGTAAAGTCGACATGGGAGGTTTCGACGCCATCTTGAAGAACGCTACTATTAATAATTATGAATACGCCCCTAGGAGGTGGGCTGATCATGGACTTGTTTATGCGGATTATTTCTTATTGCAGGTGGGAAATAAGTTGTTGTCATTGGGACTTTTAGAGTAGAGCTCGACAGACTATGTGTGGTATCATTTCCTTTTATTCCCTGATTACTCAACCTGGTATCTACATACCCCATTCCTTTCAATACAGGCTTCGTTATCCTTCCAAAAATAGTATGAGAGTATGTAAAATAAAAGTCAGTGTAAGCTCAAAATATTATTATTGTGAATAGGGACTTTTCTTCCGCAAATAGACCAATGATAAACGATAAAAAAAAAAAAAAAAAAAAAACGCCAGTAGAAGCCCCGTAGCCACAAAACCACAGTCCATTTACATCCCGCCGCCATACGTAAGTACTCGGTCAAATCCGGCGAACTGCGGATCTGCAAACAGATTTGAGAACTCTGTCAGCTGCTCTACCGTAAAGATACCTCCGTCCGAGTGATCAATAACGCCATTATACCCGTTATCAAAATGTTGATGTTCATCTTGTTGGTGTTCGAGACTGTTGCCGTAGGGATGATTCACGTTGCCTACGTGGCTTGCAGGCGCCTGGAAAGATAATGGCATGGGTGGACTTGCAAGTTCTAATGGCTCTGACTCCATAAGCTGCCCATTCTTTCCATTCATACTTTTACCTGTCATTTGAAGGAACTCGTCTGAGTCAAAATGATCAGAGTATGCTGGCTTGGAAATGTCGACCGATCCTGTAGCAGCAGAATCGCTGAACAGTGTGTTTTTGGGGTCACTTTGTGCTTGAGCTTGAAGGAGGCGTTGAGCAAAGCCCGCCGGAAGGTTGTAGGCATTGTCATGGTCTGCGTAGAGACCGCGCCAGCGTTTGGAGATGTCGAATAGCGCTTTGACTAGAGTGACGAATTCAGGTCGGAGCTCAGTGTTGTAGAACGAAGCATGTGCTATGGTTGGGGCATTGTTAGACAAGCTTGTGTTAGAGGGCTCAAGTCAACTAACCTAATAGCACTCGACCAGAGACAAATAAACAGAATGCAAACTGGGGGTTTGTAAGCCCGGTGTTGTGGATCAGGTACTGCTGCGTAATGGTTGTGATCTCCACAGCAGCAGATAAACAGGTATCTGCTGAACTCGATGATGGCAACTTTATGGAAAGTGTTTGCCACTGAACGGATGGGTAAGCAATGCCCTGATGTAACAAAATGACAGAAGTGTTATGGGTAATGTGTGCCAATGTGAGATTGGGATCCATCTTTCCATTCACAACAGTTGCCTCTCTCCACTGTGGAGGTAAAAATAACTTCCATCTAACCAACCTTAGATCCAATTCCTTGAAGCGCATCAGCCACTGCTGTACCTCTTCAGGAGATTTTAGATCTACTGCCTGCTGTAGAAAGAACCTAGTGACTTGACTAAGTAACTCAGTAGCTTCAATGCAGTAAGAAAACCCGCCAAGATTGACTACCTCTTCGGAATAGAATCCATTAGAGTTATTAGCCGAGTCACTAGGAAAGGGGTCACTTATAAGTGGCACCCCCCCTCCATTTTGTCGTCGTATGTTTTGTGTACCGGAGTTATCTGATATACCGAAATAACGAGTTCGAACAGGCTTTTCTGCTTCCCAGATGGCGCCTTCGCAGGGGAGACGACGGCGTACATCAGCGCTTGTGAGGGAGGTATTCCATCTAGATGTCAATATCTTGTTAGCCAGCTAGCTAGGCTAAATAATTTTAAATAAGGGTGGGTTAGGAGACGTACCCAGTCGCGACTGAACAAAATCTATCGAGAAGAAAAACGTTCCAGAACACCCTTCTTCGTTCTTCGCCCTCGGTCCAGGTTTTTGAGGGTCCGAGGAAGTTCATCCTATTTATCAATCGGTGCGCTGAGCTATTTCCTGTATTTCCTTCTGCATCATCTTCGAAACTGAGTTGTAGATGCTCGACCGTTCTTGTCATGGAATCCACTATGGCCCATGATTTTGGTCCTCTTCCTGAGCCAATCTATGAAACTTAGTAAAATTAGTTCGCCTAAATCAGCTGGGGTTGGTAAGACTCACAGTATCAAAAGCTATAATTACAAGTGCTTGTAAATTCTCAACGGAAAACATTTCCATACTTTTCAAAATCACTGTCTGTCTCGAAATCCTAAAATATCGATCCCTGACCTCTTTTCGCTCCAGCCGCTTATCTGCCGAGAACCGGACCGTTGCCGCCACGATGGCATGGAGGATCGTGGAGAGTGCCGGTCGCGTGGCTACCGACTCAAGACGCCGCAAAAAGGAAGTTTTATGCAGGATTGGAATCCATGGATGGATTAATTCAAAATACAAGTGCACCAGTATATCAACCAAATCAGCAGGTGGGAGTGAGGAATCTTCACAGTCAAGGAGATCAACAATCGTTGGCCGCCGCTGTTGGCTAAGCTCTGGATCTGATGTTGGTTGTTGATACGATCGAGGGGAGACATCGTGGTGGTTGTTCAGGCGTTGTCTTTTTGCAGAACCACCACTACCTGAAGTTGCAGGAGATGATGCTTGTAACAGTTCTCTTTTCAGACCAGATATTTCAGCAGTAAGTAAGTCCAATGGCTTGGAAGGAGACCCGCAGTCAGACAACTGGGCGAAATTCCCAGGTGATTTGGGCCCAAGATTTGGATTGAGCTCTCGAATTGTAGAAAGAAGTTGGCGTGTTACGAGAGTTTGACCAATGAACATCTTCTCTAAAATATCGAGGCGTTGACTTAACGACTCGATCACACCGGCTTTTACTCCCGGTCGTGAACGCGACTCATCATACTGGCATTCGATGTCTGGTATCGGGGTACACCCGGTCGGTCAGTATCATGAGGTTTTTCGTCAAGGAACCATTTGAAGCCAGAGAGACTAACTCATGCGGGCACAATGGGAGCATGGTTGCTCTCGTGAGCATTTGGCTTTCTTCTTTCGGCAGGACTGACATCTGTAGACGTTTGTATTAGCAGCTATAGGCAGTTCAGAAATTCTCAAGGGAGAAAGAGCTGGTGGGAATTTACGCTGGTCCCTCATCTTCAACACTCTCATCCTTTTCTTTTTCACCCTTGTCCTTTTCTTTATCCTTTGAAGCAGCTCTCTTCATTTTTATGACAGTTATTAATATTGATTAGAGAAGACAATAGATGCTCCAAGCTAATGAGAATATTTTCCGAGGGGATGAAGGTCAAAAATGCGACAAGATGCTCTGGAGATATAGCCCGAAGGAAAGGAAGAAAATATGGATGCCCAGGTACAATGAATCGCCGAGATGTAACGGTTTACCTGTGTGACACTTACACCACCCTACTCCTACTGCAGGGCTTTTCTCCCTGATAAATATCAAATCGAGTTTAGCGAAAGCATAAGCGGTGCGCGGGGACTGTTGGGGTACTGATTAATTTATTCCATATACACACCTGCACACTCCACAACAGCCAGGACTTGCTGCTGCCCCTGTCCTACACGCATGGAATCCCTGTGGAATGCGGGGGAGAACACGAATATCATTTAACCGGCCTCCTTTTAACCACAATGATGGTGTTGACCGGGGGGGTACAGTACGTAGCTCGTAGCTCATCGAGTCCCGTTTGGTGCCTGGTATTACTCCGAACTGAATGGATACTCTACCCAGCGTGTGGGCAGAAGAATTGACATGAGATGCATGTCCCGGCCGGGGCCAGTAAAGTGCTCTGGAGTGCGTGATGTGACCACGCTAGTATCGATTCATATCCTGTTTTTTTTTGGTACACTACATGTACAGCTTAGGCGTTTAGTAAAAGGTCGTGAAGAGATGTACCTACAAGCGTTGCAACGGGACCTTTTACTGAACGCCTTGGTACCACTAGCAACAAAAATAATACTGCAATGTAGGCTGGGAATAAATCATAGGCTATCTATTGATCTGATGTACATCTCTACTAAAGAATAAATCCGAGGGTGCACTGATAGTGGGCATCCGCAACATTGCCACAACTGCTGTTGGAATGTCGTTAGGGTGATGAGAACACCAAGGTTACACCTACATGTAGCTACAGTACACACCTCGGCACCAATGTGATAGCATGTACTACGTCGTGAGTACTTCCATGAGGCCGTTAATATTCGTAGTACGGACTAGCAATCGTTGCCGGCCAGTGCTGGCCCAAACCAACCCAGCCCATGTCTACTGGATTCAGACCACCCGATATCTTGATAGAGGGTACATACATGTATGTAGCTCATGTATGTAGTCAGTTAATCATCAATCAAGAACCTCCTGATTCGGAATGGCCATATCTAGCACACACATGCACACACATGCACACACAAAATTGCCAGTACTAAAGGAATACAGAGCTCTAAAAAGGCTAAATGAAGGATCATTTCTGCGCGCAACTCCTCAATTGATCAATTGATCATCGAAAATTGAATCCGGCAATTGCAACGACACATAAAACAGCGTTTCTGAACTTCATAGAAGTCTTTCGGGGCAGGCTCGATACGGCCTCACTCTTTTGAATATGAAAGACCATGCATATGTCGATACGGTTGGTAGGGTGCATGGAGGTCGCGTTCCCACCGAGAGTGGCCACTTATAATTAAAATTATATAAATTATATAGAGTAGTACTAGGTATGTATGTATGTACATACGACTGGACCTAACTGTACTCGATAAACGCTACTGTTGATTATAAAAACCTAATGGTAAGGAATTAATACGCACCTGGAATCAAGGATAATCAAATGGTACGGCCGGAGTCACCGAGCTAGGCTTTTAATTGGGTCCATGAACTGTAACTTGGCATGTCTGTACTAGCCTTTGATGTCAGCCTTCCCAGTCATAAGAGTTTCCGTACTATGCCAAGCGCACAAACCCCTCGACCTGTTCTACTGGTTGGATTTTATCATTGATGCCTTGAATTAGGCCTCAACACGATGTTGACGTTGACGTCGTAGGTATATTTTATAAAGTTGATCGGGCTCTAGATACAGCAGCCTATTGGAATTTCATATAAAATTCACTGGAAGCTGTATGTTAATAAATTTACTGACCACTCAGCTGACCAGACCAACTTAAGTGAGGTGAAATCTACACAGGCCAA